TTTTTTTTTTTTTTTTTTTTTTTTTTTTTTTTTTTTTTTTTTTTTTTTTTTTTTTTGGGTATATCACTTCGAGGAATTGCTTTTACATCAGAAGGCCTTGCAGCTTTGTGGCCAATAACTTTCTTATTGAGCATTTTCTGGTACTCGTTACGACCGTTCGACTCACTACTGTGCATGGCTTATGTCAAATAGACGCAGAATACCAACAGATCCCGCATGTAAAATCCAAATTGTCTATCTGTCCAAGCCTTTGCTTTCTTGAAGAGACTGTTTGTGTGACTCCTTGAACGGTGCCGAGATTTTGGGTTGGTATAGTTCGCCCGGATGACTGTGATCCATGACCGAAATGGCTGCTGGAGCATTTCATAATGCAGGCCACTTAGAGGGCCACCAGGTAGCGATTACACTCGAACAAACTTTCTTCGGACAAGTTATACCAGTGTTAGACAGATAACATGAGGTTTTTTAACCTCGCAAGCTAGACCCCTTCAGTAGGATGTAATCCTCGAAACTTGTATCGCAAAGAACCTTTAGGTCTACTTTAGAATGGCATCGGCGTAGAATAGCTGAACTTTAGCTGTAATCAACTAGCGACCAGGGCTTCCGTAATGAATTAAGAAGAGATGATTTTGTTCTAATGAAAAGCTCGGAAAGGGATATATTCCCTACGAACAGATGATGGTTCGGTGAATACACTTTCAATGAAGCCATCCATGGGAATCCATAGTTACATGTGAATAGCAATGTCTACGCAAAACGACGAGCAAACGAATTTACTTTTTGTTGCAGACTTCGTAATCATCGGTCATTTGATCTTGGAGCTACCACGCCTCGTGTTTCGGTTGGCTAAGTCTTCAGGCAATAGACGTGGAACATAGCTTTTCTCAAACAAAGAATCTAATAATGGCCAACAGAATACTGCCACGGGGCCACCTTGAGCGCATTTGGGGCCCTATCCCGCATTTGCGCACCGAAAAGGAGTACCGCACGTTGAAACCCGGCGGTTCCAAGTTCAGACTGCAAACAGAACAACTCCTGGATTGGGAAGATTTTACCCAAAGCACCAAGCAACTGTCTGATCCCTATTGCGGGAATCATTATCCCTTTATGCCTGTTGTACCCACTGAGACGTTCGGCGTTGCGAATGAACTGGGGGTGCAGGGTCGTTTCGTTGAAAACGCCCTGCATCCCGTAGGTGAGGTAGTAAATTTTCTAAATTTGGGTATGTCCTTCGGCGACTCACAGTGGGGCGTAAATAGGCGCAAGGGTAACAAGAAAAAGAAGCATGGTCGTGATGAGAGCGAGGATGAGGTGAACCCGAAAGGCGGGAAAAGGGGTACTCTAATTCCAGACATTGTCTTGGTTGAGAGCCAAAGGCATACGATCCGGGCACTCTGTGAAGTAAAAACTCACTGGGGTTTCCAGCCAGGAAAGAATGAAACTTGGAAGACTTTCATGTCTCAAAAGATGGGTGAGTCTCTATTATATTTCTCTGGGTGGTCTCAATCAGTATTTTAACTATGGTCTTCGTAATGATAGGTCAGCTGGCCCGATACATGGACGATAACTACTGCCGATATGGCATTTATACGGTCTATGAATACACTTGGTTCTTGAAAAGGGTTGATGATACGCACTTTGCCGTGTCTAAGGCAATTAGCGCAAGTACTATCTCAACTTCCGGTGTTGGATCACTTCGAGAGTGCCTTTTGGCCATGGTAATCAGGGCAGCCCATGAAGAATGGAGCTACTACCCTGTGAGATATGGCAAACGTCTGGTAAGCCGTGGCCTATTCCTGTGTCGGATATTTTTCTGACCCCCAGACTACTCGGAGGCAGACCCTAATCCGACGATCGAGAAGCCCACCTAATCTGAGAGGGAGGCGCCCCTGACTTCAACGCCATCGAAGTACGAACTCACAAAGACCAGCAGGAGCTGATGCCTCAAAAGACCTTTTTGAATTTTCAGGTATTGCCATGGGAGCTAATCGTGGGGTTGCCTGCGGTATTTTCAGAATTTCGTAGGACTGGTTTATTATTTTAGCTTCCGTAAGATATTATGGTATGGGGGAGGAGGGGTACTTGAAGTGGGATGTATAAGCATGGATACTTGGCCGGGAATCACTTTTCAGTTCTTTCACAGATTATGTACTCCCACTCCTGATAGTATGTACCCGCATTAACCAGCCAGTTGCATCGAAAACACGAAATTATTGAGAGGATGACCTTCATCCAGTCATCAAATGCTTTGTTTGGCCCTAGGCAAAATGGCAATAATAAGGGATACATTCTGAGCCGGACTTTGGAGCATCAGGCCCTATTGATCAATTGAAAAGATACCATGCTCACCAGAGAAAAAGGCCGCATATCACGAATCCGCAGGCAGCAGTAACAAGGCCATCTGTGTCACTCTTAGCGGAAGGGTGACCGCCGCTGCACCGTAGAATCTCAACGTGCTCTGTTTGAAATAGAGCATACTCAGGCAAACCATTCTGTGGAAGGCAAAAGTTTGCTGGCGACAGTCCTCCATTTCAGACACGTTCAGGCAAGTCCGCATTGCCTCCGTGCGAAGCGTCGGATCTGATGATAACAGGTGTGCTATCTGACTGAAACACACTGCACGAAAGGCCCATAAATGCGTCAAGGATGTGGCAATTGGAAGGCTGTAAAACCACAAAGACCCCTCTACCGCACTATTAGCCCTCGCCGGAGATGAACACGTTGTTATTGGCCAACATAGTGGACCATTTATCGCAGCTTGCAGAGACTGTTCCCATATGTCAAGCTCCTGCAAAGTATTTATTAGATCCGCAAGAATACTTTGACACTCGGATCGCCTATCTTTGAGAGGCAGGGAGTCTATAGACTGGACTCTCTGTAAAATGGAAGGCAGGATAGAACCGTGACTTAATAGCGTTTGCAATGGCGATGGTTCTTGGAGCGCGAACGGTATTGTCCGCCACTCATGTGAGGACAGGAATGTATCTTGACGGGAGATGCACGCCTCCAGGATCTAGGTCTATGTTAGTCGCTTGTAACCGATTGATTACGTGCCATTTGGGCAATATGTTTGATACGTACAACTAGCGGCCGGAAGCCGATAAAGAGCTGGTGCGAAACCGGTCTAGCAAATGACTCTGGGCCACACATTTCCATCATCCGGCCGATACCTCTGATGTGGGCGATCCAGCCCTCTCGGGATGTGGGTACTAACCACTTGGAGCTGTCAGTAGCCATTCTCTCTCTGGCCGAACGGAATGAAAGTGCAGCCTACCTCAGCGAGACATAAGCACATAATAGCAGCAGCGGATTCATTGCAACCACCGTCATCTTCGGTGATCTTATTTTTCAATGAACGCACAGCTTTCGTATATGACTGTGCGCGACAGAGATCCCATTGATTGCTCCTACGGTCTCTATTTCCCTTGGTGATAATTGAGTAGCCTAAAGTTCGGAGCGACACTGACAGAAGAGGTGTACTCCTGCTTGCGTCTAGAAGCAGAGGGACGGTTTCCAGCCAAGGGCTACACAGGGTCGAGCCGTGGCCGTCGGTGCGGACATATTGCTCCTGACTATAATATTGGGGAGTGAAGTACTCCGTAACTAAACCGAAGAACTCTTCATCTGTCGACCATCGGAATGCCGAGAGATTAAGCATAAGACATCTGGTAGATGATCTGGAACGTGATAGCGACGTCTCACGTGATATAGGGCTTTTCGGTGGTCCCGAAACGATGACCGGCTGTCCAGCAGTCTTGGGTGGCAGAAAAGTCACCTCTTCGTATCCCGGGCAGTCTCTCTTGGTTAATACACATTGAGAACAGGCCGGGCGTTTTCCATCACACTGAGCGAGACCACTTTAGCCAATGCTAGTCTAAAAAGATCCAAGCAGAAGAGCGGTGACTAAATGACGATGTAAACTCACTGTATATTTCCTTTGCCGACAGTTCTGACATACTGAGCGGCTCTTCACTTTCATGATGCCTATGCTGCATTACGCGGGAAGGCGGAGGAGCGAGCATGACGGGACCGGCAGAACCAGGAAGAGAAGCCGAGACACTTGGGGTCATGTGGCCATGAAGGAAGAGGGAAGGCGGTGGAGATTCGGCAAATCCCCATTATTAATGAGTCTTGGCGACTAATGCTTCTTCTTGTGGTTAGCGTACAAAGTGGGTCAGTGGATCATGGCAGCTCGGTTGGGATAATCGCATGCGCGTATCTCCATCGTCATTCGACAAGATGGCTCATCTTCTTTTAAAAGAAGGCGAAAGAAGTTTATTTTGAGTTAAAATGATAAAAATCATGACCAAGCATGCTATATGGGGTTACATTATGTACCAGCAGATACTGTGGCGGCGGTCTAGGTCTAAGTGGTAGATCGAAGATATATAAACTCAACCATGTCCCACATATCATCGCTCATCAGGCCCTTGCTCATCAAGATCGTTTTTATCCCTACTACCAACCCATCCATTCCTCACGGTGTTGATTCCTCGTACCAATACCTGTCAAAATGAAGGAAGCGCTTGTCTTCAGCAAGGATGGGTCAATGGAAGTCAAAACCCACTCTGTGCCTATACCCAAACCGGGACCGGACGAAATTCTGATCAAAGTCATCGTTAGCGGCACGAACCCCAAGGACTGGAAATTTCCCGACTGGTTCGATGTATTTAACGGAACGAATACTGGCGATGACATTGCTGGCTATGTCCATGAAATCGGCGAAAACGTCTCCGAGTTCAAAGTCGGAGACCGAGTAGCCGCCTTCCATGATTTCATGACGCCGCATGGGAGCTTCGCCGAATACGCCATCGGGAAAGTGCACGCCACACTTCACATCCCAGCGCATATTTCCTTTGAGGAAGCATCAACTGTCCCACTGGCAGCATTGACCGCCTCTCTTGCACTGTTTGCACGGTTAGGCCTACCTGAACCGTGGTTCGGAAACAAATCTTGGGCCACCAAGCCTCCAGGCGGAGTTCTTGTCTACGGTGCTGCAACAGCCGTCGGATCATTTGCAATCAAGCTGCTACAGAAAGCAGACATTCATCCTGTCATTGGTATCGCTGGAAGAGGCATGGATTATGCTAGGAGTCTAATGAACAGTGAAAAGGGCGATGTCGTCATTGACTATCGCGATGGTGAATCTGCCGTTGTACAGGGCATCCTAAATGCCATTCCTGCCGGGGAAAATCTTCGCTATGCACTAGATGCAGTTACGGAGACATCGAGTTTCCAGGTGATTGAGAAGGTTCTGGACCAGACCTCGGGCGCAGTGTCGATCGTTACGCCGGAGGCACCTAAACAATTGCCTGGTACAATACGGGTTGAGTTTAGCAACGTGGGAACCGGTCATGGAGATGACAAGGACTTCGCCTATGTGTGGTCGCGGATGATGACCAGGGGGCTGAGTGAGGGTTGGCTTAAGGCTCATCCACATGAGATCATTCCGGGTGGTCTGGAGGGTGTTGAAGTTGCTCTGAATAATTTAAAGGCTGGGAAGGCTAGTGCCGTGAAATATGTGTTAAGAATTACATCAGACTGAAGGGGCCTAGCTAGCGAGGATGAAAATCTCATATTATCTGTCTAGTAACACTGGTTTGGCTTATCTCTGTCCGAAGAACATTTGTTCGAGTGTAATAGCTACGTGGTAGCCCTCCATAAATATACCCAAAGGAAATCTCGCCACCGTCAAAAGGATACATAAACGGTCGTATCAAGGAAATAGAAATTGAACAAATAGATAACCTGATCTTGGTAGGCGGGACTTATTGGCAATTCGTGGGAAATACTTTAATTAGGTGTTGATTCTGAGTGTATGTAACTGCGCCATGCAGAATAATAAGCTGAATGGTAGTTTGGATGCCACTAGATGCTCGATAAGAAAGTTGTTGGCCAAAATGCCGCGGGGTTCTCGATGTGAAGAAGACTCCCTAATATAAGATTCGGTCACTAGTCCTGGATGTGGTGAGTATCATATAAGGGATCAACCGATAGCCAGTCCACATTTTTAGAAACAACACGACCATCTTTGAGAATAGCTACAAGGTTATCCTGAATGCGATCGAGCACCGTGATGTCTTCCAAAGGATTAGATGTCAGAATCAGCATGTCCGCAATACTGCCTTCTTTTATGCACCCGAGTTGACCTTCCATCCCCAGATACCGTGCTGCATTCACAGTAGCAGATTTCAAGATATCCTTTGAACTCAGAACGCCTGACCTAATCGAAAATTCTTGGTTTTGAAGAGGATGTAACCCAGCCAAGAGATCGGAGCCATAGCATATCGACGCCCCTGCTTTGTGCAAAATTGACAAAGCTTCTAGACCACTGGCTAGAACTTGTCGATTTTTGGCCTGGCTGAAGTCATCCAGGAACTTGTCAAAGGGTGGCTTGGACATGCCATAATAAGTTACCAAGGTTGGAGTAAAGACAACGCCCAATTTGGCACAATACGCCGCAGTTTCCTCATCGATGAAATTCCCGTGCTCGATGCCTCGAACACCATTATCAACGGCATGGCGGATAGCATCCACAGTGTAGGCATGTGCCGTAACGTAGGTCTTGGACTGCTTGGCAGTCGTCGTGATCGCACGAATCTCTTCCGCGGTAAACTGCAGCATATCAAGCGCATCCGATGGTGTCGCTACACCACCACCGCACATTATCTTTAAGAAGTTTGCTCCTTGCCTGAGCTCGTCCCGGGCAGCCTCCAAACACTCGGGGACACCATTGCATACTCGTGCTAGCTCCGGGGTGTGCCCACCACAGCATTTATACTCAGATCCCTGATAATTGGCGCGCAAATCCCCGTGACCGCCTGTCTGCGAGAGTGCTTTGCCAGCGATAAATAGCCGTGGACCTGCAACCAAGCCTTCCTCTATCGCTTCACGCAGAGCGTAATCGGCGCCACCGGTGTCGCGGACCGTGGTGAATCCTCGAAGTAGCATCTCGCGTGCAACAAAGGTTGATCGATACGCGATGGTATTTGGGCTTGCAGAAAACATATCCTTAAGAGATGGAGATCCCGGAGTTGCCGTAATGTGTACGTGACAGTCGATCAATCCAGGGCAGATATACTGGCCTTCTAGATCCACTGCACCTGGAGGCGTCGCCACATCGCCAGACGATACTTCCACGATACGTCCGTTCTTGATATGCACCACAGAGTTAGAAATAATGTCGCCTGCGTCCACATCCACGACATTGGCGTTGTAAAATATGATTTCCGGGGCTGCGGCTCGAGGCAACCATGGCTTGCTCGGATTGTTGCTACTCATTGAGTCGGCATGTAACTGCATACCGGAATATTTCCAAATGTCAGAACAAGATGCAAACGAAAGATTGTAATTCGGTTCAGATAACTCAGGATGGAAGTGTAATGCTACTTCCTTCACAGTAATTCACCCAGAACTAGATCCCGACTGTGTGTTGAATCAATAGGCATCTGGGTTACATTAGCGAGGATCTTTAATAATACCCCTCATCTTTGTGCCGGGAAAGCCTGATAGCGAAGTATCCATTTCAAACCGAGGCTAGATCGGCTCATAGTCGGCCGAGGATAAGAGCAGTAGAGTCATTCCGCGCGACCCGACCACCACTGCCTACCCGACCACCCCAAAACAACGCGTTTCGAGCAAACTGATCCTGCTGCCAATTTAATATAATTTATTTAATTTATTAAAAATCAAGTCTTTATCAACATATCCTAGTAATTTGTATATATGATAGTATCATTCAGAATAAATGTAAAAATATGTAGATTTGTAAGTAAACTACATAAAAGATTCTAAGTAGAAGCCTGTATCTGATTCTTTAATGTAAAATATTATTTCATAATACTGATTCGATTATTTTATTAAAACCCAAGAAAAGAAGAAAAAATATTTGACTCAGAATTCTAGTCTTTTACCGGATAACCTTGTGGTTTAGATCCGGAGGGTTCATTCCTGAAGCGCAACAGGATGGGATCCTGACATTTGGCGTCTTGATAACGATGAAGTGTGGTAACTGTAGATGGGCTGTTCACACACGTCAATCAAGCTCTTGTCAATGTGGTGATGTGATGATTGGTATTTCTGCCTGTACGATCGAATATGTCAAGCAGTATCTTGTACTCATTGTTGTCGATGTCATCCAGTATCTTCTCAAAAACGGTATGGTTAGATCCTTGGGTGATTTTACATGGCATGCACGTCTTGGCTGGAGGTTGTTCATTGCGCAATCCAAGGCCGTCGCTCTCTGAGAGAAACCCGTCCCCAAGTCACTGTAGGTTGAGGACAAACATATACATTCATAGCTTCCTGGGGTTTGCATGCCCAAAAATAGGCATAGAACTACATGGGAGGGAAAGGCATGGTCCAAATCGGGCGGTCAAACTGGATACTGGGCTTAGGCATGGGCGAACCTTTCGTGTCGCGGACTTCTAAACAAGTATCTCTTTGATAATGTCAGATATCATCTTGAGGGTATCGCTTTTGGCGTAGCGGTTCCTCAAGTTATGGATCCCATCGACTGCTTGGGAGCGAATTCTGAATCATAACCATCTCCAAGCGAGCCGCACCCTCGATCTGCGTTAGGTCTGTAAGCTAGCAATATCTTTATCAGCTGCAGATATCCCATGAAGATATCACGGAGAATATCCGAGCACTAAACCTGTCTTGTGCTTGCAGAAACTCGAGACGAACTCTGATTTGCCGAGAATAGTCTATCATATCTCAGCTATCGGGAATTTACCCCGCATGCCAACATCATGGACGGTACAACGCACTGGGCGACAGCATAGCTACACTGGCCCTGCATAACTGGGAAGGTATTCCCCCTTCTCTGACCATCTCACCAACAGATTGCTGCGAAAATTTTGCCACCCATATTGATAATGAAAGTGGAACCAAAGACGACGGACCCAAGTACATCGAAAGATGTAAACATCGATGTCGGGACTATTCGATTACATTTTTCAGCGGAGGAAGAGAAACGCGTAGTTAGGAAGATCGATTGCTTTATTCTACCATTGGTTGGTAATTTTATCCTATGAGGGCGAATCGATGCTAACGTCCACTCCAAAGATGTGCTTGGTGTTTTTCTTTCAATGTACGTAGCCAGAATGAGGAATCAACGTTTGCCTAGGCTGACAAACCAAGATCTCGACAAGCAGAGCCTTAGCTACGCATCGGTATTCGGGCTTATTGATGATCTTTCGCTAGAGGGGTCCGAGTATTCTTGGTGCTCATCATTGTTTTATCTCGGTAAGAGTGATTGTTGTTCTATACTAGATTAACAAAACTGATGGTCTCCACAGGTCAACTAGTTGCAGAGTATCCCTTCATATACTTAATGAGCCGGCTTCCTCTTACCAAGTTTGTCGGTGCAACGATGTAAGTCCACGTTTGACGGCAGTAAATGCGTCAGATTCTGACTGAGTTCACGAACAGCGTTTTCTGGGGTGCCGTGTGCATGTGCCTTGCGGCGCCGACAAACTTTGCAGGGTTCGGGGCCGTAAGATTTCTTCTTGGGGTTACGGAAGGGGCTGTCTCTCCAGCATTTGTGACTCTCACCAGTATGTGGTACAGGAAAAAGGAACATGCTTCAAGAGTAGGGTAAGAAAGCAAAGTGAGGAAAGCTCATTGACAGTACATTTTACTTACTTCATGAATACAACTACAGCATCTGGGTCACAATGAACGGCCTGGCCCAAGTCCTTGGAAGCCTGCTTATGTACGGAATCGGCAAACAGCACTACCCGCGATTGGAACCGTGGAGGGTTCTCTTCCTCGTCTGCGGTGCGCTTACAGCTGCCTTCGGAGTTGTTTTCTATTTTCTAGTACCTACTGGTCCTCAAAAAGCATGGTTCCTATCGGAGAGGGAGCGAGAGGTTCTACTGGCAAGAATGGCAGAAGACAGAGAAGGAGGTGATAGGACCAATTTCTCCAAAGCACAGGTGATAGAGACTTTATTGGATGTCCGGGCGTGGTTTATCTTCGCTTTTGGTATTCTCGTCACCATGCAGTCGCCCGTCCTAGCGGTATGTTTGTTCTCTAACTTGTCGTCGATGGGGAAAGCTCACACAAGTCAGTTTGCTTCCTTGATTATCAAAAACCTCAATTACGATAGATATCAAACGATGTTGTATACATCACCATCAGGAGCCGTCCAGATAGTCGCGATCTGGATTGGTGTACTTGGCTGCCAGCTTCTTCCGAACAACCGAAGCTTAGTGGTCATTCTACTTTCAATTCCTCCCCTGATTGGCAACGTCCTTCTCCTGAAGCTTCCGCTTACTACAGGTTGGGGATTGATAGTGTCCTCTTGGCTAGTAGGTTTCGTCTACTCTGTTTAGTCTAGAGCATGTGCTTACTCCTGATCCCAGGCGTCCTGTATTTCAGATGTGATGGTTATTCTTCTTAGTCTGAGCGCGTCAAACGTGAAAGGAAACACGAAGCGGGCGATGGCAAACACAATGTATTTCATTGGCTATTGTGTTGGTTGTATCGCAGGCCCGCAGCTTTGGCAGACAAAATCCGCGCCCAGGTTCTTCGAAGGAGTCGTAACTGCAATTGTGACGTGGTGTGTGCTAGTCTTAGCTATGGCCCTTTATTGGTATTTGTGCCGGGCCGAAAACATCAAGCGGGACCAGGACACCCGCACTTCTGCCGAGATCGTCTTGCATACCGAGGATATCACGGACATCGAGGACCATTTCTTCCGTTACAGTTATTGAACATGATCTAGCTGCCGAAATCTTGTTAGACTGGGACCGTGGTACTGGGCAGTGTTGAATGACTCGGTAATTCAACTAGGGAACAAATAAGGGTACATTAAACCACAATCGCTAGCGAACCAAACAAAGATCTCTGCAGGCTCGCTAATATCATATCCTTCAAACATATATTGGTCGAGCACGAAAGACTAAAGACATCGTATTCCTGCAAGAAACCGTTTGCTTATAGGAATCAACTTTACGTCGTTTGGAAGACCAAATACCCAACGTAGCTCACGACAACTATCTGGATGGAGCGTTTCAGCAAACTATCCATGTATTAGTGACAAGTAGTTCCAAGAGATTACTGTTTACTGGAATGAACATGTCTATTCCGCTATGCCAACGACCCAAACATGTGTAGTTGCAACAGAGCAATCGTAGACAGAGTGTCATGGACTAGATTGAGCTTTGTTAGACTGGACCCCCAACAAGCCTTGGTATTGCAGCCCAGGAAGGGTATGTTACCTTATAACATCCTGTCCTTATGAAGTGTAGGACAGAAACACCGAATACATACGACCATAGGGTGTGGAAAACAGGGCTTCCCGTCCGCTCAGCCGTACTTAAGCCACACGCCGGGAGGTTAGTAGTTGGGTGGGTGACCACCAGCGAATCCCTTCTGTTGTATGTTTTTGTTTCTTATTCATTTTTTCAGCGAGAACTGGTCTACCACTCTTTGACGCCAACATATAGATTGCGGTGGCTATTGCACGTTGTTTGTAAGCCTTCTGGATCTCACCGTCGTTACCCTCATCTTTTCTCTGCAGTTATCGCCCACGTTGCAGAAAGTTAATTCACTCCGGGCCATGGATCCCCCACCCTTGCAAGACCTTGAAATAACTATTGACTCTGGGCTAATAAGGGCAACAAGGTCTTCTCTAAACCCCCATACCGCCCCCGCCCTAAGACCTATCAAACACCCACACAAACCCAATACCCCAACCACAAATTTGCACAAGAAGAACCCACGTATGGATTCCACATATTGAACTGACTCGCAGTAACACCTGCGTCCTGCTCTATTGACCAGCAATTATCCCCGTCCGCTACCAAGTGCCACTTCTTGCATGTATCGATCGTGTCGGGCATTGGCGCCTGCTTCTGCGTGGCCACACAGTAATAGTATCCCGGTTGCAGGTTACTGCAGTCTGATCCGACGGCGGGGTTCCATTCTTCGAAGAGGGAGGTCGTTAGGTAGGTGTATTTGTCGTTGACAATGGACCAGCAGCTGTCTCCGGATTTGGCTTCGTAGTAGGTGGAACAGTCACCTACTAGACCCGATTGGGTGGGAGATGGAGCGTTGCTGGTGGGTGTTGTGCTGCTGACAGTTGATTTGGATGTGGAGATAGATGTTGTGGTGGTTGCGGTGGCACCACCTGGAGTTCATTAGCTCACCTTGAATAGAGCTCTACATGGAGAAAGTAGTTGTGGGGGCTCAGGGCATACTCACCAGAAACACCTACGCAGACCCAATAGTCAGCCTCCAGGTCACTACAGGTTGTTCCTACAGCTGGGTTCCAGGAGTAGAAGTCGTTTAGGGTGATGTCGTGCTTGGTAGCAATGTCAGAACAAGTGTCCCCGTGTTGAACATAGTAATATTTATCACCTGGCTAGTATTAGTTTGACCGTCAGCGGGGATGATTCATATAGAGAGTTATACAGTTAGATGCGATTACCGTCTGCTCAGGCAGGTAAGACCCAGTAGAGGTAGCTGCTGAAGCAGTAGTGGTAGCAGGAAGCGTCGTCTGCGAGGCTACTGTGGTGGATCCGGCGACACCGATGCAGACATAATAGTCCGGTTGTAGGCCGGAGCAGTCGGACTTGACGGCCCTGTGCGTCTGTTCAACCGCTGATGGAAAAAGTGTAAATTAAGTGGTGGGCACTCACGGATTCCAGGAGTAGAATTGATTAAGCGTAAAGTTGCCGTACGAATTGACAATTGCCCAGCATGAATCACCGGCTTCAACGTAGTAAAACGCGTCACAGCTCGAGCTCAGGCCGCTTTGCGTCGGGGAAGGGCTACCCGCACCGGTGGTCGTACCTGAAGCAGGTGCCGCCGTGGTAGTAGACAGGAGCGAGGAAGAGACTGTAGACACTGCCTTGGTGGATGAGACTGTGGTTGTTACTGCGGGCGCGCTAACACAGTAGCTCCATCCCTCTTTGAGGGCGCAGCTGGTAGGTGAGAGAGAAGGGTTCTGTCACCCGTTAGTCCTGGCCATATTTGCGTTGAACAGAAGGTCTCATTACCCAGGAAGTTAGTTGTGTGGCCGTAATGCCATAGTAGCTCTCAAGGTCCGCACAAGTATCTGTTGAGCTAATGGAGTTCGCCCAGTACGTACATGCACTGGTAACATTGGGGTCGGTGTCACCAGTTGGGAAGTCGCCATTATCGAATCTCTTATTGATGGCGAGTCCATAGGCCGATGCGAATATTACGAGGTTGAGGAAAGGGCTGGAAATCATGTTACTCAACCGCTGAAGCTTCTCAGTTACCTTGGTCGTCTATGTAGGGGCAGGGTCGGGAATGTAGACCTAAGGGGCCATGGCCATTGATATTACATATGGCTCGGTCGGACTCCGATGCCGGCTCTCCGTAACTTACAATGCCTAAGTAGACTTGGAAGGGTGTTTGATTACCACAAATTGCCCACCTGCAGCACCTGCATTAGTTCGCTTAGTGCTACTACCTCGCTACCTTGCTCGGCTCTCCATCAACTTCCGCATAGCCGAATCTACCCTGATGCCACCGTGCCCTCAAATTACGGATAGTGCCACAGGATCATGCGATAGTCTAGTCTGTAACGTAGGCATTTGCATCAAGCGATTATTGCCAAGAAATCCCCGGCCTTTTCCTTGAAGCTGTCCACTGTACAGGTACCCACCCCATTACTTCCCACCTCTGGTACCTACATGGCCGCCTTATGTGACTTCCCTTCTCCTCATCCAGATAAGTCATACAGAAATACACTCGAATAGTTCCTGCGCCTATTCCTCCGTTATCTTGTGATTGACTAACAGACATGTATTATACCGTACTTATTCTCACTCCTCCAAATCTCCTCAAGTTCCGAGCTGTAGTCACCGTCAGAATCTTCGAACCTATGGTTGGACACAGCATTATTCCACAAATCTACTGGCTCTGGCTCTCTAGTTCCAGAAGTATCAATAATTCCCTGAGCGCGAGATTGAATATCCCACATGGATCCATCCCTGGGTCTAGGGTTATTAGGGTCCCATTGAAAGGCGTGCCACATGTTGATAACGTGGCCGTGGTGTAGGTCGCGTTCTGCGAAAGGTGTCAAAAGCGGCACAGCCTCGATAAAGTTCCGTTCAGTTGCAAGTTTCAAGTCCTGTGGACCGGGGAGGAAGCCTTTGTCGAGGAGGAGCCTCAAGATTTCAAGCCGTTCATACAATATAGCAATAGCGACCGCGCTATACTCAGTACCGAGCATGAGGCCAGACTGTGGATACAGCTCACAAAGTACATCCTTGATCGCCCCGTTATCGATCAAGAGTTCAGTCATCTCGTAGTGGCCGTCTCGAATGGCCGTAAACAGGGCTGCTGAACCGTATTGCACGAGATCCATACCGTATGTGAGCAAAAGCAGAAGCGTGTCGCGGTCATCTTTATGGGCAAGGTGACACACTGCATCATCGCCGTGAAGACCAAAACCATGATCTAACAACAGCCGCATAACTTCAGACTGGTTGGTGGAAATAGCCCGCTCGGTTGGGCATGGGCACTCATTAGGCCCCGGACGTGCCCCAAGAGCGAGGAGTCGGGGGAGGATGGCCTTATAGCCGGCGGCCACGGCGACCCCGAGGGCCGACGGGGCCCCGCTTGACTCGGTTGCAGGATCCAAGGGGGCTTTGTGGGCAAACATTAGCTCAACTAGCTTTTCATCGTGCTGGCGCAGCGCCCAATGCAGAACCGATCGTAACTGTGCCGGCGATGCTGCCTGGCCCGAGCGGGTCTCCCCAAGAAGTGTTTTGAGGATTTCTGTGTGGCCTCCCTGGGCTGCGTATAACAAAGGGTTATTCTTGGCCCAAGGGTCGATGTCCCTGCTTCTCTTAACCTTCCTCTTCACATATCGGGGAGAGGGAGAATAGGCCGCAATGTTGGCCCCGGCAGTGAGGAGTTTGGTCACCAAGCGAGCCTCTCCCTTTTGGGCAGCCCATGGGAGGGCCGAGCTTTCACCATGTCGGACATTGTACTCGCACAGGAATTGGTGTAGCGTGTGATATAGACGTTGGGTCGTCTGCATGAGATGACTGATATCGCGTTGGGTGGCCAAGTATCCAGCTACCGAGAGGATGAGTTCCAGGGGAAGATGGCTTAACGATGCCATCATTGATAGTCAGGTTGCTTGCAGGTAATTGACCCAAGGATGGCAGGGGAAGCACCAGGATTATATATGTTGGGCCGATCGCCCGAGTAGGCTAGCTGACTAAATAGTACGAGTTACGTTAACTAAATAGTTAACCAACCAAGCATTTAGTTAGTATGGCGTAGTCAGCCAGGTTACGGCTGACCAACCAAGTGCCTAACTAAACTAACTTAAGTATCATAATCCATCTCCATATAGCGATGCATTTTCTTGCTCCAAAACCCAAACGGTAGGAGCTCAGCCCCGCATATACCCTTCGACCAATCACATGCGGAGTAATACAAGGCAAGGGCGAAAAACGTGAGACTGTCTGGCCAGCCTGTCAGCAAGAGGCAAAAGCAACGATGGTTACTACTACTAGTAGTACAAATGGGCTGGGTTACCTGCGTTCCGATGAGCCTGGCGGGGGTCCGCCTTCGAAAGTGTCCAAACACCTTTTCGTTGATACCCCGGGATGACAATATCGGGGTATGGCGGCCCTAGGTGAGACGACAGATCCTCTGTCGCGTCGTCTCCCAGAATACTCTGGCAATGGGATAGCTCGTGCAACAAGCTGCCCGCAGCGGTGAATGTCTTAATGTCATCGATGTCTCGCCCTCTCAGGCTATCCATGGTATTTTCCAAGCTGCTCAGGGTCTGTGATGACTTTGCCCTGTCGAAGACTCTCGGGCAGATGCAAATCTCGTCCTCTAGAGTGACCTTGTTCCACATCTGCCATCCATTGCCGCCCCCACCCTCGTGGCAGAGTCTTCCGGATCTTGTGAGCTTTGTAAAAAGCGGGGTTTCCGTCGATCTGGTGTCTCGATATATACCTTGTTTTGACCTGTGCGTTAGCCAAGAAGTCTGGCACTAAGCTTGAACAACTAACGGGCGTCTGTGGTGCTAGCGTCCTTATCGAAGACATAGAATGTATCATCACAGTGGATGGTAACGGACAGCGTTCGGTCCCGCAAGACATTACGAATACGGTTGTAGACGCCTAAGACAGGATCTTTAGTAATCGGTCTCTTTCAATAGGTTGATCTTTTGGGGTGGATGGCCCAACTCATCGTGAACTGCATATTCTGGGAGGTTGTTCGCCATGGTACTAGATTTGGTGTCTTATCCTCGAGTTCAAATTCATGGTTAAATCTGATCCTCCCCATCATTGCGGCCCAAGAGCCTAAAATCCGGCTATTCTCCTTGAATCGGGTGTCCCAGGTTGCAGGTTGTTCTTTCTCCCTGATAACTGCTCGCATTATCTGAAGCTGGCCGGTGACACGGGTCATCTGCCAGCTGTAAGCGTTGAATTTTAGGCTTCTCGAGATCTGGCAAAGCTGTGTAAGGGTTTTACCATGGTCTGAATTTCATCTAACTCGGTCTCTAAATACTCCTGTTGTGTCACACTGCAAGTAGAGCCGTACTTGACTCGAGGGTATCGTGATGCTCTTTTGGCCAGATGCCTCGGGGCGTGATCGGATCCATTTGCGGAGGGAACAACTTCAACCTCGCTGGGAAACGGCTCGAAGGGGAATGCTAGGGCATGGCAGAGAAACAGCACCCAGAACAGGCTCATTACAGTGGCGACCCATTTGACCATAGTGTGAGTCGACTATAGAATCAATTTGTAATAACGAATGAATAATCGAACGAACGAACGCAGAATAAGGAGATCGTGTCTGAGTGAGCGGATGGACTGTCTGAATGAGCGACTGTATCACTGATTGACAAAACTTTGGGAGAAAGTCATTTCCGCACACAAGATGATAATAAGGCTAACTAGTTAAAACAAATTGGATGATACCCTCCTTTCTAAAGGCAGGTCAGGCATGGCCATGCTAATCCCTCAATGCTACACGTATTGAAAATGTAAACCGCGCCTTTTCCTGCCTATGCCTATCACCTTCAAACCTTCCTGGTAGATCACCGGTTTGTTACGGAGCTTATGAGCATCAAATTTCCGACAATCCTCCAGATCCCCGTCACCAGCATTAGAACATGCATATTGCTCCTGATGTCTCGCGGAAGACGGATATCCAGTTGACTCGAATGGAGAGAGTGTTGTGCAGATGCTGCCATATTTCATTGGAAGGGTTTCACTCCCAATGTAACAGCAGTCGGGCGGGGTATCAGGTCCTCCAATTGATGTGGACTATGCCGACGGAGGGCCTAGCGGAGACTGGATATAGATTAAAGCTGAAAAATGGACTGAAATACGGAGAGTGGTCCGGTGCGCCATTTTCTGAGTATTTACCTCAAATAGCTGTGCCCCTGCATATGCTCTTATCTTGAACCCTGCCTTATGTTACACTGCTAACAGCTCGCTGTGGAGTTGACAACAAGAACCGTTCCTTTAGTGTCCCCCACACGGGGATCATTCGGCGGATAACCGTTCTCAGAGCCTGACACTAGACGCTTAGCTCCCTCAGGGTTCTCAAATAGAATCGGAAGGACCCGGACCCTCATACATCAGGGCTTAGTGCTTATGCCAAGCAGCCAATTTCCGTCGGTGGCCGACGGCTACCGTTAGCCGAAGTGGTTGGACATCGAACTGTCTACTGTCCGATATCGCAAAATTAAGAGCATTCACCAAAATCGGAAGACTTGAGGGAGTGGATTAGGCCACGGCTCTTAGTATCGTTACTATGTCCATTGAGGTGAACAGCGACAAGGTAAGGGGGCGCCCCTGGACTGAGATTGCCCTCTTAGCTTGATATAAAAGCTTTTGGAGATAATAGGTAATAAGCCATAGCCTGCGTTCTCCAGCCAGAGACCTGACTATGCTGTGTGCAGACTTCTGCAATGCAACGGCCAACAAACGCGTGGTGGCTACTGCTTTGCGCCTTGTGCGTGCTTCCGGCGGCGCAAGCAGCCGTGGGCTCCTGCTCAGCAACTAGTCCATGCGACACTGGGTGTTGTTCAAATATGGATCCTGTGGTTTTGGATCAGAATTTTGTGGAGATGATGTTTGTGTCTCTGATTGCCATGCAGTAGCTGAGTGCGGAGGTATGTCGCGCTGTTGGGAAGGTACAACTGGGCTCCATTAACAAGACTCCCAGAATATGCCGCAACGCCTGGAGCAAGCTGTCCTCTGAATGTCTGCTGTTCAAAATATGGGTATATACACACTCTCATTGGGAGATATGATCTTTACTAATACACTCTAGCTTCTGTGGTACTACGGATGACTTCTGCGGCACTGGATGCCAGAATGGCTGCGACGCCATCAAAGAACCGTAAGGACTGACACGTTCTGTTACCATAACATTCACTGACCAGTTCACATAATAGTACCTGTTCTGGATCATCCAGCGATGCTGTCTACATTGGGTATTATGAAGGCTGGAATCCAACCCATCCCTGTGATGTTGTTTTGCCCGAGAACATCAATGTTGACCCGTGGACTGTACGCCTCTTTGAATTAGCCCCTCCTATCTTGATATTCACCTAATCATCTTCCGTAAACAGCACCTCTACTACTCCTTCGCTGGCATCAGTACATCTGACTTCACTATCACCACGACCCACGACAAAGATAAGGAATACTGGTCCAGGTTCACTGCCCTTAAGAACAAGAAGCCGTCTTTAAAGACCTATATTTCAGTAGGGGGCTGGGACCTCGGAGGCGAGGTATTTTCCCACATGGTACAATTTCCAGGTGCGCGCAAGGCATTCATCGACTCAGCTCTCTCTATGATGTCCGAGTATGGGTTTGACGGCATCGATATTGATTGGGAATACCCCGCTGCTGAGGATCGAGGTGGTGCATCCACCGATACTGATGATTATGTGACATTTCTTTCCGAATTGAGGGACGCGCTGGGAACAAAGTACGGTCTTACATGCACCATACCGTCTTCCTACTGTGAGTATTCCTATGCTAAGTTAGTGTAATACGTCTGCTGTACACCATTGAGACTGACAGGGCCCCAGGGTACCTGAAAGGCTTCAATGTCACAGGAATGGAGCCCTACGTTGACTACTTCAACTTCATGTCGTATGATATTCATGGTACCTGGGACGGCAAAAGCAAGTGGACAAGCTCTGACGTGAACCCGCATACAAACCTTACCGGTAAGGATTCCCATTGGCATGTATTAATAGGCTACTGTTTCTCAGCAAGCTGACTCCATTCACAGAAATCTCCGCAGGACTTGATCTTCTGTGGCGCAATGGAGTTGACCCTAGTAAGGTTTTGCTCGGCTTAGGCTTTTACGGACGGTCATTCACGCTGGCCAACCCTTCGTGCGATACTCCGGGGTGTCCCTTCAATACCGCAAACAACAGCACTGGTGGTGGCGTTGCCGGGGAGTGCACCCAAACTAGTGGAATCCTCTCCGACTACGAGATTAATCGCATCATCGAGGACTACTCGGTCAATGTCAAATATGATGAAACTGCAGGGGTGAACTGGATGACCTGGAGTGGGAACCAATGGTGAGTAGTGTCTGTACCGCTCCTTAACATGGTGGATCTGTCAATAACGCGTCATCAGGGTCTCATTTGACAATGCCCGCACCCTCAAACAAAAGGCGGACTTTGCAAACAGCAAGTGCCTAGGAGGCTTGTTCAGCTGGGCTCTCGACATGGGTGGGCCTGGATCTCTCAAGAATCCGAACGACATGTCCTCCAGCGACACCGGCATGGGTGGTGCCAATACCGATGGGGGCAGCGATGGCACTGGCGTCCTCTATGTTGGTCCAGAGGTGCTCACCTCGCCAACTGTGACCGCCATAGCGCCTGTTGACGTCATATTTCCTCAAGATATCCTTGGCAGCCCGACAGTGATCTCGCCGGAGTCATATCCGACAAGCTTGGAAGTTGTCTGGAATACTACGACAACCGTTACTTCGGGTACATCCACTGGCGTTAGCACGGGAACTACCCGCTACATAATGCCCACCAACATCGCTGTGCCTCCAGTGACCATCGGGACCATATACTACTACAATTGGAATATCACCAATCCACACGTGACATCTACACATGGATCATTAATCCCCAGCATCGACCTACCCCCAGTGACAGTCATAGACGACCCCAACCCGTTGAATGAAACAGGCGTCTCTCACTCGCCACTGGGCACACGTGTTATCAACATCCCTCCGTGGCCATGGTCTACCGGGGGCACAGTTTACCCGAACATCACTTTCAACCAAGGCAGCCCCCCAGGTCCAACATGCACTGCCAACTGTGGACATAAGTGCAACAACTTTTGTAATGGGCCCTGCTTAACGGATTGCGGTAGAAATAGCTCCTCGGGCTTCATCGATCCCTTGGACACTGACCCGCCATCAGTAAATAAATGCTCGGGTCCGGGCTGTGTTAATGGAAAGTGCACAGGACACGGGCTGTGTATCGAGCGGGGTTGTACTGGCTCTGATTGTCAACACAGAGTGTGCGTGGGAGAGGACTGCACCCCTACTGCGTGCACTGGACGAGACTGTAAGGATGGGCACTGCACTGGGAGCAATTGTCAGGATCATGGCTGTATTGGAAGCGACTGCATTGGTTATGATAATGGTGATGACAGCGGTGACGATAGTGGTGATGATACTGGTGACGATGGAGATGATAGTGGTGATGATGGAGACGACAGTGGAGATGATGGAGATGACAGCGGAGATGATAGCGGAGACGATGGCGGAGATGATGGCGGAGATGATGGCGGAGATGATGGCGGAGATGATGGCGGAGATGATGGCGGAGATGATGGTGATGACAGTGGTGACGACGGGGATGATAGTGGCGATGACGGAGATGACAGCGGTGATGATGGAGATGATAGTGGAGATGATGATAGTGGAAGCGATGCGGACGGGGAATGTTTGGGTCGGAAATGCCTCTCCTGGGGCTGTACCGGCCTCGATTGTTCTTCCTCAACGCATACCTGCACCGGTCCAGATTGCCGTGTGGTGAGCTGCAGTGGGCCGGGTTGCAAAAACGGCATATGCAACGGGGACAAGTGCAATTCGGAGGACACCGACTGTGACTCAAGAGAGGCAGACAGATGCACGGAGTATATCTCCAGCACTCTCGTCACTCCAGCCTCTACATACTCCACAACCACCGTCACCAGCCAGTGCTCCACTATCACTGCATGCTCGGCCAATCCTTCAACAATAACCAGTACAATTACAGGGGATGGCCTGATGGAAGGCACGATTACTGCAGTTGACTCAACCGTGTCTGAAGATCCCGCCCTCTGGACTATGATCATGAATGATCTGAGCAGTTACTATTCCATGGCCTATGCCACCAACTCGTCGACGAGCACCAGCAGCACCTCCAGCATCAAGAGTACATCAACCACGCATTCGACGACCTCGACGACCACATCCACGACTGCTTTCGCGTCGGAAACCGGCTATAACTGTAAAGGCTCTTCCCGCTGTGGTACCTTTTCAAACCTACGGAGCTTCTGCGACAAAGCAAAGGATGACCTATTGGGCACGGTAACCTATGGGTAAGAAGATCCTTACGTGACGAATCATTAACCCCACTAACATCAGTCTAGCACCACGAAGAAAGACAAAAACTCCGGAACGTGCTACACGGATGGTATGAATGCCGGATTCGGATGCGGTGTGTTTGTCGAAGGGGATAACTGTGAAATGACAGGGGCTGAGCTAGCAGCGTAAGTCGCTTCCCACTTGCAGCTAAGCTGTTATGCTGGACAGAAACTTACAATTAATCCAGGCACTATGACCATATCATGCAATCCTCTGGCGGTGGTTGCAAGATATGTGGTCACGCCCTGCTGTCGAATGGCTGTAAGGTGACAGTCAACTATGTGAGCCATTGCCAAAACACCGATGGGATCTTCCAGCCTGCTGGAGACGGTGGTCCGGATGAAGATGTAGAGACATTTGCTTCTCCCACGCCCTCTTCTACCCCCCTGCCTGCTACAAACAGCGGACTGTTCAGCTAGGGGTTATACTGTGGATGAATCTTTTATGTATATTAAACTGCAGTCAGTCATGGAACTTAAAAAGTACCAGAGCCAAATAATACCCTTATCGTAAAGCTTCGATAATGGGCCGAAATGAAACATTAGGAAACGGGCAGCATCAACTTATATACATATTTGAGGTACCGATGCGGCTTTGGACCCTATGGAACTCCTACAACTACTATACTGGCCGTTATAAACCACCAATATGATGCTACTACAGCTTGCGAACTATACGAAGGATTTCTTGAGATTTATTTATCTTCTTATTTCGTAGCAATGTATGTTCTTGTAATCAATAAGCTAGTAGCTGAAACGAGATCGTAGAATAGATATACGGTAATCCTATCTTCTGGTTATTTCTATATCACACCGGAACATAGAGATTCTATACACTCTTTTCTCCCTGATTACCGAAGCAGACTGTATTATAGTCTTCGAATATACACAATATAACTGCAGCATATTAATCAGCATGTTAATATAACCAGCCCCAGTCCTAAAAATAGAATAAAAAAGAGGAATTAAAAGGATAACTTATAAGTTATATTTTGAATTTAACAATAAATAATTATAGAGGATACTTGGAATACTAGATTAAGCATACAAAACACCCAGTTATCAGAAATACCAGCCTGTTTCCCCTTCTCATTCTTAGGATGTCAGCTATTATAATAAATAATCTTTATCTTAACATTCTCCTTCTTATAATAGTGGATGGTGAAATGCTTCTTATTGGCAAGTTCCAGGATAATAAGCATTTGCTGACAGCTGCGATCTCTACTATGAAATATGATCGAGAAACGGAGAGAGCTTAGTGGATACTCGTGAAGGTTTTTGATGTATTTATTAATTTACTTCTTGTCTTTCTGGTTCCATACTCTCTGGTTATATTTCTATTCCTCGGGTGTCCAGATTTTGGGAATTATGTTGAAGGCTGCTTGGTCTGCTTTATAAATATAATATCTGAAAAATATATTAGCATGATAATCTCAGAATATATATTATTATATGTTATATACTGGGTTTTATAAACAGCCGGCGCCTCGTACTCATTACGGGAAGGGGAGGTGTATACTTCTTTACTAATCTGGGTAACCTATATTACATGATCGCGGTCAAAGGAGAAGCTCTCTTTGTTGTATTTTCGGCTTGAGTCTGATATAAAGAGAAATTGTTAGCTCTGAATATAATGATTGGCGAGATATAAAGAAAAGGTCTATCCTATCAGCGCGGCGGAATCCAACAGTGATTTCTCCACGTTTGCCCACGTCAACAGGAGAGGCTACGCTGCAGGCAGCCAATATTGCGGCAAGGAAGCTCGTAAAGCTTGAAGAGTGCAGTTTGTAGATTTGTAGGTAGAATAGATTTTTTTGACTTGCAAGTTGATTGCGAGTGGTTATGTTATGAGTGATGATAGAGATATCTGGGAGAAATCTTCGCCATTTTATATCTGCGTCAAGCTCTATAGCATCAATTGTCGATCAAAATGTTCCTAGCTGGTTGATTCTTCTTAGCACAGCTATAACATACGTGAAGAGCATACTTGCACCCCGTCCCACGGGGCTAGGGTATCCTTCAATCCTTCAATCCTTCAGGTAAATAGCTCAGCTACAGTATTTACTAAATATACTAGCGATCAAAGTCTGCCTTGACGACGAATGGGGAAATAATATTTGGACCTTGAATATTTGAACCCTAAACAAGATACCTGCACCCTGCCGTCTTACTACATTTAATGGCTGAGGACATTATCGGATTTGTTAGAAGCCTTGACGAATAGTAAGACGGTGGGTCTTTCTAACCTGCCATTTAACAATAAGATAATGTTATATGTCCAAAATATTGTTCTTAATAATTTTAGAAACATAAATCAAATTCATTCATCATCTTGGTATTGATGAATTGTACCTATTTGTGTGGTTTGAGACTGTTATAAGTTAGTATTCACGTGTCGGGGTCGATCACCTGGGCGGGCTGGGGGCCAACCTGCCAGGGCCCCCACCTCGACAGCCCGAAGGGCTTACCTTCTAGGCTGAAGCGTTCCTGAGACCCTGAAACTAGCGGCTTGGGGGCTGGTCCATACTGAAAAAGCAGGTCCCTGATCAACAGCCCAAGGTACAGCCACAGGGCGAGCTACTGATCTGTATATCAGAAACAGAGGGATTTTATTCATATTTTCAGGTTTTACTCTTGTGGAAATGATGGAAGAGTGTGAAGGGTGAAATGATGTCAATTTAGGAGTTGAGCTGGGCTGTGTCTACTGGTTCACGTCGGACCCCACCTATAGTCCGAAGACTAAGAACCCTGTGAATCATTAGCAACCAACCCCTCCCATCTCTTATTCTATCTCATCTTTCTCTTTCGCCCTCCCTCCATCCCTCTTCTATTTTCCCTGAATAAACAACTGGAGTTTTAATAACCTGAACCGATTTAATTTTCACAATAATCACGGTAATCTGAAATTTGAAAGAAAGTCATTTCCTTCAACCTCCATCCACTATGTGCAAAGCCGACACTGCGCTCTCCATCCTCTGTGGAACATGGAATCTAGACTCTGAAGAAGAGATGCAAATGATATTCTACGAGAACGGCACGGGCGAAGTGAGTTTGTCTGATATCTAGACACCCTTAACTATTGCTAATCAGCACAGTTAATCCTCCGTCATATATTCAATGCGTGGATCGCTGCTGAGACTGAATGGAAGTCACTTGGGCCTGAGCCACTCGACCAGATTTCTGTCAGCGACAGCAACACTGCCTCTCAAACAGAGGCACAAGTTCTAGCGCACTTCAATCTAGAAATAACACTCACAAAACGGGCCATCACAACACGCGGCTCAACAGATGACTACATCTTAAACGAAGAGAATCTCATCGACGCCGCCTTCCTCCCTAAACGATACTCCGTCCGGTTGGAAAAAGGCTCGTTCAAAACAGCCTTCGAGCGGACAGCGGGACCGGTGCGTCCGTGGCGCCAGTCGTATGCTTATCAGCTTGTTTTTGATAAGTCGCCGTATCCACCGCTGAATGAATGGAAGGATCCGGAGGAGGCGCCTGAGCCGCCGTTTTTGCCGTTTGAGGGGTGGAGGGAGTTTTGTAGTCGGACGTTGCCGAAGGATGGGCAGGCATAGAATATGGGGAGATGTTGTGGGTAGTTTGGTTATTTATGGTGGTTTGATGGTTGTTTGATGGCATCACCTATGAAACCGTGTCTTCACTGCATAAATAAACAGTTATCTATATCCTATCCAACAAGCGCATCAATGACAGCCAAAATCCCACTCTGAACAACCTTAATAGCCTTGCATAATACACCCTCCACCTCTAATAGCTTGATAACTCTAGCTGCATGAATATGCCCATCACTAGCAGCTCTAGTAATTCCACTGTAGTCAAGACTAGGATCGAAGGAGATATTCAGTTCATGATTATTAACTCTAGATCTTAAGCCATCTACGTGGACAAGGAGCATTAAGCGTCTAGGCACATTTCAGTCTACCAAATAATCAGTAAAGAGGCAAACTATTAAGAAAGAAGATAGGCACCCCTATCATTAAGCATAGTAATAAGAATAGGAATCCCATATGAAAATGCTGTCACTAGATAGAATACTAAATAGAAAAGTACCGTCACTAACAATCTACACGACCATTTTCGTTTTCTTTTTATCTAGCAAATAATTGCTTGCTCTGAATAAAATAGTCAGTATGGCCATGGGGCGTTCAGCCATGACAACAAATCCACACAAAGTGCCCCTACCATCACCAGTCCCCTGGATCACGGCCTTCTATCTCCCAATATCAAAGCCCTCGATTAAAGACTCTGTCATGTCAGATGATTCGCGTCCAATCAAGGAGGGGGTCAGTCCCTGGAATTTAAGATAATGGATCCACCAAAGTACCTGAAACTATGAGCCTGCATCCCAACAATATCCAGACAGGTAGGTAGGCCTGGTCACATCACGGCCTACTAGTTGGTCCACGGACTCGAAACGGATCTTGCTGACACAAATAACCAGAATAAGATGACACCAGACTGGGAGGGAGCGTTTGAATTGCTGGAGGCCAAGGGCGACAAAGAGAACCAGCGGCAGTGGCAGCCAGCGACGAAAACCCCATCCTGTCGGACCTTGAAAATGGCACTGTCGGTTAGTATGGACTGAATGATCACGAGAACCCTCGGTATGTATCAAGACCAGGATTTATGGGACGTGGTGTTTCATAGGAACATTCTTGAGCTTTAAACTGGCAGTCCAGATGACAAAAACCAATGCCAGTAAAGGCAATCAATCAGATTCTGTGGAATCTATGTAATAATATAAAGCCAACCCAGTCTGTCCTTAGTATATCTTATCTGTTTATGAAGCTTGAGCCACTTGGTAATATCACTGACAAAGGTATATGCAACACTAATAGGGGTGACCCGTTCTATCACGCCGTTCATCGTTACCTGTCGGCGGACAGGGCAAGAATCAGCTAGGGCTTTGTGTTTGACGTAAGGTACATCGACCATATTGACAGCCCTAGAATCAAGCCCTCGAATGATATGTGACGCATATAAACTTTGACTATGTCTATGTACACAACAAGTATAAAACCTACTCTCTGCACCGTATCTCAGGTCTTCTTTCGCAATTTAAGTCCCTTCATCAGCCATGGGTCCATCAAAAGCTCTACAGCAGTCGGACGATCTTCAGGGTTCCATTGCAAGGCCAATCGCAACCATTTTAAGAACCCTTCCACATCTTCACCTTGGATATCGGCGGCTAGCTTCTCGAATGACCGGTCAGGTATAGGTACTAGATTTTTCCAGTTCCCCGATTCATCCCAGAAGACCCAGCTCATATTCGCTTTTTTCAGGAATTCGGGTGACGGAGGCCCAAGCAGTGCTACAAGTTCTGCGATATGAGCTCCGTCGTCCCAAGTATCGTCTACAACCTTGCCATCGATGATCGTTTTGGGGCTGACAATGTCCCAGGCCTTCCAACATGGGTAAGTATCATGTGAGAGGCGAACAAGGAATGACGCAGTTACTCACCACCATTCCAACACTCCAAATATCCACCTTATAATCCCAATTGGATTTGAGAATCACTTCAGGGGCGCGATAGTAGTCTGGCATGATATTATCACACTGTTCCTCTTCACCAAAGCGGGCTTCGCCTAAGTCACCGAGGAGAGGGAGACCGTCTCCGGCAGGAAAAGGTGAGCTTGTATAGATTGTTCGATCTTGGAGAACCTTCCTCGGTGCTGGCCTGGTAGAGACTTGCTCTTCGAAATCAGACAGCACCTCGGGTGAAGGTGCAGGGAGGAGGAGATTTTTGAGTTGTAAATCTGTTTTGGAATTAGATATGCAGGGTAGTCTATACAGCAAGGATGCTTTTTACCTGTATGTATGAGGTGTGCCACGGAATGCAGAAAATCAAGAGCACCCAAAAGCTGGCGAATGGCCGGTTTCATACCTTCGAGAGTCATTCGGTGGCCATGTTTGAGCTGCAGAAGATCGGATGTATTCATCCCCAGGGCTTGGTGGACCAGACAAAGATGGCGGCCTTTAGTGTTGTCTATGTAGAAATGGTCACATAGCTTGCGAATATACTTCTTGCCAGGATGGTCCGTGTCGATAGAGTCGATGTGTGTATAAACATTGAGTTCATGGTCTCTCCCTTGGCCAGAGACATATATCTTTAGAATGACATGGGTAGATTCACTGGTTACTCAGCAATGGTTACTTGTAGAAATGATCAAGATAACATACACCAAGTCACGAGCAAACCAAACTGTAGAAGTTACCCCAAACCCTACTTTAGCGATGGCTTGGTATCGGTTGTTAAATATCTCTCCCTGTTGGACAGGATAATATTTTTGGGGAGAATATGTTGGTAGCCTTTCCTCCTCAATCTTAGTTCCCGGATCAAGAAGCTCGAATCCCGACGTCGGGAATGTCCGCGGTGTGCATTTCCAATTTGATGATGACATAACTGTCCTAGAGAGTGATCGGCTATGGAGATAGGGGACGAAGGGGGGGATTCGAGTGATTGCCAGAATTGAGAAGCGCGATCGAGTCAAGGTACGGGAAGAGTATCCTGAGCCAATGCTCCAAGGATTTGGCATAGTTACAGATTTAAAGTAAGGGCCACTAGCAGTTGTGCTTTATAAATAGAATCGCAATAACATTTAAAGTCCTGGGCGCGAATGATGGTTTGAGGCCGCCGTCATCCAGCATGTGATGGGGTTGGCGGCTATTTAGCCACGTGATTGCGCCGGAATCACCTGACTGGTCGCTGGGGATTCCAGGCCACTCTGGACCCACAGAAACGCCCGTCGAGGAGTGGAGGAAGTTTTGGCTGACGCCGGCTCAGCTGTTCGATTACTAGGAAGGACTCGACGCTACCCTATTTCCTCCGCTTGTGCCCAGCTTCCAATCAATCATCATTATTTAACCGCCATGTACACCATCTCAGCTGCCGACGTGGAGCCCCACCCACACGGGAAGGGAACCATGCCGCTTATTTCCCATATCAGCGGCTACCGGAGCCCTGGCAGAGCCAGAACTACTGGAAACAATGCCTTCGATTGAGATAGGCGCCGTCAATGTGTTCCTATTAAAGGTGCAAGCCAATGAGCCTCGCGCTCGCGCGATGATCATCCCACAACTGTGGGGCAGGTGGCACACAAGTTTCAGCCTCGCCGGCCTCAGTCCTACACCAAGCCTGAAGCTCGAAGGCTACGGATGCAGTGGTCGACACCGCGTGCCTGTTGACCATCTATGAAATTTTTTTTTTTTCTGCAGCACCATTGGAAGTCGTGCGTCGTTCATACCTGTGGCGTGCTCTCAGGAGGCTCTTAAAATAGATCTCTCGGTACGGACTAAAATTTGACGCTTCAAAGCAGCAAGCAATATGGTTCTATCATGATCCGACGAAGTACAAGGTCAAGCTGTTATTGGTAATGATATGTCTCAGGAAGGCGCCAATGTTTATGAGCATTCAGCCTTGGACTCCCTATATCAAGCAGCCCCCGCGCTCACGTTGACCTTCTCATTCATAGTATTCATTTCCTCCATTAACAACTCGTCTCCAACTCATAATCCTTGAGCTTGACCTGATATATCTACCAATCTCGCATCATGAGCCGGAACCTGACAAGAAATTTTCAGACTGCATCCCGAACCTTGATACAATACATGGGGACTCCGATGGACGAGATTTTGACATCCAACGAGGATGGCGCCGAGTGGAAGTCGTCCGCGACCAACACCTGCACATTGATTGAGCAGGCTGTAAGTCTAATCAGCCATCAAAATCCTTCAACAATCTATACTGATGACCGTCCAGGAACCACGGATCACAGTGGCAGAACTCCAGTATGTTGCAATCTAGTGCCTTTTCCAGTAAACAGTGATTAACAACCCCCCTAGGGGATCGGTTGCACACCAGTCTTCCAAAGACAAGAATGATCAACAAAAAGTTCTCACTTTGGGACTGAAGACCAACAATGGTACCCAGGTCGGTTCCGTCCATGTGCACATGGACGGCACTTTCAAGTTGTTCCCAAATCGTGCGGGTAGAGAGGGTGGTTATGCCGCCAATATCATCAAGGCAAATATTCCAGGATATATTCCTGACCAGCGGGAGGAAGGAAAGAGTTAGATTTGGACGTGTTATTTGAGTAACCTCTGGGTTTCCTGCCGATCAAGGTATCTGTACCGTTACTATAGCAGAAATTGATTACGGCTACCAGATATAATTTGTCTGATAATTGAAGTAGTAAAATGAAGAGTAAAGTAACAGTTCTGATAGCCTGACAGTCCCAGGTTTCACCAGGCAGTGGTGTTAGCGGATGAATCGAGGTGGAACTATAACTTTGTGTGGTTGATGGGCAGCGGAATGCCATAAGAACTGCACTTGTGCTAAACTGTAGTAGTCAAGCACCGGAACCGAAAACTGTGACCTCAGCACGGGTTACGAGTGGATAAATGTCAACACTCCCATCATGTAACATATCTTCCCTTTTCCGAGATTTTGCACCTCTGCTCCATTAAGAATCAGACAAACAGACAAGTGTGGTATTTCCACAGCCAGCTAGGCAAAAGGGATGTAGAGGCAACCATAAACACTGTCATTGATAATTAAAGGAGTACTATATTATAGGTAGATTAACTACTAGTGAAAGATTTTGAAAGTTCATTATGATACATAGTGAAAGACTAGATATATCCTGTCGACGCACTAACAGCTAGACCAAAAACGATAAACCGCTCTTGCCTAGCCAGGCGACGGAGAGATATGTGTCCGAACATATCTTAATAACAATATAAGATAACAGAAAGATTAAACCTGAGTATGGCAACATCTTAACAGAGAAAAGAACGAATTTGATCTTAGAGCCACGAATCATTAGACTACTGAGGAAAAGAAGTATGTGAATCTTCCCAAATACCATAATACATACCTTCGAGCCTCCAGGAAGCGGCCTTTGAGTGTAGTCACGGGACAGAGAGTGAACCCGATCGTCATCGCGCGTCTTAGACTGTGGCCATCTGGTCTCTGTCTACCTCGCAGATGCGCAAGATCAGCTTGACACAAATCACATCATAACCATGTACAGACGATCGAGACAAACCGACGCTGACGAGCTCTCAATAACACTCAGCAAATCGATTCATCCTCTCCATGTGATAGCATGCGCAAGTGTGGCAATGTCGCATCTGGGTGTACCTATTCTTCTTGGGGTAGTGTATATCTTCAACAGTTAGGTCATGGGCTTTTTCTTTTTTATTATCTCTCCCAACATCGCTATAGGTCCCCATGATTGTGGTGCAAGATGAGGACTACATCGCTGCCATAAAGAAGCTCGATCTTGCAGGATTCACTTAAAGTGCTCCGAATCGAGCGTCTGCCTACGAAATAATGGAGACCTATCCAAACGCGCAGCAAAAGCTCGAGGAAATCAACGTGGGCTACAGACGCTTGGATCGGTCTTGTATGGTGTTTGATTATCCTTGTGATGGCCGAACAGAGGGATATATGCAGCTTTACTTGCTCCCTCATTATTTTGCCCACGTATTTCCAGACAGTCAAGACCCTTCGTTTCAGGTAGAAGGTACAGCGTTGACTCAACACTTTCAGACATACGGCAATTTACACTACCCGCTGGAATCCGTGCTAGTGGAAAGCTTGGTCAAGGCTGCTATAGATGAAGAATCGGTGATGGGGCTTTCTGCATGGGGGGCAAGACTAGGATCTTGGATATCTCTCATAAAGGATATCTAGAGGTTAATACGTACATTCTGTTGACTGCCCGAATTAGCAAGCGGTGGGGTGGTATAGTGTTAATTTTGGTCGGATATATGAGGCTAAACATGGCCCTATCGATCGCCGCATCTCCAAGTGTCCTCGCTCAGGAAGGGAGATGTGTGCGGATATGAGAGTTAATCCACTTTGAACACTATGCAGGATTTAGCCAAGCATGGGAATTGTTTCACCTATCTTCATGTGTATTTTATCTCAATGTTATGTATACGTCCGGATTAGGATGGTGATCTGTTGCAATGCGGCGGAGCGGAGACGCGGTGTTACGATGCGGACTAGATAGTACTTCGATACAGAGCTCAGGCCGTCAGGACAACTGATCTAACTGAGATTTATCTCTGCATCTAACTCTCATCTAATTCTAAACAAGCACATACGACCACAGGGTGTGGAAAACAGGGCTTCCCGTCCGCTCAGCCGTACTTAGGCCACACGCCGGGAGGTTAGTAGTTGGGTGGGTGACCACCAGCGAATCCCTTCTGTTGTATGTTTTTCTATTTTTCATTTTGAGCCTTTCGACCTATTGATGCACATGTGACCGCAAAAAAAAAAAAAAAAAAAGGAGAAAACGATTCAAAGACTTTAAACACTTGTTGTTGGCATGTAGTCTTCTGGTACCAGCATCCGGGTCTGAAGTAATTTGCGCCTATCATCGTCATATTCACATTTTACTTCGAGCCTTCTTGGAAATGCCACTAGCAACTTAAACACAGGACATACTTGAATGTATTCAAATTGGAGTGCCTGGGAGTCAGGGAATCAAAGTTTCGGTCTGATAGCAACTGAAAACGGGTTCGGCCCGTCGACGGGACGGATCGCTCCGGAACCAAGCCTTGATGTGTCCCTCGATCACTTTCTTCAATTTATTAGAAATTTTATACACATATCTCCATTAGACAGCCCTCTACGACGTACAATCGAGCACTAACACTGGCTCGTCGCATTACGGTCGCTAGTGGGGCCGCTTGCATGGCTGTACTTGTTCCTCCACAATATCGTGATAGAGTGTAGATGGAGCAACATTGCCTTAGATAGTTATATTATGCACCGAAACCTAATTTTCCCTCCAGCCCATTATCCAGCAGCAGGCTGATCACCTCTCTATTACCCCCTTGTCTCGCCGCCCACATGATAGACCGCCCCTTTTCATCCCTGAATTTGGTGCTGGCTCCCTTGTCTAGCAGATACGCCACAGAATCTCTCTGGCCCTTAAAGGCTGCTCGATACAGTGCAGTCCCCCATACATCCCCATACACACCACAATTGAACCACCACCAGTGGGCCTCCTCCAAATCTGCGCCATGCTCTACCAGTAACTTCAGTGCTTCCATAATGCCCATTTCAGCTGCCGCAATATGCGCGACACTACCCTTCTGGTTCCATCCATGTTGTAGTAAAAGATGGAGAATCATCAGTAATGGCCTCTCACCCGCTAACGCAGCCACGCTCGGTTCCATATCATCATACCCTGCCCAGGAATCATTTGGATACTGTCCATTCTCCAACAGGAAGCGTACAATATCAATATTACCCTCGTATGCTGCCAGGCTCAGAGCATCACCTATTTACTCACTGCGATGGCCATTTAGGTTGAAGCCATTCTTGACAACTCTTTTCCACAACTCAAGTGATCCAGCGGCGCAGACTTGGAAGTAGAACTCGTCATTTAGTGTTTCAAGAGGTAGCTGGAAACCCTCGGTGAAGACCCAGTCTATGATGTCAAGCTGAATGTGTTTTGCAGCGAGTGCAGCGATCTGATATAGTAGCCTGGGCTGTCCATCTGGGTCTGTTGACTCGTAAAGTTCCCTGACGGCCGAGAGTTTGTCATTGGCGATGTCCGCCTCGAGACTCTGTGGGATCTGGCTTTCCAGCGTCAAAGACATGGCGGAATGAGAAAAAAGAAACAGTGAGGACTTGAAAAGAATAGTTGAAGACGTGAGAGTTACATGAAGTGAAAATAGCCCATGGGCTATGTACGGTATTTGCGTGGATTGCTGAGAGTGTGGTATGTCGGCTGTCTGTCCGTCTATAACCAAAGATAGAACTGTACGAAAGGCATATGATATTCTCAACAAGACTCGCCATGGGATTGTTTCTACAGCTGTGGAGATTAGATGCGCTGTAAGAGGTCTCTGTCAGATTGCCAGCCCCTCATCATAAGATTGGCTTAGTCAGGCTGTACAGGGCTAGCGGGGCTTTAGCACCATTCCGTTTAGTTTGGGGGCTTGTCCGGTGACTGTACTGATAGACAACCCTCTCCCCAAGAGATCGGGATGTCGAGATGAACACCATGTAAACTGCGAGTACGCGACTGGATTTGGGGTTTCGGGTTCGACGGGTTCATTGAGTACCCATAGACATCATATATTTAAATCGGTTTACGAAAGAGCCCTGCTAGAAAGTTTCAGGGTTCCTCAGACTGACTAGCCAGGCTAAGAGTGGGCAGCCTAGAGATAAGATCATATATTTCGATACCACATTTGCCAGGTCGTAATGTGGTCTCTCATGCCCATTAGCATGCGTGATATTCGTACATATGTTCATGTTTCTTAAATGCCTTTCAACTTATTGTTCTGGACTGGAATATCATGGCAATGGTATCTAATCACAGCATTGTTTTATAAGAGACACTGGATTTTCCAGGTTCCATAAATTTCCTGGGCATAAGACATTGACATTATGGCTGCAGGGCAGTCGGTATGGTGTTTTCTATCATTTTTTCCGACATACTTATATTCAATTGTAGTACTTTATAGGTGCCGAAGTGTGAGAAATATATAGGAGCCACCATAGAAAACCTGCTAGCAGTAGACAAATTGATAATTATCAGGAAGGGGACTGCGAAGAGATAGATTTTGATATGTGGGACTGATCAATGAATTCGAAAAGTCACAGAAGGGAGTGGATCCCGGCGAGCTGAAAATGGGACCCACATATAACTGTTCTTGGTGGAACTCGACTAAGTTTGAAGCTTAAGAGCAGTGGGGTCAAATCCGCTCCTCCACTGGGCTAGTATTCCAGAAGGAAGTCTTGGCACTCACAAATCAGTTGTATTCAAATGGATAGCATGCGGCCGGTCATGCTGATATTGGTTCTACAGAAAAGAGAAAATAACATCAGGAATCCTGGCCTGAGATGAACTTGCCCTATAGGGGCGTGGGTCGCGTAATAACGCTTTGACCGGACAGACGTACTCTGGGTGTTACGATGTCAATATGTATTTGGTAACAATTTTTCATCACATCTAGAAGACCCACCAATATACGGTAATTCCAGCATGATCTATTTAGGACAAGAACTTATATGCGCGAGCACGTATGATGTACGCGTATTATGACCATGTCAAAGTCAAGGGAAACCGGCTGCAAACTACCCATTATCGACAAAGACGACACAACACAATAGTTCGTCTAGGCAAGGGAGAAAAGCAGAAAGAAAAGAAATGGGATAAACGGGGATTCGAACCCCTGTCTGCGGCCCAAAAACTTTAGCTTCTCTTGATTGTGTCACTAAGGCGGCGGTCCATCGCCATACCCCGGCCGCTGGACTATATCCCTGTTTATTTCCTGTTTCCGTACAATATGGACTATTCTCGATCCAAACTCACATAGTACGGTCTTACAAAAACTGTATCTCTGTCTCCGTTCAGGTTTGTTTCTATCTATACCTCAGCCTTTCAGGATATGCGGCTTTGCTGTTACTTGCCCTTTGTATGTGTTGATGTTCGTCACATTTTAGCCTTGTATGTTTCAATATTCAGGCTACATTGATCGCAAACGTGGTTTATGAAATTCATCTGACTACACCTAGTTCTTGGGTTGGTATGTGTGAGCTTGCCCCCAGCAACAAAATAGCACCCAGACGAGGTGATGATGACGTAAGAAATTAAACGTAGTTATTGATCTATGACCAGTGAATATGCAACAGACCATCTCATACTCTAAGGTGGTCTTGAAACTAAAGGAACTATTCACGCTAAATGAGTGGCAAGTCCCTCCATTCTTACATTCTGGGAAGGTCTAGTGCGCTTTTGCGAGCATGTACTATAGTTCATTTTGCAAGGAGCCTGGACACCGGCCATTGTTATGATCTCTCACGCTCCTTTGTAAAGTCTGAATTTAGTTCATCATGCTGACCTCATGAAAATGGAGCTTGATCAACAGTTTGAACAGGGCGACCTTTCCAAATTTGAACTTACTTATAGGAAAGGCCACCCAGGACCTTTCTCACTCAGGGACACCTTACTCGTGGCGCGCCAACATAGGAATGGTTTATTAGCTTAAAAGGACATTCCAAGCAGAGATGATTAAATTGGTATCATAAGTAGTAGTCATATTTATTGAGGAGTATAGTATGAATCTATAATATGATATTATCAGTCAGCTGCACTTGAAAGTGTTGATTGTCCCAGCAACTATTACTGTCGCAGTAGAATTTCTGGTAGTGCCATTGATGATTTAATTCCATTCAAAGAATTTGAAGAGATACATCTTCTTTTCAAACGTAAGCAGAACGGTTGTTGCCTAGGCAGATGGCTGCTGATCCCCGCTGATGACTCACCACAAAAGCACACAGCCTTATCTTCACCGTCCGTGTTCTCAGCCAATAAGGCAATGACACAGCCCGTCACACGTCAACTACTTTTCGAAGAGATAGTAGAACGTCTTTTTTAAGCTTCAGCCTCTTTAGGGATACATATAATCTTCATTCCTTGCCCCGACAATCTAATAATCACAGTCATTATCTAGGCCGAGTTGGTCGCCAATATAACGAAATGATATCCTGCACTACCATTCCCGTGACAATCCCAAAGAATAGCCCAGGTGGCCTAATACCCAAGGCCACATCCAAAATCATCATCAGCACATTCCTCCCCCGCGAGTGGCCAGATGTGGATCCGGAAACCCTCACAGTGACACGCACCACCGGATATGCAAATACGAACAGTGTTGTGGAGCGACCGAACCCAAATGGCAGCGAGACACCCCTTTTGGAGCCATTTAAGGTATTCCTTAAGATTCACGGCGAGCTTGACGGGGAAATCGAAGTCTTCGAGCATTTAGTTCCCAGCAAGTACGAAGAAGCACAATTAAGCCATGAGTATGGTCAGTCTGGCCATGGGGCGAAAGTACTCGGCTTTTTCCAGACTCAGGATGGTGTCTTCGGGAGGGTCGATGAGTACTTGGATGCACGTACCCTGGTACCACAGGATGTCGAAGACGCTGATACCCGAGGCGATGTTGCGAGAGCTCTTGCTACTTTCCATGCTATGGATACGACCATACTGAAGAGGAGCCCTGTACAGGCATACTATGATACTGTCACCAGAGAACTTGGCAAGTATCACGGGATGGACAAGCTGAAGAGACTGGCACATGCAGGGGGCATCTGCTTGGATCATCTCGTGGATTATGACTTCGTGTATAGACTCCGACGGGTCATAGATAAGCTGGAATCAATTGGGACAAAGGAAGGATGGTGCATCCATGACTTCCAATTTATGAATGTCTTGGTGAGGAACAAGCCACGGGCAGGGGAAAGCAAAGTTGTTCTTATCGACTTCGAATTTGTGTTTCGCAATTACAGAGCATTTGATATCGGTGCACACTTCTTGCAGAAGTTGTTCCAGTGGTTCAACGAGCAGAGCCAAATTGCCGATTGTCGGCCTTATTCGGACGAGGAGAAGCGGCATTTTTGCGAGGAATATGCAAAACAGTGGAATCAAAAAACAGGTGACTCGGATACAGGGGAGCAGGTTTTCGCGGAGGCTGAGCTCGGGTTCATGCTGGCTATTACGTTTGAGATCCACAACATGCTGTGTTTCATGGATCAGGATGATGATAAAGATCCGTTGAATCTCTTGTCGCTTGATAAGTTGTATAGGGAGTTCACCGACCAATATGTCAAGCTCGGGCTCGAACGCTGAACAGTGTATGCTAGTGCCTGGTAGTGAGCTTTAATCTAGCCATCGCTTCAGGCGTCAACAATGAGTCTTATGAAATCATCGATGAGGATGCGCCCCTTGGGTATGCCTGGTGGCTTGCCCTGTTAGACAGCAACATGCAAGTGCCAACCGCAGGGCGTACGACCCACATGGCCGATTGAAAGCGGACAGTTCACCCAATCCTGCATCCCAACCAGACACTCATGGAAGTCCTACTACGTACCTACTGGCCATTGACTTGTCTACGCCGTTAAGACTGGCCGAGTGCTGGTTTCTGCCGAATTACTCTCACAACTCAATAGTCGTCTCTGATACTGGAGAGCTCCACCACAGGAGGCACAGCTGTTTTCCTTGTAGAAAATTATGAAGTGCAATAAGACAACATCTATTATTATAACCCTCCGTCTAGACAGATAGATCATTCCTACTTCGCATCTCCTCCACAAGTTCAATAAAATCAGCATCCCCTTGCGTCGCTAGCTCTTCAAACTTCGGAGCATTAGACCTTAGCCAGCTAGCATCCTCACCAGCCTGCACTCCAAATTTCATTAGCTCCGATACGAAGAATAAATGCTTACTCATGGAAATCAATAACGGGTAGGAACATGAGGAAGTGTCGCTTACCCGAGGGAGTAAAAACCCATTCTCCATGCCTGTAGTGATCCCACCCAAGACAAACACCGCATTCAGTTTTCTCTCCTCCAATACTGGCTCACCATTACGGATCACTCGATCCCACGCCTCGGAGACACGTTGGGCAAGCTCATCAAAATCAGCCGTCGTTCTCGTTCCGCCTGCCCGAACATACGCCATGATGCGGTTGATGGCACGCTATGTTGACAAAGAGGTGTCAAATTCCCTTGCTTTGATACTAAACAGAAACTGGTAGTTACCCACCTCCTTGCCCGCCACATAGTTATGCTGGCTGTTGGCATCTATGAACCGAATATTCACGAACAGGCTAGGGGTGGCAAATTTGCGGGTGTGGATGTGGGTGATGGCCTGTGCAAGCTCATCACGTTGTGATTTGTCCAGGGGGATACTGTGCTCAATCTCGTACAAGGGCATTTTGAGTATGGTTGAGCTTGCAGGTGTGCAAAAGAACTTGCATGTAATTGGGGCATTACTGAATTAGGAAGCTTGATGATTGTGGTCAAGGTGCGTAGGATATTTAAGTACCTTGATTCCCCGCATGAGCCCCTCACTTGACATGCCAATCCATGCAATCTTCTCTCGGCCGACTCTACGCAACGATATTCGATGCAATTCTGGATTGACGTAGTTCATAAGGCAATCGTAATTGCCAGATTTTCCATTAATTGGGTGCTAAATAGGCATTCCGCTTTGCTGAATGTCTGGAAAGGCCCATCGTCACCCTGACAGTCGAGTAACTGCACGCACTATGAATTAGTTCCCAAGTCGTCTGATATTTCACGAGAGGCTCAGGTCTCAGCCTAAATGTGGTATAGAACATGCTGTCGCTCTTTGCGGTGCGAATGAACGACCATAATGGTATACTATACACAAGCCAATCTCACCATCCTTATCCGTCTTGATGAACTGTCATGTTTACCGTCAGCCGTACTCCGGCTACTGACAAGGGTCCTAGCGGATATTACAGAGAGACTACGTATGTCATCATTTCAATCAGAGGTATGAAGTCCAATTTCCATTGTCTAAACAGGTCATCGTCAATCCGAATCCTCGAAGTCACTATCATTCCCTTCACCACCCTCCACGAGCACCTCATTCTCCTCCGTGAGCATCTTCATCCCGACCTCATTACCAACCTTCTCCGCAGCCTGTAGAGCCGTGCCAAACTCTCCCTCCGCATCAACATCTGCATCCCACTCCAGCAACACTCTCGCAACGCAGCGATGACATTCCCAGCTGCAAGACATATCGAACTCAGCCTTCCAGCAAGTTTCCCTCCACTTCTGTGCCATCACCGCTACAAGCGGGGTTCCGTAATCTCCACCCCGCGCATTAATATCTGCACCCGCTGAAAGCAACGATTCCACCGTTTTCCAGGAGCCAGAAACGGCTGCTGCATGCAGCGCAGTTCCGTGTCGACCTCCAATCAGATGAACATCAGCACCGTGGGAGATAAGGATATTGGCACCTTTGCTGTCCTTCTTTGTAGCAGCGATGTACAATAGGGTTTCGCCAGTCTCGGGATCCCTGGTATTCGGGGATACCTCTTGGTCTAACAGATATTCGAGCATCTTTCCCGAACAGAAGGGAAAACAGTATTGAATGAGACGAGAGCATATCACCAGCCGCTCAGAGGGATTAATAAATTGCGAGTCCAGAATCAAGCGTGTGCAAGTGACATGTTTGCGGCTGATGGCTGTTTTCAACGCTTCTTCAACGATTGATGAGCTGTGTTTCGCGTACTGGAGCAGGACTGAGAGTATTCCGCTATATCCTTCGCTGGAAGCGAGGACTAAGGGTTCTTTATCATTCTCCCCATTCTGCTTGTCATTGAAGAAGAGTGGTGTCTTGAGTCTTAGTAGTGCCTCAACAGGAGGTAAGTTGTTCCGCACACCCTCCATTGCAGCCACGACGGCGCGTTTGATGTCTCCAGTTGATGGCTCATACTTTCCAGCCACGTAATCAATCTTATCGAGGTCGCCCGTCTCCGATGCCCAAAATAAAAGCCTCGGATACAGTTCAACGTGGTTCGCCACATCGTATTGACTCCGGTCCACTGCCTTCCAAGCATCAAGGCTTCCTCTCTGTACAATGTCCGGGACAATTTCTTTGATCTTGCTTGGTAGATCATTTGACTCTGCCCCCGCACAAAGAAATATCCTGACCACTTCAATCCAATTTGGCGAGTTGGAACTCCACCAGGTATGGCGAAAATTTTGGACCTTTTCAATTGCAATGTCCAGACAGAGATTGCCATGCGCATCACGGGCGTTCATGTCAGCCCCATTCTGAAGTAAAGCTTCGACAACGGCACTTCTGCCCTGCTTCGTAGCTACCAATATTGCATCTGGCCAACGTTCTAGACCACAAAGCTCTAGTATCTGTGTCGCAATTCCTGCATATCCTTCTGCACAGGCATAATTGAACATACCATCAAGTTGTTCCGCTTGGAATCCTGCGCGAACTGCTTCTTGAACCAGCATTGTTGCAATGGATCCCTTCTTGCGGGCGAGGCTCGTCTCTACAGCAGATGTAAAGGTGCCATGTATTGCATATCCCCACGGGTCGTATTGAAACAATCGTCTCGCAATAGACTCATGGCCCCAAAAGCATGCCGCGAACAACGGATTGCAAAGTAGCTTGCTGAAGTCGCATTCATCAGATGAGCCCGTCTCTTTCAGACGCAGCTTTCCTTTGACATGGACATTTGCTCCATTCTGGAGAAGAATAGAGACTCCAGATTCATGTCCATGAACGGAGGCAAGGTGCAATGGTATCGCTACCAGATTTTCGTCTCGTTCAACTTCGCCACCTGACTCCAAGTTGTCGGGTCTGTCACCGGAGAGAATGGAATTGCCATCAACTTTAGCTCCTTGTTGGAGCAAAAAGTTCATCATGTGCTCGTCGCCATTCTTCGCTGCCAGGCAAAGCGCCGTCTCAGAATTCCCATCAGCTTCATCCACTTCTATACCACGATGAACAAGCAGCTTCACTATGTCGAAATGTCCGGCCAACGATGCAGCTTGCAGCGCGTTCCCGATATTCCGTCCTGGCGACCTCACATCGGCTCCAGTGTCAAGTAACAACTTCACAATGTCAATGTGTCCTGCATTGCAAGCCACCTGAAGTGCATTGCCGTTTTCACCTCCACGATCTTCCACGTTTGCTCCGCGCTGCAATAGAAACTCGACTGTCTTAATATCTCCCCGCTCGGAAAATATCTGTAAGCAGGACCCAAACATAGCCCAATGCTTATCAATTCCCGCACCCCGGGACAACAGCACGTCTGCAACATCGAAATGACCCCCTTCCAAGGCCGCCTGCAATGGAGTCCCTAGTGTCTGTCGTATCGCATCAATATCGGCTCCACGATCCAAAAGACACTGCACCACCCCGAGATGTCCCCAGAAAGCCGCAATTTGCAGTGCAGTGTACGCACACCCATTTTGATAATCATTACCTTCTTCATTCGCGTCGGGCGCGTCGATGATCGCTCCCTTGGCTATGAGCTTCTCAACTAATTTGACGTCGCCTCGTCTTGCAGCAATCTCTAGCGGTCCGAGCTCTGTAGGAATGTCTAGCTGTCCAGTTCCGTCTCTCCGGCCCGGTAACGCAAGTCTCTGCGTCCTCTCAGAGCAGCTGCATAAATATACCCTACTCTCTCGTCCTGGGTTGAGCTTAGCACCAGCCATCAGAAGAATCTCAACAATCCTTTCATTGCCACTGTATACGGCAGCTTGTAGTGCATCGCGATACCGGCCTTTGCGGTCTAACGAAGCACCATGATCAATCAAAAGTCGAGCGGCCTGTTCATGACCATTGAAGCAGGCAGCTTGTAGTGCAGTACCGAAGTGCCCTCCACAACCGTCCACAGACGCATCGTGGGAAAGCAGCAGAAGCATCATGTCCAACTTTCCAAAAGACGCAGCGGCTTGAAGTGGGTCACCTAAATCTTCATCTCTTTTATTAGGATCGGCGCCTTTATCGAGGAAATATGTCGCGATATCAAGCTGAATAGTTATCGCAGCCGCCCGCAATGGCAAGCCAAAACGTCCGCGAGCGTCGAGTCTGGCACCGGCATCAACAACCAACTGCACGAGGGCAAGTTTACGACTAGCAATGGCGGCAGCAAGAGCATTTCCGAAGTACCCTTTCTCTTCATTGATGTCAGTGCAGCTCTGAAGCAACTGCTTCGCTTGACGTGCTTTGCCACCGAATAGAGCAACCTGGAGAGGGTCAGGGCAGATATTAGGTGTGAAACTGCCAGCCTTGCCGTCTAAAAGTTGCTGGACTATGTTAGTAAATCCTTTGAAGCTGGCAGTATCTAACGCATCGGCGAACTGCTTTTGTGTGACTAGCTGAAGCCCACTGTCAATCAAGACCTCGGCGATGTTATCATGGCCATTTGCTAGAGCTGCGTGGAGTGGACTTGAGTATTCACCCTTCTCAGTCGGAGAAAAAGTGGCACCACTATCCAGCAAGATTCGCACGATATCTTCATGGCCACTAAATGCCGCTGCTTGGAGTGGACTTCCATATTGATACCCGGGTCCGTTGACATCAGCTCCCAGTTGAAGTAATTTCCGGACTACTCCAGTGTGGCCCCAGCGAGCAGCGAGATACACGCCTGAAGTCCCATGCCTATTGGTTTGATTCACATCGATCATCTCAATGACCTCTGGAAAATCTAGCACTTCGGAAAGGCCAAAACAGGAAACTGTGAACAAGGCCGATGGCGGTGAAGCAAAACATGCTTCGAGCTTTCTCTCAAGCGAGTTACTCCAACGATAGCCTTCTTCCACTGGACGTTCGTCGAGATGTTCTATCCAGTCTTCGAAGTGCTCTTCTTGAGTGAAAAATTCGGTCATTATTGCCTGAATTTCATGTCTTTGGTGCGATCCATTTAGCTGCTGTACGTGAGCGGGCCAGTATCTCGTTGCATAGTGTAGAAGACCATCTTCGCTGAACTCGCCCCAAAGAAAAGTACCTAAACATCTCCGAGATACAGTCAAATTAGCCTCAAGAACGGCGTCGTTGGAATTTTCTTCCAGGAACCTGTGTATGAGCTGTCAGTTCTGTACTTTTTCGCTTCGAGTGGACAAGAATTCTTACTCTCGGACCGTGACGTGCGCTAAGCGGAATGTGTCTGCCACGTTGTCAATGACAACCAAATTGCAGCAGTAGTCAATGATTGACCTCGCTGATATAGAATTGCATTTCACCGGGGATTTCCTGACAGCCGCAAGGAATTCAGAGACTGAGAGCTTCCTTTTCGCGCATAATAGCCACTGAAGGCTTTGTAAGGCGACCGTCCTCGGGCCTTCACCCATGTCTTGGATCCGTTTATAGAGGAGTTCGTATGATTGATTCAATGTTTGCGGTAGAGACGTCAATACTTGGCGGATACTGTCGATATCTTTGATTCGTTCCATATCGCAGATACGTTCGAGCTGGAGCGTCACCCAGAGGAACCTGCTACTATTAGCATCATGTGTTGTGACAGCAACGCTCTGGATCTACTCGCATTCCATGTGCGCCTGCCACGAGTGCCTCTCTTATCTCCTTCTCAAGCTGCTGCAACAACAGTCTAGGCTCCTCGTGTATAGTAGACCATCTCTGCACAAAGGACTCGACCTGGATCCCAATAAACCGGTTCAGATCTTTTTCATTTGCGGAAGCAGTCACCTCTGAGACTTCTCCTCTATTAAAGTGAGCTGCAATGTCTGCTTCATGGCGACTGGACACGAAGATCTTGACAACATCTCGACACTGGCGTCGGATTTCTTCAAGAGCGTGAATAATAATGCCACGCTGTTGAGAGTTGCACTCGTCTAATGCATCTATGACAATCGTAAGCGGAGTTGCCCGGCCAATTTCACACATGAGCTCAGTGCATTCTTCCACTGTAAGTGGCGCTGGCCTTTCTCCGGTGTGGCTCGCTTCTGCTCGTCGTTCTTGATAGGCTTCAACTGAAGGAAGTCTTATTGTCTTTTCACCTTCAATGAGTGAAACCTGTTTAAGCAGCGATTGTAGTATTTCGCGAGCATCGCTGCGTTCCGGCTCTGCGGGGTTTCGCGAACAGAAAAAATGAGCAATTGGTGCTGGTTGGGATACACCACTGCTCTGCCGATGTAAGTGTCTGATTACGATCGCGCTGGACGGCAAGTCATCTCAGTAGAAGGACTACACTTTCTAGATTGGAGGCTTACGTGAGCCTTGTTTTTCCACAGCCCGCTTCATTATCTGTCAGCTTATGATGGCATGCATTCTAAGTATGTCTGGTTGGAACTTACGTATTCCATGCAGCCAGAAGGTTTCTGAACTACTCGAATCTTTCCAATTAACGAAGCGTGGCTCATTCAAAAGCCACTCACCAGATCCAGAAAGTACAGAAGCCAATGCTTCTTTATAATGTTGTTGTATGGTAACAGTAGAAAGCCACTGTAAAAGTTCACTTCTCTCGCTTTCTAAGTGAAGTTAGTACTGGTCACTTATTGAATTTAGTAGGGATGGGACCTTTGAGAGCAACATGCAGATCAGATACCTCATCCGCGATCCTAACAATAGGTTGATCAAGATCTGCAAAGGCCTTGTCCAGTCGTGCCTGTATATTGTCGACACCGTTCACGACTGAAGCGATGGTAAAGAGCATTGTCGAAACCCCACCATGAACGTTTTCCATCCCTGACAGAGGGTTAAATTTGTTTGTCAACATAAGGTGAGATCTCTCGGAAGACTTACGTTCACTATCAACTAGACCCTTCATCACAAATACCCGCTGCTCTGCAACCTCCATTTCTTTGACCGAGTCTTGGAGAGACTGCCGAGAGGTAAGGCTTAGAACACGTTCTATATGTTCATCGTCAACAGACAAAAGCTGGGTTGGCTTCATAGGAAGATTCCGCCTACTCATGCGCGATCCATCATAGTGCTTTTTAGCCTTACAAATGAAACTCAAGACCGCCGAATACAGCTTCACCAGTTCCTCTTCCAAGCCCACCTTCGCATCGTTCGTTGCACTACTATTCCGGATGACCAGGGCTTCGAGTATGCCGCAACGGGCTATCAATCGAGTTGCTTTTTCAAGGCCCTCCACTATGACACCAAAGGTCTCGAACGCCATAAATGTCAACTGCAGCAGGAAACGCACACCCGCCCAGGGTAATGCAGCATGAGCAGGGTCAATTTGGACAGCTGCATCTACCACCTCCATGAACTTCTTAACATACGCGACGATTTTGGAACATACGTCGCGAATGACAATCTCTTTGCCCCCGATGCTGACTGTGGTCCATTTGTCTCTTTTGCATCGGTCGCGCTGTGTCTCAAGCGCTACCAGGATTTCGGTCAAGATCTGTTTGGTATCTAAAGGCGACGTATCGGGGAGCTTGAAAATCCGCCGGTCTTTCTCAGAAAGATTTGAGAAGGCGATGGCCCAAAGTGAGGGCGTTGGGGTTGCGGAGATGGTCATTGTGAGACTGGCTTTTCCAGCCGTTCTCTGTCAAACGTACGCTCACAGCATCACAACCACAATATAATCCGAAGGCGTGCCCTTTGGGTTTTATGAGACGTGGACGAGGAGGCGTCAGCGTGCAGAAGGAATGTAAGCAGAGATGTGGCAGTGCAATCAGGCTGGCAGATCAGATCCGAAACTTGAAAAGAGAGCCTCGTCCGGTGTCCCTCGTATCCAAGGTGGGGGCCCAATCCTGCGATGATCCCATCTCATCATGATGCCTAAACGCTCACTCAGATAGTTACCCCTGCATGGTCACTTGCATTCCATCCAGTATATAGCATATAGCGAGCTAGATACATGAGATCCGCGACATCGAACTGGGTTCAAGGTACAGTGACGATAGCTAATAGTCCGACAAAGGCCTGCAGGACGTAAATAACGGCCCACACTGGCAACAAGGGTGAGAGGTACCATACTACTGTACATATTGGTGGATAGATATCTGTCAATAGATAGCCCAGGTTAGTGGCAGAAAGGTGATTTGTGATGCCTGTAATCCACCATACTCAGTGCACCTAGATTAACACAAGTGGTACGTCTCGATGCATTGAAATTAAGGGTGTCAAGAATACAGACGAGCTGACGTAACTAATATATCCTACATCTAGATCAGACAATCAAGCCGATATCCTACGCTAATTCGTGATTAAATCCAGGTTCCATGAATAGACCTGTCGTTTATTGAATATGATAGCCTTTGTTGATTGGTTCCCCGACCGTTCAGGGCAAGTTGCAAGAGAGCTGCCGAAGCTTTGGTTGATCCAAGCTCTCTTCAACATTTAGGCTTTTCCCAGCCCTTGGTGTGCCCACACATACGGGGGATCCACTCCAAGAAGTTTACTTGGCGTATATATGCCATCGATGACCCCAGTACATCCTCCCTAACGCGCTCCATCATCCATATCCCAAATTGATCCCTTTCCTCCAAGCTCATATAATTAATATAACCTCACATGACAACAACACATTCTAAGCCACACCATGTCCGAAACCTTCTTTACAGACCTCTACGGTGAACACAGCGGTCGCCATCCCTCCATGGGAGATCTAAAGGATCGCCTTTCCGTGCAAGTCAAAGACAAGCTTGCTAACGAAATAGCCGACGACCCTCGCACGGCGTACCTCGATTATGGAGGCAGAATCCGAAAGGTCAAGGAACATGGCAAGCTTTACGAGAACCCGTCTCACGAAGAATTGACCTTTGGACCGGATGGTTCTGATACCGGCAGACATGGTTGGCGCGGCTGGACTATTGCCCATTTACGGGTGACCTTTGATGCTGAGGATATTTGATCTCGTGCCATTTCCTATTACTGGCTTTAAAACATATATGGAAGGGGATTCGGAAAGAGAGGGGCTAATGCTGGTTTTGTGGTTGAAAGTAACTAAGGAATTGGTACTTCCAAAGGCTCGAGTCAAGTCAAATGATGTTCCTCTTTTTTTTTTTTCCTTTTTTCTTTTGGCCTCTCTCTCTATCTTGTGTTGTAATTGCTTGGCTTCATGACATCAAAAGCTCAGCTACCGGGAAATTGTACTATCTATTCCCATCATTTCTGTGCAGATGATTATCGTATTACTTGCGGACAGATTGGAAGTGGTACTCTACAGGCTCCTCACAGTAGCCGCAAATATATATCGGGTTTGGTCTTGGCAGAGCTCGGTCATCAATATCGCATTCAATTTGTTCGACTACTAGAGGCCAATAAGCTTGTCTCAAAGCTTAAATTAACCCGCCGTATTCGTAATCCCTAGACTTTTCCACCAAATATTTGAGTGAGCGGAGACTGCAGCCGACTACCAATTGACGGGAGGGTGTCCTTCGCCCCTACCGTGGTCCTTCGCCACGAACACGAGCTAATGGGCAATCGTTTCATTGAATAACCCCCGCATAATTTCATACCAATGCTTATATTCCGATTGGAGATCGCTGTGATAACCTTAGTTAAAGTAACACATACGAGTCAGTGCCATGGATGGAAACGTCCCTCGTGCTGGATCCGGTAAAATGTCCTCGGGTCAACCACCCCTATTGGCTACCCTAGTAGCAAGTAGGGGATATACCTAACCGCATTTAATCGCCGTGAGGTTGTATACCTCTAAGCTCATGGAATATTTGCGGATGCGATCGAAAATCATGCGAGGGTTGAGTGTTTCCATGTGTGACTAATTGATGAAATAAGCATCACCGTCGTCATCTCAAATTGCAGATGACTATCTATTACTCGGGAGGGAAGATGATGAGGATTGGCTGACCAGGATCGTCGGTTCAATGATTATAGTGACTTACTCTGTCTGAGGTTACCGTCTTGTCTGTCTATTGAGAGTCGTGCTGGAGGTTCGCACATTGAATAGGATGGTTCTTATCAGCGTCCTTGTCACAAACACATAGCTCAACACCTGCTGTTACAGCCATCAATGACCTTCTCAGATATACCACATAGTTATTACTACTTGAATGACAGAAAGCAAGCACTGCAAATCACCTACACACCCTCACACCCACCCCCTACCAGACAACTCCCTCTTAAATCGCCCAAACTCTCTCCAACCCAGAACCTAACCCCCTCCCCACCCACAGGAACCCTCCAATCCTGCACCTCAACATCCCAAATACTCACATCCTTCCTCGTAACATTCAGCACCACCGTTTGACTCTCCCCGGGCTCCAGGATCCCCGTTTTCTAAACTGTCTCAGCTGCCGCGACGGCGCATCTACCCCCAGTGCATCCGTCGGTAATTCCACGTACAGCTGGGCCACAGCGCGACCACTAACGTTCCCACTGTTTGTGATAGTTACGTCCACCGCGAAGGCAACATCCCACAGGGCGGGATTCCCACCGGCGCCACCACCAGCTCGGGGTGCAGGTTTCGGAGTGGTGGAGTAGCCGGATGGATAGGGGTATGAGGATGAAGAGGAGTTGGTGACAGATTGCGGGTTGTCGAGATATGGGTACAAGTAGCGCCAGATACGAGAGAAGGAGGATGGCCAGGCGACCTCGGATGGGTTTGGGATGGCGGTGCTGTACGATGGGGTTGGGCCTTTGGAGGGGCGAGCTGGGGGGTAGGCCGTGTCGAGGTCGGTGACGGTGGTGAGAGATGGCGTGGTGTAGGTGAAGGTGGTGTAGGAGAGGCCGTGACCAAACGGGTAGCGTGGGGTGATGTTGGCTTTGAGGAAGTGGCGGTAGTCGATGTACAAGCCCTCAGTGAAATCGTCTTGGATTTGTCCGAAGGCTTGGTCGAGGAGGCCGACGCTGGATGGGTAGTCGGATTCTTTGTAGGGGATGGTGTAGGGGAGGTGGCCGCTTGGGGAGGATGAGCCGAAGAGGATGTCAGTTAGGGAGTAGCCTGCTTCTTGACCGGGGAGATGGGCGATGAGGACGGCTTTGACGGAGTCCAAATCAATCCAATTCTCGAGGAGAATAGGGCCGACGGTGTGGACAATCACGATGACGGTGGAGAAGACGTCCGCTGCGGCTTTGACGAGATCGTCGCCGTTGTGCCAGGCGTAGAGGTCGGCGGTGGTGCGGTCACCGGGGTTGTTTTCGACGGTGATGTAGTTTTCGCCGGAGTCGGCGTTGATGAATACCAGCGCGATGTCAGACGCATTGGGGTTGAGGTTGGAGGGGAACGAGTCGGTGATGTAGAATTCTGCGGAGGAAGAGAGATTGGCGATAGCTTGTTGGGGGGTTACAAGATATGGGAGACGAGACGTGCCACTGCCCCAGCCCATGGTGAGGACGCCGTTGTCGCAGCCTTGGTCGGTGCACGAATTGAGCCCGTTGGAGTTGGGGCCGGCGTCAGTGCCAAAGACCTTTAGTGAGTCGGTTGTCGACAAAGGGAGAGTATTATTTTCGTTCTTGAGAAGGGTGATGGCGTCGCGAGCAATGGCATGAGCGGTGATGTTGTGGTTGCCCTGAACGTTGACATATTGATTGACCACGCCGCTGGGGGAGAAGAGAGCGCCAGGATAAAGAGGCCCGGTCTCATCGAGAGTGTTGCTGGAGAAGTTGGGGAGAGGATAGTCCTCGTCTTGACCCATTTGATACCATGTCGCAACGATGCGGGTGACCTGGCGATGTCAGCGAAGTCCCAGAAGAAGAGTATCGAGAAACGGTTAGGATACATACCATATCGTTCAAACGCTCGACTGGGACAGTGCCGTTGAGAATGGATCGAGAGAGCTCCGAACCCCAGTAACTATCCCCAAGCAGTGGGATGCTGCCATCTCCCGGCATGCTCATGTCTAGGCCAGCCAATGCAGACGACACACCACCGATCTGAGCGAGCCAGTCCGTCACAACGAAGCCTTGAAAGCCGAGTTCATCCTTGAGGATGCCATTAATGAGCATACTGTTCTGGCTACACGCTGAACGGTTGACCTAGAACAACAGATGAGTGAGGTACCCTTGGACTTGTGGAAAATGCACCTACATCATTATAAGCCATCATCACCGACCCAGTCCCAGCACGAACGCCCTCCGCAAACGGCCACAAGTAGAGTTCATGAAGAGTCCGATCATCAATATTCGAAGAATACCCCTGCGTAATAACACTGCTCATGCGATGCATTTCCTGCTCATTACCGATAAAATGCTTGAGACACGCGATCGCCCCCGTGCTCTGCATGCCCTGAATCGTCAGCGCACCCCCGATGGCCTGCAGACTTGGATCCGCGCCAAAGCCCTCCCAGCCACGGCCTCCTCTCGGCTTGCGAAATGTCGGACCAACGACCGGGCCCAAGAGAACATTAACACCCTTGCCACGGGCCTCTTCCCCGAGTTCAACGCCGCGCTGATACATGAGCTCCTTGTCAAATGTCGCGCCCACCGTAACACCAGGAGGGAAAGCCGTGTTATGGTCCGAGTTGCGAATGCCCAGCGGAGAGTCATGCAGACAGAGATTCGGGATGCCAAACCGAAGCGCACTTCCTGTTTGGCCCGCACAGGGGCCCATGAACATGCCGGTTCCGGTCGTGAGGTTCACTTTTTCTGCCAGAGTCATGTTACTGACGACCTTCTGCGCCTTCTCGTATGCGCTAGCCCAGTCGGAAAGCCAGCCTCCGTTAGGAGCTGGGTAGTAGGGAGGCGAGAAGGCGCCATCGTCTCGAGTGTTTAGGGGAGGGGAGGAGGCAGTTGACCAGGGGATAACGCCTGCCAGCAAGGCCAAATACAGAGGTAGATTCGCGCCCATGGTTTACCTTGCATGGGACTTGGAAGAGATGAGACGTACGCGGGGACGCCGGTGGGGGTTCCAGGCTAGAGATATACGGCGGCGCGCTGAGCTCCTCTCTTCCTTCCAGGGTTCTAAACTGGACCGGGACTACCGGTCATGGATCATGGGGCCCTGGCTGGATAAATACATCGTCGTGGTCATGCCACAGCATGATTGGGTTAAGACCAATGACAAAAAAGCAAAGGGGCAGGGTCACGGCGCCATGTGCGCATGCCAAGGTTGGAAGACACTGCTTGGTCGCCAGCAAAATCGAGGTATTAGGGACGGGAAAAAACGCAGGGATTGGGAAGAGGGCAAGTGATCAGCGGGGATGGCCAACCCGGGGATGGAATGTCGGAGGGATGATCCGTGTTCACGGGCAGCGTTGATGATGAGGAACGGTTCATTATTGCCCTCATTCAGCCGAGCCAGGGAAAGGATCATCCTGCATGCACATTAGCCGAAAGAGAAACTTGGCCATGACAGCGCGGGGATTCTGCAGGGATTGCTGCAAGTTAGTTGCACGGGGGATGTTGCAGGTTGCAGCTGACGTGTGACGATCAGCCGAGGCTATTGTTAGACATATGCAGGATTTCGCTTGCGGGTTTGGGGAAATGATCATCATCCACTATCTTGATGAAGGCGACGTGAATGGAAAGTTACGGTCCGCTGGGATCTTCAGGGGCAGTGGCAGACATATATCCATGGTTCGATTCAAAGAAGAAGGAGCCACTGATATTCAACTACCAACCAGCAATCACTATTAACCATTCTTATCAACGCCAGGGCCATCCATCCAACTCCATTATAGGAACAGTCACAAGCAAGCCCCTTTACACAAGAAAACTCCATGTAAAATCCTGACCGTGAACCTAACCTAAATCAACGCCCGTCAAATATTATCAACCACCCAGTCGAAGTCCAGGCCGATTGCTTCTACATCCACCAGCTTTATGAGAGTACGAGTCGCCGGAAACAATTCACAGGGGCCCCGGGGACAGCCCAAGGACGCATGAAACAAGCGCGTGCATTGAGGCTCCGGCACGGCCGAAAGCATTCGCAGGAGACGGTCGATGCTCCATCCCTCATACGGCGCCTGGGGCGGCGGGAAAAGGTCTTTTGGCTTCATCTCTGTCATCAACTGGCCAACGATCATCGTATCGCAGGCCTGACAGCAGCCGCCTTCCTCAAGGATGGATTCCATGCGCTGGTAGAGCGAGATGACGATGGCATCGACGTGTTTCTGGCGGGCCATATCAATGTGTTCTGTCAGTGTCATCAGGTCAGCGTTGCTCACACACACACACACACATTCGTCAAAGTGAAGAAAGGAAGAATGATACGCACTCAGCACCCCATCAGGAATCGGCAGTCCATGTTTCAGAATCACCCCGGTACTTCCTCGAATGGCGACACGAGTGATATACCAGAAGAGACTACGGTGACGGAACACCCAGGCGATGTAAATCCACTCAGCCACATCACTGTCGTATGTCTTAGGAATTGACTCGGACATGTTAATGACCCAAATTTCACTGAAAGCCATCATATTATTGTGGCACCCCCAGAGCTCAGTCAGGAGAGCAATCATGCACAATGTGTCCGGGGTAACGTGGCGTGGGACATTTGGGACGCGACCGTGAATGGCATTGAGCAGGATGAAAATAGCACTGATGTTATCAAATCGAGCGGGAAGAGCATCCACTTCTCTGAACATGTGCTCGTCGTTCAGTTTCTTCTGGAAGTAGGGGGAGGCATGGCCGAGTCGATCCGAAGATACTCGAATCATTGCCTGCACGGGGCGGTTCTGAAAGTCACTGTTAGAGGTTGTGGTTTGCACGGACTGCGCGGCTTGATGTCCATGGTTTGAGCTGATCACTTCGTGTTCTGGTGTGGTGGGGGCACTGCTCCGGCGAGGGAATTTGCTGATGGTGTCGACGATTCCCTGAAAGTAGCTTGGAACGGACCGGGATGTGCGGTGAGTGGGATCTAAATGGTTCATCAGCACAAAGATGAATGTGTAGCAAGCACCGGTAGTGACGGCCAGTGGAATCAGCACTCACTGAACCGGGTTAGACGCGTATACATCTGATCACCATCCCTCTCGACCACGAGAAGCATGTCCCCACGGGCATCGATGGTCGTATAGTTCAGATCCATACTGATCCGGACTCTGGTGCTGCCGTGTGACTATGGGAGGATGGAGATGTGAGTAAACATTACGTTCGCCGAGATGAGCAGAACACTGGACCGAAATGTAGGAGAGGCGCCGGAAATAGCGAGCTGTCTGTGAACCAGTGAATGACTTGCCAGTGAATGAGAGCACACTTCAGTTATCATACAGTCAACCAGCATTACACGATACGAAAACGAAAACTTCTTTGTCAACATGGGATTGTATTGTCTATATGCTCTTAGCATCATGCATTTCGTAAGTCATGATGACCATAATCTATCGACTCATAGATATCCACTCGTATGCCAGCCCGCCGGTCATCGGTGGCCCTAGTTGAAGTAGCCAGGGAACAGCCAGTTCATGCGCTCCCGAGCCTCGGGTCTCCAGTTGGGCTCGGCGGTGCTCATACCGAACTTGACGGATCCCTCAATGTGCTTGGCCTGCACCAGCTCGGAGTTCTTCTCAGCGGCCAGTTCGTCCAGCACAGCAGTCACGAAGCGCTTGGCGTTGACGGCGTTGGCCTTCATGTTGCCCATAACCATCTCCACGGTTACATCGGCGGTCGACTCGTGCCAGCAGTCGTAGTCAGTGGACATGCAGATCATCTGGTAGGCGATCTCGGCCTCGCGGGCCAGCTTGGCCTCGGGCAGGCACGACATGTTGATGACGCTGCCACCCCAGGAGCGGTACAGCTTGCTCTCAGCGCGGGTAGAGAATTGAGGGCCCTCTATTGATGTGATCAGTATTTACGAGTCTAGTTCCTCGAGAGAACCATTACATACCCATGCAGATCAGGGTACCGCGGTCGTGCAGCACCACACCCTCACCCTCCAAGCTGTGTCCACAGGCCCTCACGACCTTGGCGACACCCTCGTCGAAGGGGTCACCGAAGGGAACGTGAGCGACCACGCCGCCCTCGAAGAAGGTGAAGGGACGGATACCCTTGGTGCGATCGATGACCTGGTCGGGAACGACGAAATCGCGGGGCTTGATCTCCTCCTGCAAGCTACCGACGGCGGAGAAGGCGATGATGGTGCGGACACCGATGGAGCGCAGAGCAGCAATGTTGGCGCGGGCGGGAACCTCGTGGGGAGCGATCTGGTGGTGCAGACCGTGACGGCTCAGGAAGGCGATGGCGACCGTCTGGTTGTTGTGGGAGCACTTGTGGTGCAGGATGGTGATGGGGGAGGAGGGGGCGCCCCAAGGAGTCGAGACGTTCAACGACGCAACCTGAGTGAAGCCGGGGAGCTCGCGCAGACCGGTACCGCCAATAACAGCGATACGGACGGGCTCTATGGAGGTCAATAGCGATCAGTATGGATCTGGTCAGGAACAGGATGCGCCGGGCGGGGATCCGGACTTACCGTCGTAGGTGGAGGGAAGGGCGGCCATTCTTTGAGCGAGTTGTTTTGCGGACTCGATTCTCCTGAGGGGACGGGATGGAAGAGTGGACAACAGACGGCGCAGGGCAAGCAAGGGCATACAATAAGAGAGAAGAAGGAGGGGAGAAGAAGGAGTGATTTGAAGACGGAGACAATCGCAAATCTTCGGCGGCGGGGTCATCGCCCAATCGGGTAATCCGTTATCGCCTAAGGCTGCCATCTTTTATCGCGCCCCACGTGCCCGTTCCTCAGGCATCATTCGTCCATCTCTCTTCCTCCTTTAATTTCTACTGCTAACACTCGAATTGCTACCATTTCAGTGTTTTTCGTCTTTTCTGTTATATTCACTTGTATGGTTCATCTGAACTATCTACGGATTGCAACCGACCCATTAATGGATAGAAAGAATCTATTTGGAAAAAAAGCCCTGGGCCTACACAAGTTGGGAGCCCGTGACATGGTGAGCATGTGAATTACTTTATTATTACATTGTCATCATCTTCCCTATACGACGGATGCATATCTGCATTAGGCTGGACGCCACTCGTAGTGGTGAGGTCCCTTCTTCACCGGGCCCGGATCCTCTCCAGGAACGCCTGGTTTATAGTAGGCATGGGCCCCAAACAGATCCATCTGCGCCTCCATGAACTTGGTAGGCAACATCGTCCCTCCTTCATACTTCAGATACTCTAATGTCGCAGACAGCGCGGGAATATATTGATCGGCCACAGTTGCTGCCAGAACCACCTCCTTCAGTGCGTCGAAGTGCTTGTGCAGTTCGCTGGCGATCTCATCCAGGAACTTCATGTTGGTCAGATCCGGGCGCAGGAGCGGTTGTAGAAGATCTGCAATGGCTTCAGACTGAATAATACATCCCCCACGCCAGATCTGAATACATTTGCTGAGATCGACGTTCCATCCCTCATCCTTGGATGCGCGCGCAATCAATTCCAGTCCCTGGCAGAATGAAGCCAAGAAAGAGCAGTAAACGGCGCGACGCAGTTTCTCAATGAAGTCCTTGCGATCCTTGGTCTCGATGGCCTTCGGACCGGGGATGTTGAGCTTCTTGGCAACCTCCAGTCGCTCAGCACGATTTCCACTGGCGATGCGCATATAGTGAGCCGTGGCGAGCGTAGGACCGGCCACATGTCGGTTTGCGGTCTCCATAACGGACCAGTAGGGCGTTCCTTCGGTGTCATCGTCGTCCTGTACCACTTTGTCGAGCACGTCATCCAGCACGTAACCGCCGTTCTGGCTGGCGCCTTCGCCTTGATAGTCGCCCTGGGGAGTCTTCTTTGTGCGCAGGATTTGCACACCAATGTCGAGCAGGAAGTTCTTCCGCAACTCGCCCTTAGTATTCCACTCTTCGAAGATATCGGATATCTCTTGATAGTCCAATCCCAAACCCCAATGGAGGAGCGCCCACGCCTCCGCCGTGGTAGACAACATACCCCCCTCAATGCCATTATGGACCATCTTCACAAAATGACCCGAACCAGCAGGTCCCACATTAGTCACACAAGGCTTGCCGGTCTTTTCATCCTTCGCAGCATACTGCTCCAACAACGGTAGGACAAGCTCAATTGCTTCCGGATCTCCCCCAGGCGATAGACTCGGGCCATGGCGGGCCGATTGGTACCCGCCCGAGACACCCATGCCGATCCAACTGACACCGAGTTCCTTGCATCGCTTCTGTCGTTGCTCGGTTCGTCGATAGTTCTCGTTTCCACCATCGAGGATAATATCGCCCTTTTTCAGATCATTTTGGATCATATCCAAGACGGAGTCTGCGGGGTCGCCATGGGTGATGGAGAAAATGAATAATTTCCGTTCCCCTTGACCTTCAAGACTCTTGGTGAATTTGTCGATCTCGTAGAATCCTTCTACTTTCCCCTTGTCGCTGAATTTCCCTTCGTCGTACCATTTCTTAATCCCGTCGACGTTTTCTCGTTTCACATCCCAGATGGATACGTCCAGGCCGAGCTCGGTGAAGGCAAAGCTCATCATCGAGCCCATGTTGCCGGCTCCGACGATGCCGATGCGCTTGAAGGAGTGCGATGGCATTATGCTAGCTTGATTAACTGTATATTGATTTATTTTACACACCAGAAAGACATTCCTAGCTGTTGTGAAATGAAGCATTCTTAAGAGCAGCCGTGGCGCGGATAGGCGGCCAGGCACCACTACGCACCCGTTACATCATGTGCAGACGTCATTCCAGATAGCACATCGCTATCATCCTATATTACAACCCATACATTATAAGTGTGGCGTGGTCATTATAATCATATAATCGATCCATTCTATCCGACCAATAACCTGCTGCACCACCTTTACCACATACCTTTGTGCAAAGTACCTGTCTGGCAAGATTGGAAGCCCTAACCAACCTCCAACGGCGCGGTTACATCATCCTGAACAAACCCATCCCAACTCAATTGCGATCCTCCAACTATCATCACCTTGAATATATTTACATTCCTTATAATTAGATCTCTATCACAAATAAACACACAACCTTCAATTATTCTTCTAATTACCACAACCACCACATACATTCATCCACCACTTACACCACCAATCAACACCCCCCTCTACATACAAACCAACAATGTCCACAGACATCAACAACATCCCCCTCAGCTACGCAACCTGCTCCCTCGGCCCCCCCAGCATTCCCCTCGAAGACAAACTCTCCTCCCTCAGCGCCGCCTCCTTCACCGGCATCGAGCTCGCCTTCCCCGACCTCCTCGCCTACGCCAACACCCACAACCCAGGAACCACCCAAATCCTTCCCCACGACTACACCGCTCTAGTCCACGCCGCAACCGAAGTCCGCTCACTATGCGAAACGCACAACCTACAAATCATGATGCTGCAACCCTTCGCCAACTTCGAAGGCTGGCCACGTAACTCCCCAGAACGGGAAGACGCCTTCACGCGCGCCAAGGGATGGAGTCAGATCATGGAAGCACTGGGGACGGAGATATTGCAGATCGGGTCGACAGACACACCGGCTTCGAAACTCTCCCTGGGTGGCAGTAAAAACAAGGAGAATGTGGTGGCCGATCTGCGTGAGCTAGCGGATATACTCGCACCGAAAGGTCAGCGCATCGCGTACGAGAACTGGTGCTGGAGTACCCATGCGCCCGGATGGAAAGATGTATGGGAGATAGTGAGGGATGTGGGGAGGGAGAATGTGGGGTTGTGTTTGGATACGTTTCAGACGGCGGGGGGGGAGTGGGGGGATCCGACGACTGCGGATGGGGTCGTTGGTGGTGGTGGTGGTGGTGATGAGGTGAGGAGGAGGTATGAGAGCAGTTTGGAGGAGTTGGCGAGAATGGTGCCCGCGGAGAAGATCTTTCTGCTGCAGGTGTCGGATGCGTATAAGCCACCATCTCCGTTTGAGGATGCGGTGGTGGATGGGGCGAGGCCTAGGGCACGGTGGAGTCATAGTTTTAGGCCGATGCCGTATCATGGGGGGTATTTGCCGATTGAGGAGGTGGGGAGGGCGGTGTTGAGGACTGGGTTTCGGGGGTGGTTTTCGATGGAGATTTTTGATGGAGGTGTGAATGGGGATGAGGAGATTGAGGATGTGGGGAAGTTTGCGAGGGAGGCGATGGGGAGTATGAGGAGGTTTTTGGAGAGGTGCGCGGATGGTGTTTAGCTCGTAAGTATTGCGGGGAGGGTAGGATGTAGAACTTGTGAAGCTCGATATAGTGTAGTACTTGTGAGTATACTGGAAGGTATCCGGTGGACTGGATATATTCAATCAAACTAAACTATTCATACAAACAATTTTACCGAACGCCACATATGCATAACTCATGGGGAATATGGATAAATGCCAAACAACCATCGCTCATCACCCATCCTACTCAGCTCCCTAAGCATCGTTGCTAGGGTAGGGAACCTTGTAGGTCGGGACAAACTCCTCCTTGATCGACCGCAGACTGACGAAGCGGGACAGCAGGTTGCCACTGCCAGCCTTGTCGTTGGTACCACTGGCACGGGCACCACCGAAGGGCTGCTGGCCGACAACAGCACCAGTGCTCTTGCAGTTGATGTAGAAGTTACCGGCAGTGTTGCGCAGGGCATCGTCGGCGATGCGGAGAACCTCGCGGTCCTGGGCGAAGATGGAGCCGGTCAGACCGTAGTCGCCGGTCTGGTCGACCTTCTCGCAGATCTTGGCAAAGTCGGCCTCGGTGGCATCGGCGTAGGTGTGGATGACCAGGACGGGACCGAAGAGCTCGCGGGAGAGGAGAGGGTGGTCGGGGTTGCTGGTGTGGTAGACGGTGGGCTGGATGTACCATCCCTTGGAGGAATCGTAGGAACCGCCGGCCAGGAGCTCCAGCTCGGGGTCGTTCTTGGCCTCATCGATCACGTTGGCCAGCTTGTTGAAGGAGGCCTCGTGGATGACAGGACCGCAGAAGTTGGTGAAGTCAGAGGGCTCGCCGACCTTGATGTTCTTGGTCTCGGCAACAACGTTCTCGATGAACTCGTTGGCGATGGACGCGGCCACGTAGGCACGGGAGGTGGCACTGCACTTCTGGCCCTGGAACTCGAAGGCTCCGCGGACAGTCTGGACAGCAGCGTTGCGGACATCGGCAGACTTGTGGACCAGGTGGAAGTTCTTACCACCGGTCTCACCAACAATGCGGGGGTAGCTGCGGTACTTGCCCTCGGCGACGCCGTTGGCGATCTGGCCGTAGAGGCTGCGGAACACAGCAGTGCTACCGGTGAAGTGAAGGGCAGCAAAGTCGGGGTGGTTGAGAACGGTGTTGGTGACCTCCGCGGCGTCACCGGGGACGAACTGGATGACGTTCTTGGGCAGACCGGCCTCGAGGAGGATCTGGTGGACGAGCCAGTTGGAAGCGATGGCGGAAGGAGAAGGCTTCCAGACGACAACGTTACCCATCAGGGCGGGAGCACCAGCCAGGTTACCGCCAATGGCAGTGAAGTTGAAAGGACTGATGGCGTAGACGAATCCTTCCAGAGGACGGTACTCAACACGGCTGGTCCGGTTAGTTTCGATCTATCAACTGCTGGTATGATGGAGTCACTCACTTCCACACGCCAGGAGCGTGGTGAACGGGCTGCTGAGCGTACAGGTCCTCGGCGTACTTGACACCGAAGCGGAAGAAATCGCACAGCTCGGCGGCAGAGTCGATCTCGGCCTGCCAGGCATTCTTGCCCTGGCCGTGCATGGTCAGAGCCATGATGTCATAGCGGTATTTGGTCGAGATCAGGTCAGCGGCCTTGAGGAAGATGCTGGCACGGTCGGCGAAAGAGGTGGCAGCCCACGACTTGCGAGCCTCAAGGGCGGCATCGATAGCAGCCTGAACCTCGGCGGCGGAGGCGTTGGAGTAAGTGGCCACGGGCGCATGGGAGGCGGGGTTGCTCTGGGTCTCGGACTGGGAGCTCTTGATCTGTGGGGAGTTAGCATTGTCCCAATTGTGTCTATCATTCGCATGTCTGCTACTAACCTCCTTGCCGGCTATCACCAAAGGCACATTGAGGGGACCGCTCTGCTTGGTTCTGACGAGGGCCTCCTCGAGACCACGGCGATCAGGAGATCCGGGGGCGTAGTGTTTCTGCAATTGAGTCAGTAAGCTTGATAATAACCACGATCTGAGGATAGCTCACGTTCGGCTCGTTGTCAATGCGAGGAACCTTGAAGGTGGCGTAAGAGCCCATGGCACGAGCGCTCGTGCGGGCAAGGGAGAGGGAGGGGCATTTGGCGAGGGAAAGGCCCCGAGAACGCAGGAGCAAAGAGGACTGCATGATGGATTGTGCTCTTCCGAGTCGTAGCAACTGGACGAGGACTGAATCCGAGGGATAAAAAGTAGGAGAGGTGAGGAGAAAGTGAAGCACGACGCGGGGAAGCTCCGGTGATATAAGAGGCCCGGTTACTGCCGGCCGTGGTTAGTCAGCGCGCAGGATCCCTGGGTGGCACAAAAGTACTCCTGGCCTTGCTGTTCAGACAGAGGCGCAAGGTTGCGTTCAAGCGAGCCGACAAGTGATTATCCTTGCCGCGTACCGGCAACCAATGGGCCGGCCAGGAAATGCAGCAGATCTGATACTCTGCTGTAGCGCTAATCAGTACCGCCGGCTGGATTCCGGGTGGAGCTGCCCACCGGCCCGGACACCTCCACCGGCTGCCTGCCTTCCGCTCGTTTTCATTAGTAGGCTGATAGTGCTGAACACGCATGATAACTGTGACTAAAAGGAACATGTTTTTTGTTGGTTTCCAGCATCAATCCATGCTGCGCAGACTATGTGAATCTGAACTGGAGTTTGTGCCATTCCTGTGATGCCGGTGCTGGTCTCCCCACCTCCATGTTGATCCCCCGCATTGGAAACGATCGCTGTTGCATTCTCCGCGGTCTGACTCGTCTCCAGAAACTAGAGGCTGGTTTCATAGTGATTCCCAAAACTGGCAGACAATTCGCAGTACCTGGATAATCGGTGGGGAGCTCAAGACACCTGTGGAATTGAGGGCGAACATTGACTTTCATGCACGTATAATGAATGGCCTAAGTACATGCCGAGAAAATACGTGGAGCGGCAGAACGAGGCGGAGCTGAATACCGCAGGGAAACCGACGCGTGACTCGACCACCTGACCTCGAGACGGAGAATACAGCTGTTTAGCACCTTTCGGTGATTGCGAACCGTGACAAATATTCAAATCATTGGGCTTCAATTCTTGGTTACCAATATCAATCTATGTACATGTGGCAGGCCCAGAAGATTTGCAGAAATATATACTCTTGACTCAGGATCCCATTCAAGCAATCCACCACCACACCCTCTCCAGCCAATTGCGTGGCTTCCGTTCAAAGTCGTTCGCGCAGAGCTGGTCAATCTCCTCTTTGCCCGTGAACACGTCAATCTCCGACACCTTTGTCATCCATGGAGTCCGGTACCACAATTTGTGGCCCACATAGAGGGCCAGGAAGATGGCCACCACAATATACGACACCAGGAAATCGGCAGCGGTGAAGTTGCCAGGGAAGAAAACTGCATATCCGTTCGTGATGGTCAGGAGGGACACGACGACAATAACGTAGTATGTGCCGTAGGGCTGCAGAGGGGTCTTGAAAGTGAGCGTGTCCAGCAGTCCATGGTAGGTCAACGCTTTGCGGAATCGCTGAATTCGTCAGTCGGGTCTGCAGAAAGCTCGAAGGAAATAACTTACCAGATAGGTGATACCAATGAGCACCCAGTTAATAAACCCTCCCACTGTGGTGATGTTCGTGAACCAGTAGAAGACAGTCTCTCCCGAGTCAGACAGGTTCAGGAAGGACAGCAAGCCGACCACCCAGGTGATCAGCACGGCTACGTAGGGCACGCCGTTGCGGTTGCACCGGGTGAAGATCTTGGGGGCCTGGCCGCCGCAGGCGAGCGAGTACAGGGTTCGAGAACCAGCGAACAACCATGCATTACCAGAGGACCAGGCTGAGATCAGGATAGCAGCGTTGACGACGTGGTTCAGCCCAGAGATACCCGCATTCTGGATGGCAATAACAAAAGGACTGGCACTGGCGCTAGAGCTACCGCTGGCAACCGCGGACATGAGTTTAGGATCATTGTAAGCGACTGTGACACCAATCACGAGGGTTCCCAGAATGTAGAAGGCAAAGACTCGGTAGATGAACCGATTGGTGGCTTTCGGGATATTGCGACGGGGTGCTTCAACTTCACCAGCGGCAGTGGTGATAAGTTCGGGGGAGAAAATGAAGGAGAAGCCAGACTTGATAAATGCTGTCCAGAAGTCCAGGAAGCGACCGGTGTTTCCACCGACCAAGTAGGGATTGAACGCGCCCGGGTTATCCCAGTAGCGGAAGCCTAGCCGATCATGGTTGGGGCCACCGCCGAAGAAGAGTACCACACCCAGGATAATCAGGCCAATGATGGCAAGGATCTTTAACGTTGCAAACCAGAACTCGGCTTCTCCGTACCATGACACCGCAATAATGTTGAGTAGCAGAATCACTGTGGTTGTTAGAGTTCATCATGCCCTACTGATGATAGAGGTTTGAGATGAATACGTACCGAGGAGGATGATTGTGATCCACACCCCGACATTGATGGAGGTGGTCCAGTACTGGATGATGATCCCGGCAGCCGTCACTTCACTTGCCAGTAACATGGCAAAAGAGTACCTAATACGCATGAGGATTAGAGTAAGTTGGTGAGCGGAAGATAATGTGAGCCTACCAATAATTATATCCTAAATTGAGTTAGCATAACACTGCAAGATGCATATGGGAGTTGCCAGGGACAATGCAAGAGACATACCAGCAGCGAATCCAATACTCGGCTCCGTGTAGCGGCCTATCATATAAGGCACCGAAATGCCCTTGATGGGCAAATAGGTGGTCATCTCGCCCAGCACGTTCATCACAAACCACACCACTGACGACATGGCACAGTAGCCCATGAACAGTGGTGCTGGGCCCACCGTCGACAGCGTGGATCCCGAACCTACGAATAGACCTGTCCCAATACAACCTCCAAGAGCAAGCAGCTGCAGCTGTCGGGAAGACAATCCACGCTGAGTGTCTGTGTTTGGCCCATGGTGGATCTCGCCCTTGAGGGCCTCGGGGTCTTCATCAACATATACTGGAGATGTCACCTCGGTCTTGGACTCTTCGAGGTCCTTTAACGTCGGTGCACCCATTCTGGCGTGTACAAAAAAACGATAATACACTGGTGCGGGTGACTAGAACAGTCGCAGATGGGAATTGGCTACGGACGTCTTATATGACTGTAGCGGAGGCGACTAGCCTGCCCGTCTCAGCAAGCATGCTTATCAGGAACCAACACGAAGTGATTTTTGAGCTACGGCCCGATGGCGCAAAGACTTCCAGAAGAACACCGTCATTGGCTCCAGAGGGCTCCGGGGAGGCGATTTGCGGGGGTTTAGCATCTTATCTCTCAATTGGGTTTACATACGAGCGGTGTTTCTTGTTAGGACATGGGAAGGTTTGGTGGCTGCCATGGGTTCCTTATCTGCCCTGTCTGCCTGGGCGGCGGGGATCGTCCGACACGGCAGGGGCATCGATATCAGGTTATCTGGCTTGCTCAATTGTTTGATATCGATCGTTTTTCATTGACGATTTAAGCTTCTATAAAAGCTGTCAGAGCCGGCGCCGTTTCCTCGTGGCATTAGAGTATTAGACTGCTGCAAATCCGGGGTCGTTCTCCGCACCACAGTGGGCATATTCTAGACGTGAAGAGAGCTGAATCCACCGCGAGGTTCCAGTGACTAAGAGAAACTGCAGCATCGCGAGTGTGTTTGCCGGAGTCATTCTGTTACCTAATGGCATGGTTCATCTTTGCTCGTTTGGAAAGCTTGACCCATCAAGGCTGGCCATCCGCTGCCATTATTGGTGTGTCGGATGCCGCCCGGTGGAGTTTCAACGGATCCATCTACCACTAGTCCAGACCGAGGCTAGTCGCACCTTAATGCCTGAATATACAGGCACGTTCGGAATTTGTGCCTGGCGGCTATTGTGGACAGAGGCAGAATCCGCTGGTGCTTGGACACAGTATAACCAGCAACAGCAATGTTGTTGAAGGGGCAAGATTTGTGGTACTTAGACCTGACTCCAGACATGATCGGAAACATCTAGTATATTCCTATCAGCGACATCGGCGTGCTTGTACCTCCCTGCCAGGGGTATATAGTCTACATTCCTTTCAAGCTGGCATCGTATCTAATCGTCTCTCAGTGAATGTGCAGACACCAGCAGCACGACCGGGCCGGTCAAGCGGCGACAGCGCCGGTGGGGATGAACCCACCGGCCCGCCTGCCGGTCATCCCCAATCTCTTATCGCCGTGTTATCAGGGTTATCGCCAGATCGATAGTGGATTTTTTTTCCTCGACCCCCTCCACGAAAAGTACTGGAATCAGGATGACCAGGGTCTTGGGCACGGGGCTTTTTGGTGCTTTTGTCTAAACTTCGAGATACTTTCTCATTTGCTAGGAACCATAAGGCGTAGTCAAGATCTAGTCAACACCGCTCCTATCGAGTATTGACACACCACCCCCCCGTCCCCGTTCATCGGTAAGTTCCAGCGAAGCATACAGTAGCGGGCGATCAAGCGTAGATCTGGACACCGCTGGCCGGGTCAGGTGCAACAATGCTATAGTTGGCCACCCTTTCAACTGCAACGCCACCCGCATCATCTCCCAGTCACGCCCGAGCCAGTTTGCATTATCTAACGTCACGGGGAAGGCCTACCCCCAAAAAAGAAAAAGTGATAGTAATGGCTGGCTGGGTCGTTCCTGGCCAGCAGAGAGCCATTGCTGACCGGCTTTGACTCCTGGCCTGCCCGGTTTCCACCGGTACGGGAACCGCTTCTTTCCATCCCCATCTCACTAAAAGAGAGATCCTCCACTCGCCATACTTCCATTCCCCTCGCGATGCATTTCATACCACTACAAATTCCCCTCCTTTGTCTCCAGACTGAAGAACTACTTATTCCTATCAGCGCTGCGTGACTCTTCTTCTGACTTCCTTCTGACTTCCACTCCTCTCTCCTTCCCTCCCATCCTTGCCACTTCCTTTTAGTTACGCCACTTGCTTATCATCATCAACCATGAAGGCTGCCCGCCGTCCCATGCGGGTGCTCTCGGGCGTCCCTACCACCTACTCGTCCGCCAGATACGTCAGCCGTACCAGCAACCCCAAGTCCTCCGCTGCTGCGTCCACCCCCACCAACACCCTGTTGCAGCAGCAGGCCGCCGTTCCCTCCAAGGATGCGACGGGATCGCCCCTGGCCAAGCTCCCGATCTCCTCCGTCCTGCGGTCGCTGGTGATCCTGTCCGTCTCTTCTTCCACCCTCCTGCTAAAGCCGTGCATCTTCGCGCTCTCGACCCTGGCGCACCCCAAGACCCCCGTGTTGGATGTCGCTAAGAACCCTCTGTTGAACGCCCTCGTCAAGCACACCCTGTACAAGCAGTTCAACGCCGGTGAGAACAAGCTCGAGGTGCAGCAGTCGATCCAGGCGATCAAGCAGTTGGGTTACCGGGGTGTTCTGCTGGGTTACGCTCGCGAGGTCCTGGTGGGTGAGGGGAATGTCGACCCGCGCGACGAGAAGGCTGCGCGGGCGGAGATCCAGACGTGGCTGGATGGAACCTTGCAAACTGTGGACATGGCCCAGGAAGGCGACTTTGTGGCCCTGAAGTATGCTTCCTCCCTCCATCAGACTCCTGAATTGAAAATTAAGACTAACTGTCACAGGTTCACCGGTATGGGTACACAGGTGCTTGAATTCTTGCAGAAGCAGGCTGCTCCCTCGGAGTTCATGGATTACGCTATCACCAAGGTCTGCGATTTGGCCATCTCGCGCAATGTGCGACTTCTCGTCGATGCTGAGGAGCAGGCGGTGCAGCTTGGCATTGAAAGATGGGCCTTGAAGTACCAGAAGTACTGCAATGCGAAGACCCCTGGCCATGCCATTTTCTACAACACCTACCAGGCCTACCTCCGCTCGACCCCGGCTACCATTGCCAAGCACCTGGAGGTTGCCCGCCAGGAGGGTTACACGGCTGGTGTGAAGCTGGTCCGTGGTGCTTACCTGAAGACTGAGCCTCGCCACCTGATCTGGGCTGCAAAGGAGGAGACCGACGCCTGCTACGACGGTGTTGTGGAGGCTCTCCTGACTCGCCGCTACAACTCGATGCTGCAGCCCGCTTCCGAGGAGCACAAGACCGAGCTGCCCCCTGTCAACGTTATCATCGCCACTCACAACCGGGACTCTGTTCGCAAGGCCCACGCCATCCGTCTCCAGCAGGCTGCTCGCGCTGAGAAGCAGGGAGTTGACCTTAGCTACGCCCAGCTGCAGGGTATGGCCGATGAGGTCAGCTGCGAGCTCTTGCAAGGCTTCTCTAGCGCCGATGGTTCCGCCTCCCAGGAGACCCCTAACGTGTACAAGCTCCTGACCTGGGGTACTGTCAAGGAATGCATGGGTTTCTTGATGAGACGTGCCGTGGAAAACACCGAGGCGGTTGGCCGTACCAAGCAGTCGCAGGAGGCTATGCTTGGAGAGCTTAAGCGCCGCGTTCGTCGGGTGTTTGGTTTGGGTAACTGATGTTGTTCTATGATACCTCTTGACTCGCATTTTGTTTTTGGCTTTTGGCCCCATTGGCGTATTGTGTGATTTTGTTGACTGATTCCCTGAGCGTGAGCATGCATGTAGATGGCGTTAGAATATTCATTTCACTTTTTTCATGATAACGAAGCTCAACATGGAGTACTTGGTGTTCTTATAGTGCGGCATAGATCGCCGCTAATTCCACGTAGCGCACGGCGGTGATGTCAAGAAGGACAGTCGATCCATTCCCGACCCCGCGTCTCGCATCTACAACGTATCACTGACACCAACCTCGATCGCAACGGAAGGCTATCCGACATTAGTCCCTGTGAACTAGACCTTTTTCTTCTCGGTACTGAGATCCGATGATATCCGTGTCTCTTGACGCTTAGGCACTAAGTTGGTCTATCTCCGACATCGCTTCCCTGGGTGCCGAGGGGCTATCTGTCTATATAAGCTGCTGACCACCGACTAGACGAACGGTCCTGAAATCCGATATAATAGTTATTCGCTTGCCACATATACTCCGTGAATCTAGGTCTTCTAGACTCTGCCATTGTCACATCGCCAACATCCTCCTCCTTCACCATGCGTCTTCTTCCTGAGCCAGCGGTCGCCCAGATCCTGCGACAGTTGACCCCTGCACAATGCCATGACCTTCTTGACGCTCTCTGTGAGGGTCTTACCACTGTATCGTCAGAGTCCTCCACACCAAGCCACGAGCGACTTGTCCATCAGCCGCTCCGCAGCACTATCGTCACCAAAGACCAGAACCTCTCCCTTTTCATGCCCGTTTCCAACACTGTCCACACCGGCTTCAAAGTGGTAACCGCCTCCCAAGCAAACGGTATCATCGGCGTCATCAACATCTTCTCCCCAGAAGGTAAATTGCAAGGACTCCTCAGTGCTGCGGAGATCACAGCCTTCCGCACCGCCTTGGCGGTTATGTCGCTGTTCATTCGCTGCACAACCCTCAACAAAGAGCACATCTTGATCTTTGGCTCTGGACGCCAGGCAGAATGGCATGCGCGACTAGCCCTGCTTCTCGTTCCAGGTCAGATCAAGAGGATTACCTTTATTAATCGCGGTCGCCGGCGGCTGGACGAGCTGGAGAGAGATGCGATCGCTGATCTACGGTCTGCTCATCCCGACAAGACCTTTACTACTTTGGTCAAGGAAGATACACCGAATTACGAGGAACAGTTACGGAGTGAACTGGCTGCTTGCGATGTCATCTTCAGCTGTACGCCGGCGACCGAGCCAAACTTTCCGTACACCTATCTGCAGCCGTCCAAGCGGCGGTTTCTCTCACTTATCGGCTCGTACAAGCCGCATATGCGGGAGATTGATACTGAGACGCTGCTGTCGGGCGGAGGGAAGGTATATGTGGACTCGAAGGAGGCGTGCTTGGAAGAGTCCGGGGAGTTGATTCTAGCCGAGGCGAAAGAAGATCAACTTATTGAGATTGGTGAGCTGTTCGGTAAAATGCGAAAAGATGAGTCCATTGATGTGCCGGAAGGGTGTAATGTGGTGTTCAAGTGCGTGGGGATGGGGATTATGGATTTGGTGGTCGGGAATAAGCTGTTGGAAGTTGGTCGGGCTAGAAACATTGGTATGGAAGTGGATGGGTTTTAAGAATAGTACTACTAGCTCTACTACTAAAGAAAATAGCTCCCCTAATGGGCTCGATGGTTACTGTAGTGATGGTCTATCTATATCCGCCCCAGCTGCAATGGCCGAACAGCCAGCATACGAGGCGGCAGCTCAGTCACGCGAGCAACGCCCCTAACTAAACCCTGCAAAGATAGCTTAACCCATTAACCAATAACAAGTAACTATCCGGAATGCACTAGTACTTAGTTCCATAGAGCAGGGATTGAGAGAAAGAGCAGAATCGTAGATGAAAAGGGCCAACCAGGAGGCCTCGGCGGTAGATCGGCGAACGATGGGTTGAAGTTGTGCCGCTGTTCTGATCTTATCAGTGAGTGGGAAAAGGGAAGATTGGAAGGGCCAGAGGATCTCCTCCTTCGAACCCCGGGGAAATTTTCTTGTTCTCCGCAACCCACGCAACACCAACTTGACCCTCTCCCCTCTGCCTTATGGTCCTGCTATAATTCTACAATGCGCCTGCCTCTCCATCGCCCTCCCTGATCTCAAAACTGCCATGGATGTGGGCCCTGCCACCCCTGCTGGACTGGGCCAGCAGAAACGACCCCGCGTTTCCGAGGAAAACCGCAAAAGAGCGGTGCGAGCGTAAGCATCATCCATCCCTGATTTTTATCCCCAAAGCGCCCGTCGAAATATCTGGGGGATAATTGGAAATGTTTCTGGATTATCACTGACCGCTACAGCTGCGATGGATGTCGTCGCGTAAAGGAGAAATGCGAAGGAGGCGTCCCCTGTCGCCGGTGTCTCCGGTATCGTCGGCAATGCATCTTCACCCACCCCGATCAGACGGAGAAGCTCGCCCGATCGCCGTCCGTCTCGTAAGTCGCCAGATACCTTTTTCCAGAGTCATAAAATGCGTGCTGCGAGCTGTGGACTGATAATATGTGATGGGGTTAGGATTCTGGACCGCACGGTTGCTTTCAATCAACATGAAATGCTCGAGTCGGAGCGTGTCCGGTACATGGAACGCATTCTTCAACATTATGTCCCGAATATCTCGTTCGATATACACTCTCTTCGGAAGATGGCAGAGGATCTGAAACACAAGCATCGTCCCTCTGGTTTGGAGGCTGGCCCGCCTTCGATGCAGCTGGAAGGCGACGAGCTTGAGGATTTGGCCATCGATGATGAGGACTTTACCATCAAGGCTTTACCGGATAATACTACCCGTATGATTTCTCGACTTGTTTTTGATTTCGTTGAAGTGGTCCGGGCTATTCTGACTGGTCTGCAGAATACTCGGGAGAGTTCTCGTATTTGAACTTCTCCATGAAGATTAGACAGAAGATTGACGAGTGGATGAAGACATCAGCTCCAGAGGTATTTACCGTCTGCTTCTGCATTATTACTCCATGTCGCTGATGGTTATAGGCATCGACCGAGACAGAGCCGTTCGAAGAGCGATGGCGAGCGACGCAGCTGCAGTCGGGTTCGACTTTGGTGTCGACATCAGTCACCTGTCTTCCGCCCCGTTTTGTCGCCGACTTCCTGGTTCAAATATTCTTCAAATATGCCCAGACCAATAATTTCTACGTTGAAGAGGACTGGCTGCGAGATAAGCTCAACACGTGTTATACAGATCCGTCTTGTCTGTCGTCGAAGGATGCCGGCTCGGTATGCGCCATCCTGATGGTCTTGGCTGTCGGAACACAGTTTGCGCATATGGAATCGTCCATCCCCGTCAATCGTCTCTCGTCCAACTCGGCATTTGATGATGACCATCACTTTTCCGAGGACGATGTTGGTCTTACTTTTTACCAGTTTGCATCCAAGCTGTTGCCAGATATTATCGCCACTGCAAATGTCCGAAGCGTGCAGGCCTGCCTACTGATCGGAACGTATTTGTTACCACTCGATACATCTGGGCTATGCTACACATACTTCGGTTTGGCGCTGAAGATGGCGATCCAAAACGGTATGCACCGAAAGTATACGGGAGAAGGACTCTCGCCGCGTATGATTGAGATTCGGAACCGTGTGTTTTGGACTGCCTACACTATCGAGAAGTGGGTTATAACGTGCCCCTCTCATCTTCATCCATGCTTACGATTTCCAGGCGTGTCAGCATTCTTCACGGAAGACCGGTTTCCTTGTTAGACGCAGACGTGGATGCCCCGTTCCCCACGGACTTTCAAGGCTTGACGCCATCGGGACATGTTTCAAACGATACGAACATGGTGACCCTCATCAAGCTTACGCTCAAGCTTGGAGAAGTTGCAAACGAAATGTATGTTTTGGCTCAAAGAGACAGTTGAACCTATCTAATGCTAGTAGATCCGTCCTTCGCAAGTCCCGCAAGAATCAGCAGCAAGACTGTCTGGAGAGGCTCTTGAATTTGCGAAAGAACCTGGTCGACTGGTGGGGAACGCTACCTGAAGAGACCAACTGCAGGGATCTTAATCCAGCAGGACCCCTTTTCCGCTCCAACGTGCACTTGAAGCTCGACTATTGTCTGACCCGCATCTTCCTGGGACGACCGTTCCTCTTCAGCACCAACAGGGCAGTCAGCTCGGCTACTCTACCTGGTGCTCCTCTCAAAACACCGTCAGGTCCCGCGAAAAACCGTTCTACATTGATTACGGATTGTGTAGAAGCCGCCCTCGAGATCATCGACCTATGTCGGCTCCTTCGCGACGAGCGCGGTCTTGCTCGCGCATCTTTTACCGAATTTAGCTCATGTCGTGCTGCTCTGCTCGTCATTCTAGCCCAAAGCTTGACCAAACGCACCGAGCGCCTGCGCGAAGCATTAGACAAGGGCATGGCACTGATCAAGATCATGTCCATGGGTGTCGGCTCTGCCCGTGCAGCAGTAAGCGTCATCGAGACCTTGGAACGCGCAATTCGCCGTCTCGAAGAGTATAGCCAGACTCAACCCCAAGGCAGTACCGGTGTCGTCGAATCAGCATATGACCGATTCAAGAACTGGGAAATGCTATGGAAGACCGGGCCAATTTCCCCCGAAATCGTCCCATTCCAAGAGCAGCAATATCATCATACTAGCAGTAACGGGCTTGCCCCCGTTGTCACCCCCATTCCGGGCGGCGCATCTACCGCGAACGAGCCCGTGGAAGCCGACGTCGGCAGCGCAAGTCTTCCCGACTCGTCGGAGTTTTCTGTTTCACATCCCCTGTCGCAGATGCCGCATTTCGGCCTCGATCATTTCGTTTCGAATCTGCCTCAAGAACTGGGCGAGTTCACTGCCATCCCTTGCTTTGAGCCTGATGGCCAGCCGAGTCTTACTGGAGAGATGAAGCAAGCAGATACGCGGTGGATGAACTTCATGAATGATTGATTGCGTCAATGCAAGTAGGCTTTGGTTGTGATTTCAGCGTTTCGGTTTGACTTTTCGCGACTATTGTTGTCGTATTCCGTTGTGTTGCGTTGTTTATATGTTTATCCGTCCGTAAGCACCGGATTTAGTTTCGAGATACCTAGACAGTATGTATATATTCGTTTCACTAGTAGTACTAGTTGGAAATAGCAGGACAATAAATATTGCAGATAATTTTGGACTTATAATGATGATAGTATCTACAAACGCTACTACATGCAAAAACAGGATATCTCCTACTAATCGAACGTAACCTTCTTTCCCTGGAAAGCAGCAGTAGCCTTCTGCTCCTTCGCCTTTCTCGCCGCCTCCCATGACGGATGCAATGGCTTATTATCCTCCGGCTTCTTCGCTGGAGGCCCTCCGCGCTGAGGACGTCCAAACTGCTGCTGCTGCTGCGGCCTGCCCCTACCGCCACCCCGTCCCCAGCGATCACCCCCATCAGTCGCTCCCCGCCGAGCATCCCACCCATTATCGCGTCCGCCTGCCTTCCGCTTATTCTTCTCCTGCTTGACGTGATTCGCTCCAGATCCGTACTTCTTCTCCCAGAGCGCCCGACGCGCCTGCTGACCCATACGGTTCTTGCGACGCGGGGGCTCGTTCGCCGCCTCGCCGTCTTCAGCCTCGTCCTCGGATCCGGACCAGTATCCGCCCATTGTGAGTGATGGGAGGAAGGTCGTGCTGGTCGCGGGCGTTGAGGACGCTTTGCTTCCCTTGGCTTTCTTCGTAGGAGGGGCGTCGGGGGATGGAGAGCGGGAGATGGAGATGTGTTGGTCGTCGTCGTCTTCTTCTTCTTCGCCGCTGATATCGTCGCTGATGTCGTTGCGAGCGCGACCGTCATCCTCGGATTCGTCTTCGTCTTCGTTCCCGGAATCGGGCGCGAGTCGCGCATCGAATTGCGCAAAGTCGATGCTGTCTGCGTCCGAGCCTGCGTCGTCCATGTTGATGTCTTCGTCGCCGCTTGGCGAGGCGTCGGGGTCAGCGGATGCGCTGGTCCGTTTGGTCGATACAGTCTCGCTGTCATCCTTTGATTTCTTCTTGTCTTCCTTGGTAGATTTCTCCTTCGTCTTCCCGTCTTTCGCCTTCTTGTCAGCTCCCTTCACATCCCCACCCGCAGGCTTATCTTCAATCCCCAACAACTTGCGTATCCCCTCCATAATCCCCGGAAACACATTCTTCACCGGCGTAGACTTGTACAACCGTGCCGTGACGTTCGCCTCGGCCGAGCTCTTCGGCCCCTCCGCCGCGATCTTCTTTTTATCCTTGAAGGCGATGAAGAGCGGTGACTCGGCGATTCGTTTCGTCTTGAGGAGTTGCTTGAAGAGGTATTTCTCGGCGGTGGTGTGGGGGTCGAGGGTCTACCATTATTCCAGACGTTAATACTCATCACATATACATACTTGGGAAAAACAAGGTGAAATGTACCTTAACAACCTGAATCTCCTCCGCAATGCGACTCAACGTCCCCTCCTTCTTCTCACTCTCTTCCTTCTGCGCCGTCTTCTCTCGTCGTCCGAGCTTCTGGCGCTCGAACCCCCGCGCTACCTTGAGCGCTTTCGATAGGGTCATCACGCCATATTCGAATTTCTGGAAGAGCCGGGTCAGTTGTAGGGATTGGCTGCGGTCGTGCGGTGTGTATGGGGATTCCGAGAAGTCGGCGAAATTGCGCTTCCCCATTTTGGTCAAATTCCCCTGTGTTGGGATGGTTCGAGGTGTATGTTGGATGTGTAAGTGCGGATAGACGGTTCAGTATGCTTGTCGTTTTGATCAGATCCACGTGCGGGGAGATATTCTGACTTATGCCATTCAATGTTGATTTGAAGATTAGGATAGATTAGTAGTAGTTTTTCTTGGTCAGGGAACTTTTTCTGCCGGTCGGAGGGCGGGCGGTGCCAAGCGATGGCTCGCCGCCTTTTTGGTTTTTGGGCAGGTGGACGGGGCATTTTGCCGTTTTGGGTGTCTTATTTTTGGGGGATGGTTATTGGTCCGTTTCGGGGGTGGATGATTTCATGGGGTTTATTGTTTTGATTGTGAAAATTGGGGGACAGGATGGGTCAATTGGGTATGGTATGATACTCTACAGATCTTTTGATGAGCGAGTTTAGAAATTGAGATGGTTTGTGTGCAATGGGTCAAGGATATAATTTCATAATCTACGATATCATAGCGCGAGCCAACCTACTTTTGAGAAAAGGCGACCCACGTTAGAACTTTTGCGCGAAATCAACGTCAAATTCAACACACGGTATGTACATACAGAACTAGCAAGGAAAGATAATACGATTACATCTCCTCTATTTCTTTTCCTCCTCCTTCGGCTCCGGCTTGGGGGTGGGCAGCTTGAACTATATTATCAGTTAGCATCATCCTCATCATCGCGTGAATGCTGATATCAACATACCGACTCAGGAGTTCTGTCAGTACCCGCACTGACAGGCTCCCAGGCAGCGGTACCACCCTCGAAGTTCCGGAACGCCTGCGTAAGCTCCAGAGGCTCAATGACAATGCGCTTCTTCTCCTCACAGTAACGCAGCTCCGTGTATCCCGTCAAGGGGAAGTCCTTGCGCAGCGGGTGGCCATCAAAGCCGTAGTCGGTCATGATACGGCGCAGATCGGGGTGGCCGGTGAAGAAGACACCGAACATGTCGTACACCTCACGCTCGTACCACAGAGCACCCTCGAACAGACCGGTAACACTGGGCACGGGGCTGGCCTCGTCGGCGTAGGTCTTGACACGGATACGAGAGTTGTAGCGCACACTGAGCATGTTGTAGACGACCTCGAAGCGCTGGTCGCGGGTGGGGAAGTCGACACCGGTGATGTCCGAGATCTGAGTGTATTCGGCCGCGGTGTGGTATTTCAGGAAAGTCATGGTGGGAATGAGGCCGGAGGGGGGAACGTAGATGCACAGCTCATCCTTCCAGACGGAGAACTGCTGGACGTGCTTGGGCAGGCACGACATGATGTACTGGCCGTACTTGTGCAGACTGTCCGCTTTGTCCTGGTACTTGTCGGCCGGGTTGACGACGGGGGCGCGGAGAGGGCCAGGAGCTATAAAATTATGTTAGTATTGCACATCCTGCGGTATCAGCGGTCGAATCCGGGTGCCATTGGACATACGGGGACGCTGGGCCTGGCGCATGTTGGGAACATCCTCTGAGATAGGCGCGGTCGAGGCCTGAGTGGCCTTGAGAGCGGTCGTAGTGAAGGTACGGGACGACCGGACGGCGGTGGCCAGGGAGCGGCCAGATCCCAGCCGCATCAAGGAGCGAGCAGAGGCCATGATGACGGACAATTGCGGGTGTAAGACGACGGGGGAGGTGGAGGGAGGGGAGAGCAGCGGAGGTTCCTCATCCAAGGAGCTTTTGCCGGTCCAGGCGAAGTTGTCGCGGTCACGTGAGGGCTACAAGTTTGGCTGGCGGAGATGACATAAGCGGCGCGCGGACAGCAACATACTCCATGCCTGAGGCTGCAGGGTAAGACAAACGGTGCAAACCCGCGCAAACCCCATCAATCAAAGCTTCACTTCTCTTTCTCGCTCTTCGCCTCCAACTCTCCCTCTTCCTTTGCGTCTGTGTCCCTCCGTGCTCCTTCTTCTCATCCTCCTCACCTTTACCCCACGTTTGTCGATCTATCATCCTCAACCTCCCTCGGACTCTTCTTCTCGTCCCTTTTCCTATCTTTCCCTCCTGTCTCCCTTGACGTTCTTTTTTTTCTACCCGCTTTTCCTCGCCCTCTGCCTGCTCCCACCCCCCCTTCCGCCCGGGTTTGGTTGATGGGTGTTAGTCTTAGACTGTGATCGCCGTCTTGTCCAGTCGTCGTACCGTTGCACAGCTTCGTCACTCATAATGTCAAATCGCCAACAGATTGACTCCGTCATCGATGATGACGACGAGTTCTGGTGCGTCCGCTTCCCACTTTTCGTACCCGTCGGGTTGTCCTATGACTGGTCCGTTGGGCTGACATCTTTGTCTTCTTTAGCCCCCTTTGCATCGAAGAATTCGATCTCTCGGACAAGAACTTCAAGCCTTGCCCCTGTGGGTATCAGGTACGCATCCTGCTCGCCTTATACTCCCCTCGCGAATCAGCGGCCCGATCAGGAGATCGCTCGCGTCGTATGCGATCCGGACCGTCGCTAACAGACCCCTCCAGATCTGTCAATTCTGCTACAACAACATCAAGACCCACAGCGAAGAAGGCCGGTGCCCCAACTGCAGACGGGTCTACGATGAGAGCACCATTCAATACAAGGTTCCCGATGCCGACGAGTATGTGTTCACTCCTCGCTCTTGTTCCCACTGTCCCTTCCCGCGTCTTGGCGCTAACATCGCAACCCGCAATTTTAGATTCAAAGCCGACTTGGCCTTAAAACACCGCAAGGCTGCCGCCGCGAAGAAGAAGGAGGCCGAGAAACGTGAAATCGAGGCTTCCAGTCGCAAGAATCTTGCCGGTGTCCGCGTCGTGCAGAAGAACCTGGTCTACGTGATCGGTCTCAACCCCACAATACGTGACGAGAATCAACTCCTCTTGACTTTGCGCGGTCGAGACTACTTCGGTCAATATGGTGACATCGAGAAGATCGTCGTGAGCAAGGCAAAGCCTGGTGGCAACCCCAACCAGGGCATTGGCGTCTACGTCACCTATGCAAGGAAGGCCGACGCAGCCACTTGTATAGCAGCTGTCGATGGGTCGGCCAACGGTGACCGGGTGCTACGGTAGGTCGAACCCTCCACCTTCCTGTGTTCTGTTGGCAATGCAACATACTGACCGCTCTAGTGCCCAATACGGTACAACCAAGTATTGTTCTTCCTTCTTGCGTAACGAGCAATGCCATAATCGAAACTGCACCTTCCTGCATGAGACTGGTGAGGACAGCGACAGTTACAGCCGACAGGATCTCTCTTCGATGAACACCCTGTCAAGTCAACGAATCAACGGTGCCCCCAGCGGTCCCACCCACTCGATTCCTCCGCACGTTGCCCGGTCCTCCGCTCAACCGATTTCGCAACCAATGCGCCGCCAGCCTAGTAGGGATGACGCTGCGGGGAGCCGACCACCGGATGGGTCTGCCCTGCCATCGTCAGCAAGTTGGGCAAACAAGGATGCCGTGCTTAGCCGGACGAGACGGGCAAGTTTGACGGGCAGTCAAGCCTCGCAAAGTCCGCGTCCCGCCATTGCCACGGTGTCGCCAGCGGTGGAGGAGGCCAAGCGCGTGGAGAAGCAGTCTACGAATGCGCAGGAGCGTGCTCAAGCTCAAGCTCAAGCTCAAGCTCAAGCTCAAGCCCAAGCTCAAGCCCAAGCTCAGGCTCAGGCTCAAGCTCAGGCTCAAGCTCAGGCCCAGGCGCAAGCGCAACCGTCCCCCTCTCCCGAGGCACGATCCTCTTCGTCTAGTTCTCCGCCTACTGTCCAGACGCCACCCAAGCCGGAGACGCCTCTGTTGGATAACCTCGTCAAGGCTGTGAACTCCCCAGACTTCAAGTTCATCTTCTCGGCGGCTGGTCTGCCCGCGGAAGAGGTTGCCCTCATTGAGAACCACCCTTCGTTTATCGATCCTTACGGAGGCGTGAAACGCCGAGCTATGCGTGAGAAGGCGGAGCAGGAACGTGTCCGGCGGGAACAGGAGCTGCTGCAGTCTGCTGCAGCAGAAGAGGAGAGCCGTGAGAGTGGAAGCTTGCAGCTCGGTGGCGAGCCGGATGACGCGATGCCCCCAAGAGGCCGTAGCGGTCGCGAATCTCATGGTGCCATTCAACCTCCTTCCCAGCAGGGTACGACGACAAACTCGGCAGTTGGCTCCCCCGTCTCGGCAACTAGTCACCAGTTTCAGCAACTCAATCTGGCCGGTCGTAGCTTGACCCCTCTGCAGCAACAGCAGTTGCTCCTCCTGAAGTCTGCCGGCAACCAACAGGCGGGCCTGGTTGATCAGCTGCAGGGTGGGCTCAACTCCGCTGCTCTTGACCAGGCAGCTCAGGTCCGCCAGGGTCTGCTCCAGAGCCAGATGGCACAGTTCAATGCTCTGCAGGCGCAAAGTCGCCAGAACTCTCGTTTCACATTCGCCAATGAGGCCAATGCCAAGAACATCCCCAATGTGCGCATGTTGAGCCAAATGCAGGCTGGTACTCCTAACCCGCTCGCAGCCCCTAGCCCTCAGCATGGTCTTGCTGGCAACTACTTCACTAGTGGTGTGCAGGGTCCACCCCCCGGGTTGAAGACGGCGGGTACCCCGCCTATCAGCGGCGGCGGCATGTTCGCACAGGGTCACGGTTTTACAACAAATGCCAATCTCGGTTTGGGATCCAACCTCGGAAAGCAAGAAGCCAATCCAGAGTTGATGCGTGAGCTGCTGAGAGGCCGCAGTGGCGCAAATGCTGGTGGTTTGCAGGGTCAAGAGGCCGCTAAGCGTGAGTTCATGTTTCCTTTCCTCCAACAGCACCAAACTCCCCCTCCCCTGACTCCCGGCAATGGCCTTCTCAGCTCTTTCTATGGTACTCAGGCGGGAAATTATTCCGAGTCTGGTCCACAGAAGCAGAAGAAGAAGGGGAAGAAGCACAGACACGCTAACACTTCCTCCGGTGGAGGCGGTGTAGTAGATCTTGCGGACCCGAGCATCCTACAGGCGAGGATGCACCAGGTTGGTGCGAATGCTGCTGCTGCTGCTGCTGCTGGGCAGGCGCTGTACGGGAGTCAGGGTCAAGGTGGGTACAATCAGGCCATGATGTATGGCAGCGGTTTCAACCGCTGGTGATTGTTTGCCCCCCTTTCTCATAATTCATTAATAACCCTCCCTCGCCCTTCACTTCTATCATTGTTGTTTATGATGACTACCCTTTTTGCATTTTGTTTCTTTTTGCCCATGCTCCTTTTCTGTCTCCCTTTTTATTTGATGACATGATATCATATTTCTCTAGATGGGCGTGGGATATGATTCTTATGTTTCAGTTTTCCGGACTCATTGATTCGATGTTGAAAACTTTGCGACATATTTCCACTCTGCAACGAAAGCATTAAGCAAACGGCTCTTGAAAACAACAAGAATTCGGGCTAGGCGTGCCTTTGGCGTTATCTTCATGATTGTTTTTTATCGTCTTTTTATGTTTCTCTGTGCTTCCACATCATGTTTCTTTTTTGCGTGTTGTCACCGGCTTCCGTGTGGATGGGAGGCGTCCTTGCACTTTATGGGCACATCGTGTCTTCTAGGTCCACTGCGCTTTGGTGGCTGTCGTATACTTTGTTCTTTTGCATCCAAGCTGGGTTGATCTATCAGCATCTTGGTGGCCCATTCGGTCTGGTCATGGCTTTATGTACGTTAACCTCCCTGCCCTGGCTTTCGATAAACACGAGCAGGGCCCTCTATGCGAAACCAATTTCTCACAATTATTGTTCTTATAGACAATATGCCTTGTGTGTCCGTCTGGTTGCATCGGCCGGGACATTTGTGTAATTAATATGCCTGCCCTTCCGTACCTTGGTCGTCTCGTTTTGTTTATAATAGTCCACTGGCACGCCCTGTTTCTATTTGTTTCTGCTTGTGTCTTTGGGAGGGGTTCCTTTGCGTTGTTCTTTCTATCCGGCTCACTCACCCATCGTCTTGCAGACATCAGGAAGCTAACGGCGCTTCTAGTGGACGAAGAATTTCCTCCTCTTGGAGCCCAGCCAAAGGATAAGCGCCCCGTTGACAGCTTTGGCTATCTCGTGCGCTCGCATTTCTCCAGTGACTCGCAAGGCTCAGCTCGTGCTGGAACACCTACCCTGCCCCCCGGGCTTCCTCTGCCACACGCTCATCCTGCATCTGCCTTGTTCCAAAGTCCACTCAATCCATCCAGTCCGGTCTCGTCGCCATCCGTGCCTCCGGGTCTTAATCCACCTTTCCATAGGCTAGGAACGCCGGGCCAGGGATTCCAAGAAAGCTCTCGCCAGGCTTCTCCGGACTTGAAAGATACTCCTGAGAATCCGCCCACCTCAAGTCGCATTAAGAATGCATCCGAAATATCACTCGGTTCTCCTGTGCCAAAGTCAGCCAACAAGGCTCGCTCCCAGCAAAAGGGGGACTTGACCGTCGCTTCTGACAAGAAAGCTGGCCTTTCGAAGACCGGAGAAAACAATGAGAAAGCCTCGGCGCCTACGGCGAAGGCCAAGCCCATAAAGCTGGAGCTTCCCTTGGGTACTTCTCAGTCTCACGACACTTCAAAGGCAGATACACCAAGTCAACCCAATACCCATGGCCCGGTGCCCACTTCGACGATCGGTTCTCGTCCGAATACACCCTTAACTGGGGTCTCCCGCGTTTCGGACTCTTCCGCTCCTCGCCAACCTCGAGTCCTTCGTGTGGTTGACACGCCAAAGACTGAAACCCCACCGCCTCCATCTGCCACCCAGTCTGTCGCTTCCATACCTGCTGCAACAAAAGCGCGTTCCAGACGACCAAGCATCTCGTCGCTCAGCCGGCCTGATACGCCCGGCGACTTCGGATCGGAAGCCGATCTTTACACCTCGGCGTCCGTGTCTCGGGCCAACTCTCCTCCCGCTTCGTCCAGAATCGGCTCTGCACCTGTCCGGGCGATGACCAAGAGCCAGGCTAAGAAGGAACGGCGACAGAAGGCCAAGGAACTGGAGGCCAAGAAACAAGAGGCCACCGCTGTGGTCGAAGAACCAGTGCAGGCTCCGATTATCGGTCGAAAGCGCAAGACCAGGAAGACTCCTGTTAGCTCGAACGAGTCGCCGGCTGTAGCTTCGGAGAATACTGAGGCTGGAAAATCTGCCAACTCTGGAAGTTCAGATAGCAACGAGAAGGCTGCGCAGCGGACGGAAGCGGCCAAGAAGAACAAATCGAATGAGAAGGCCACGAAGGACTCCAAGCCAGCTGCTACCGAAGAGAAGGCCACTCCTGAACAGAAAGAACCTGCTGAGGCGTGGCGTTCCAAGAACACGGTGGAGCAGCTGATGAAGGACGCTGAATCCAGCGGGGTTCCGGTCAAGGAGCTCTTCTCGGAACGTACATCCCCGTTGCAAGTCCTTCTGGCTCAACTGCATAAGTCTGCTGAATTGGACCTAAACAATCATCCCCTGTTCAACCCAGCCAACCTAAACCAGCGATTCGACATGAAGTGCAATGCGGATGATTACGACATTCTGAAACAGCCCATTGAGTTGACGGATGAGCATCGTAAAGCATTGATGCGCGGAGAAGCCATTCGTGTTAACTCGGACTCGACCATGCTGAAAGACCGATGCTTGATCAGTCCCCGTGGATGCGTCCTGCACCATCTGTCGCCCGAGGAAGAAGAGCGGTATCTTGCGCTTGAGAAGAACATTGCCTGGGCAATTGATACCTTCCAGGAATACTCGAACGTACCTATCACGGAGCCTGATGTGACCAATCGCGGTGGTGGTTTGGACGCGTTGTTTGCTACCCCTGAGAATTTCAACATCTGCTGGGTCGACGAGACCTCGGCCGGTCTCACCTCTGGCTCGCCCACTGCCGGGATGTCTCTTTCTGACGCCAGCGGCTCCACTATACCTGCGCCTCCCAACGTTCTGTCGGCCATGGAGGCGGACAGCACGCGCAGCCATAACTGGGCCATTGCCAACACCGCGGAACTGGTCAATGCCACTGCCACCTCGGTGCGATCCTTCGCTGCCGCTACTGCCAAGCACATGCTCGGGGCCGCGGGGGTGGTCATGGGCAACATCCCGGACCTGGACGATGTGGTTGGAATGACCAATGAAGAGCTGCGCTCGTTCGCCGTCAAGTCGCAGAAGGATCTTGAGTCGTCTCGCAAGGAGCTAGACACGATCGACAAGAAGCTCAACGCCCTAGTGAAGCGGAACCGCAAGCTTGCGCAGCAGGCTCTTGCGACGACCGTTGACGCGTGAACCCCCATTCTGTCCATATGACAACTGTATTCTAGTAGATTTCTTTTTCAAGCATGTTCTTGCCGTTTTCTTCTGCTGGCCTACTACTACCCCTGTATTCTACACTTGTTTCTGTTCACGGCATGGTGTTTATAGCCGCAATTAGACTTCACGGGGAAATACTCATGATAAACCAACCAATTATAATATATTAGACTATACAATCTTTTTAAGTATATACTAGTCCTCTCTACGCACCCTCATTGGGACGGAAGACCACCTTCTCCCCGGAAACCCCCTCCTTATTTGTCTTCAACGCCTCCTCAACAGCACCCAATCCACCAGGAACCACGCGCACGCGGTTCGGCACAAACAGTCCCTTCGCAATCCATCCATCCTCACCTCCAAGCGCCTTCACCATGGGCTCACTAACATGTCTCAACTTGGGAGAAGCCCCAATACCCAAAATCTGCCTAACCTCCACCTGATGTTCGCCCTCCTTCCCCAACTCCGCCGCCTCCTTCTCCGCACCCAACACCGTCACCACCGCCTTCGCAGCCCCCTTACTTGCCTTTGCAATCTCCACCCCGAGCACCTGCGTCTCCTTCATCGAAATGGCATCATACACATAACGAATCGGCACCTCCCCAGCCGCAGCAACAAAGTCCTCCGCCTTGGCAATCTTCCGATCCAGCACCACATGCGCTCCCAGCCCCTGCAAATACTCCCTATGCACGACGCTCGCATTCGTAATAATCTTCGTGAACCCGCTCAACCTTGCAAACTGAATCGCATACTGTCCCACACTCGATGCTCCGCCCAAAATAGCAATCGCCTTGCCCTTGCCTGCCTCATCACCGCCCTCGGCCCAGGGAGCAGGTGTGATCCCGTGCCCCGTGCTATCATACATTCCCGTCACGACGGCCACGCTCGCTAGACTGATCCCCGCGGCTTGCTCGTCGGAGATGTTGGACGGGGTTCGGGAGACGAGCTCTGCCGGCATCACGCAGTATTGCTGGAAGGTCGAGGCAGCGTAGTTGCCAATTATGCCTTGGAAGAAGACCCGGTCGCCCGGGGTGAAGGTCGTGACGTTGGGGCCCACGGCGGCGATGGTGCCCGAGGCGTCGGAGCCGAGGACGGCGGGGTATTCGGTCAGGAAGAAGTTGTAGTCGCGCATTTTCCAGTCGACGGGGTTGACGGCCGTGGCGGTGATTTTTATGAGGACTTCGTTGGCGCTGGGGGTGGGCACGGGGTGGGTGGTTAGGGTGTGGGGTGATTGGGGGGTGGGCACGGTGGCCGCGAGGTAGGTGTCGGGGAGGGACATTGTGGTGGTGGTGGTGGTGGTGGTATTGTATTGTTGTTGGATTGAGGTGGAAGAGTGTGGTTGGTGGAAAGGGAAATAAGGTGCTGACGGGCGTTGTTGATATGAGGATCAGATTATAGCTCGTGAGGGGCAGGGGTGGTACTTTAATTTGGATGATGAGGTTATATAGGGATGCAGTGTCTGATTTGTAATGAGGTCATGGACATTAGTCATCGACTCCACTGGGGCATTAATCTGGGGTGTGCTTGGTTATGCGGTGCATGTTATGAATAGGGCGATGGTGTATCTGGATTAGGGAAGTTGAGAGAGGCCTGTTTTCAAGGCATGAACATGGCTGCAAGCTGTAAAAACACATGTGTCTGTCATGTAGAACTTGTAGAAGTCACTGGCATAAATTGCCTATCGAAAACGCTTGAGCCAAAAGAGTAACCAGTCTTCAAATGCGTGACCAATGCATAATATAGTATAATTCACTTAGCAGTACTGTCCAAGTATCTCCAGTACTTTCCATCATGTATGGGTCTCTTTTAAGTGGTGAGTGAGACTGGTGCCTTGGTCTTAACTTGCGTCCGGATCTGCGGCAAGCATCTGCAGTCAGATAGCGTCTTTCCTCTTTTGTTTAACCTTTGCATATAAGCCATGCAGCCCAACATGGTTAATGGAACAGTAGCATAACATCATGATCCTTGAGGCATAGCATTTCCTCTGACCATAAGATTGATTAAGCGAAATGGAGATGCCAGCTTAATCTGCCTGACAGAGTGGTCGGAGGTGTCCACTTCAGGGTAGCCCTGCTAGCGGGAAATATATACTTCACCAGTTCTATCCGCATCGCACTACGTCTACTAACACTAGTAGCTGACGACTATTGCAGAAACTGTCTGTAGCTTGAGTCTGAAAAATTGTATTAATGAATTGAGTAGAATAGAGGTCAATATAAGCAATTGGATTAATGATGAGTAGTAATGATAATACGGGATATGGAGGTCATAGACTTGATCCTTGACAAGCTTTCCCGCTCGATTCCTGTTTTGGCAAGTGTGGCTTGACATGGAAGCTTATCCGGTAATAATATTTGAGGAAGTTTACAGTACTGCATGTCACAGACTTACCGCCTAACCGGTTCCGGAACACAGGCCCTAGGTATGCCCGAGGCTGGATGTTGTATCTTCGTCGAATTTGTATTCAAGGTCTACAGCTCGCATAATTTTGATAATTCATAGAGAAATGAAGAAAAAAGCTTCCTATTCTTAACCTGAATATCAATCTAACCTAGCCTAGAATAGAGTAAACGCTATGTAAGCGCATGAGGATCGTAAGTGGTAGAGACTGATATAAAGCAATTCTTTCTATGAGACGCCACAAAGACTGTCTTTCATGCTGTCTGAAAGCTAGCTCATCCTGTTGACTTGCATTGTACTTTGGCACAAGGTTTAACTCCAAGTAGTGTCCGACAAGTCCTTACGAGCCCGGTCACAGTTGGACAACCCAGCATGAGTATAGCAGAGTCCAGCCACTCCGGACGCCCACAGCGCACCACACTCCCACATGACGATAGCCAGATCCCACATCTCGAGGATCTTCTGATCCTGAGGGTAAGCTACCTGGGCAGCGAGGGTAGCTCCGACATATTCGTTCTCCGAGGGTAGGGTATCACCGCCCTTGACGTAAGCGAGAACAGGCTTGACAAGGAGGTCAATGACAGCACGGGTCTCCGGCAAGGGATCCGAGGCAATGAGAGCCTCAAGACGTGCTTCAGCGTTGGCAAGCGCACGCGCACCGCGCTCGACCTTGGTGCCGTTTGCCCGGAAGTGTTCCAGAGGAGGTCTCTCATCGGGAACGATGGGGACGATGCCCGCGTCGACAGGGAGATCAGTCCGGCCGAGGAGAGTGACGGGGCGGTGACGGCAGTTGGAGAGCTGCCACCAGTGGGTGAAGAGGAGGCAATTGGCTGCTGGGTTGTAGGGATCGTTGTCGCGGTACCAGATCATAGCACCTATTATGCGGGCGTAAACCTCGGCCAGTGGGGCTTCCTCCAAGGAACCTCGTGTCAATGAAGGGATGATGTTACTGACTTCACCGCACGCTACATCGGCTCCAAGGTCGATCCAGTCGTGCGCGACGCAGCCCAGACCGGCGATGGCAGCCATGTGCTCGCTACCACCTCCATCGTAGTAGACGTGACAGAACACCGCATCGGCCAACTTGTACCGGGCAAGGCGGGCCAGATCATTCCATACAACGATGGTAGGACGAGAAGGAATCGGGTGGGAATCCTCGATGACGGTCTTCTGGCGCAAGCAGGAATAATTGCAGCCTTTGACAAGGCTGATGTCGGTAATGTGCGGGCCGGCATAAGCGGACTTTTCAGCAGCGGCGGCCGCATCGGCAAAAGCAATGGAGAGTTTGTCTGCCATGGCAGCGCTGTGAACACCGATGGAGTAATCCATGACGAAAGATGCGTCCATGGTCGACCACAAGCCAGAGATTGAACCACCGTAGACACCACGGTTGTAACCACTTGTCATGGCAAACACACTGGTGTTGAGCATGGGGCCCTGGCAGTCCTCCCCGGTGAACAGGTTGACTGCAGTTGGATCAGATGCGACGGCCACGCCACTCAGCTTGGGTGCGAGAGGCTTGCGCGCAGAGCACCAGCTGGGCATGTCGACGGGGCGCACTTCGGCAAATCCCACGTACTCAGGCGCGCCGGTCGCGATCATTCTGTCGCGTGCTTCCAAAAGAGTCGAGGCATCTGAGAGCAAGCCGGCGGCGCAATCGACGGCATCCGCAACACGTGCATTGCGCATCCATGAGACACTGGAGACGGCACCCAAAACACCGTCCGTTCGAGGAGTATCAAGACGGCGCGCCACGTTAACGGTTGTGGTGAGGGTGTCAGTTTCGGCGTCGTATTGCTGAGAGAACTTGCTTGCTCCGGGCTCGGCAGGGCCTATGCCGTGGGATTTGAGTGACCAGGCGTGAGCTCCCCGAGGGGCGTCCATGTTGACTCCCTCTGCCGCAATATGGGCAGTGCCCCAGGTGGAGGTAAGCCGGACGGTAGCAGCCAGGTCGGTAGCGGAGAGCTCGCCTGTGCGGTCAGCCCAATGGGAGAAGACAGGCAGACAATCGAAAGCGGGCGAGCGACTGAGACCACCGGTGACCACCAGATCCGGTACCAGGTCAGATATAGGCTGTTTGGCGTTTCTGATTGGCATACGCTGTTTGATCTTCTCGGAGCGTGCGCGGAATTCGTCGATTTTGGCCTGGCTCTGGATAGCTGGCTGGCGCAACCGCATGCCCAAGCTAGTGGGCTTAGTAGCAGCGCTTGGGTTTCCTGAGCTCAATGGAGAGACATTGGCAGGATTGGAAACGAACTCATTCACGTCCCGACAGGACATGCGTTCGAAGAAGAGAGGCTGATCCTCAGCTCGGGGGTCGACGAGACCTCCTTTACGAGCGATGTCGGGAAGATCATCTGTTCGTGCAATGTAGCCCATCTTGGGAAGATGTTTGAGGAAAGAAGCGGTCTCTCGGGAGAAAGAATAGCTTAAGTGAGATAGTTGATAGGAATTGAGTTGCTCTTATAGAGCGAAGAGAGATAACAAAAGGGAAAGGAAGGCTCTTGGATTCACGTCTCAAGGTATTCTCGAGATAAGGACTTTTCTTGAAGCCAGTTATCTCTGAGCTGCCTGATTTGATTTCTGTCCATGGCTACGCTCATTGTTAGTCCATTTTATATAGATCGAGAGAGGATGGCTAAACACGGGCCACAGCCGTTCAACCGTTCAGCTCAGCCCAAGCCAGAGACACGAGCCAGCCTGCGAGCCATGATTCAGGAATCACTTGGCTGCAGGTCCGCTCAGCCAGCCATCATTGCCCGAGTGAAGCATGTCAGACATAAGCCCAAACTCAATTATTTTGGCAGATTCCGCGGGCTCTTGCTCCTGGGTGAGGGCCGGGGAGAGATACGACAGCCTCACTGAATTTTAATACCTGATAAAGTTGAATTGCTGACCAAGATTATCCCCTTATACAGCATTCTCAATTGACACCAGAAAATGTAAAGAACAAAAGCCCCCCCCCAAAAAGGGAAATAAGATATGACTCAAAATGAAAATATGTCCCTAATTCAATAAACAGGAGAAACAGACATGTAACCCTTCTCCATGAGTTGTGTTTCCCGTCGAAGCGTTCTTCCACCACCAAAGAGCCGAACCGCTAACTCCACTCATTATGCGCTGGCATTTTCTCCCCGCCAGATTAAAACGTACTAAGCATAGTGCTCTGCCACTTGGAACGACAGCACAACTCCACCTTCATTACCCCTGTCCTGCAGACTGTCATGATCTTATTCCCCGCTGTCAACGCAGATTCAGCTCAGCCAATCTCTCCCTAATCCGCGGATGATCGAGACCAATCGGAAATGAAGAGCATAGTCCCGTGTACTACTCGTCATCATGGTACCCGATCGTTTCGATTTGGCTCCCTAACCTATCGAGTCGTTCCACTGTCGATTCCGTACCGATGCACACACGCATTGGCTTTGGCGACTTGGCACAGCCCCCTTTCCTTCCCTTGGCGCTTCAAGATGATGGTCGCATTATCCTACTCGCAAAAGTCTGCAGTATATGCAATGTATTTTCTCTTGAATGTGCCTTCTTCCATGCAGCAGATTCGTACGTAACCGAGAACGAAACCTCTGATCAACACCGTATGAGCTTGTTTCCTATCTCAAATGATATGCCACCAGTTTCTCGGTCACTCCGCTTAAGGCTGAAGCCAAGAAAGACCACCAGCTGAGATGCGACTAGATGTTAGGGCGTGCATGCCTTGCATCTCTTTGACATATCGGATTCCTCAACCCTTCCACCCGCTCCTCGGACTTAACTGAACATTCACCTGGATCCATATCACGGTCTACAGGGGAAGTAGATCTTCATCCACTCATACGCTCTCCACAAGCAGACGTTTGCCACCTTGCCTGACCATTGCACAATGTACTAGTTGGCTAAAGTTAATATACCGCGGAACTTGCGATGATCAAGCCATCTGCGCCTACGCCCCCACTCTTTCAAAATGTTGAGGGATATAATTACCCTCAAACCTCAGCTAATCTGAAACCGCCACCAAATATCGTTTACTCCTTATCTAGCCATGTCGACAAGCTCCATAACCGCTCTAACCGCAGACTTAACTTGGCCGGTCTCTGTTCTCGGGCGAGATACAAACCAGCCTAGCTCACGCTCTTGGTCTTACGAAATATTCATCCTATCTGTACTCATGTTTTCAGCGTACGTATGCTCCTCGGCGTTCTGCTTTCTGGCGCCAACCCCAGTCCTTTGCTTAACCGGTATTTTGATAATCATCTTGATGTCACTTCTCTTTCGCTTCATTCTCAGAACGGACAAGGTCGAAAACATACCCCGTGATGCGATAATGGGGAGGCGACGTATTCAACACGGAAATGCTACCCATAGTACATGGAGCTTATGAGGGATTAGTTGGCTACTTAAGGGTTCCACAAATGTACCCCACGCTGTAAGCTGTACCGGACACTTCGCCATTTCGTCTAGCATGCTTAGATGACATTTTCAGCCCTAGAATCTCTTCGCGCAATGAAGGAGGAAGATACAGGGATTACCCACTATCCACACAAGTCTACAATCTCGTTCGCTGGTCTTTCATCCGAACTCCAGGAGCTGTCCTCGGGAACCACGAAGAGTTATGAGTCATGATCGAAGGATTCTATGTTTTTGTACTTTACTCCCTATAATATGCTCTGCATTCTCACTTGTTCGTGATAAATACTTCCAGAATGCACACTCCCCTTGACGTATGTCAACTGTACCAGAACATACTTCTACAACATTCTAATCACCTGAATGTATCGAAAGTTCAGTAATGTACCACACGTTTAATTCAAAGATACACCCAAGTAAAGCACTCCGGTGGGCAGCCTTAGCCCACGACGTGACTAAGATCCAGGAAACTCAGCTAGCAAGGGATGTTGCATCTGACCAATAAGCCTACACCACATACTGCGTCTGTCAGCTTAGACTATCTAGTTACTGGCAGGAAAGCTAAGCAGTAAATTCAATTCAGAAACCATACTCATGATAATGTCATCCCTTGTAGTTTGCTGTCAAATTAAGTTTATGTTCATATGTCCCTTCATGCAACCAAAGATTTTGCCGGGATAACGGAATTGTTCTGCGGTCGAAATTTCTTATTGTTGTCTGTGCATGCATGATTGATATACGATGAGTGACGGTACTGCATAACACATGCATATTATTCCACATCTGCCATTTTTCAGGCTGTTGATCAGCCTGCGCCACAAACCCCCCACTTCCGCAGAGGTTATCATCCCTTGCTTTTTGAAAGATGGGGGGTGTGCGTGGAATTCTTGTTGTGATCCAATCAGTCGGTGTGGAATAAGATCTTGAAGAGATGAACTGAAGCATTGATTGACGTTTCGGATGCTTCGGTGAACCTCAAAATAATGTCTTCTTACTGCAAATAAACTTTGTGTAGATTGCTGTCTAAGAATGTAAGGGTAGTCGCTGAGGTGATGATGCGAGATCATCCCTAAGAGCCTGACGCCTGACTTTCGTCCGTGAAACACCAAATGAAGAAGCTGCAAATACTCTGAACGAGTGGAATAAGATCGCAAATGGCATATAGAAAAGGAACACCCAGCCTACAGTTCGAAATATATGGTGTGGTTTTCATCCGCCTCACCAGCTCGGAAATAACGCTCTCCGGTGTAGCTAGAAAACAACATCAGTAAAGCGCAGGGCTTATCAATAAGTCTATTGTGAATTTACCTCCAATGGGTGAGCCCCATGACGATGTTTCTGCAGCCTTCGATGAAAATGTCTGCGACAGCGCGGCGTCTTCCCTTGGCAGTCTGCCGCATCTCATCAACCACTTCATCGAAGCCCCTTGCTGATTCTTGAGCGAACATGAAGGCAACTTTCATTGCCTGGCTGGCTCTCAGATCCTCGTTCAGCATAATTATTGGAACAAGGTTCTCGACTTGTCCAACTCTCTGTTACACAAATGTTAGCTATATGCAACATTCCAACACCTTGACAGGCACCTATTTACCACCTCCTTTCTCAGCGAAAACATGTCATTCTGTCTGTGGCAACTCAGTTAAAGTCCTGGATCCGACATCAGAGCGGACTTACATGTGGACAAGGTACGATGTATGTCTCCGGAGTAATTTCATATGCGTATCATCCATATCCCGCGCTGAGATATCAAAGTCATAGATAAAGCTATAACAATGTCAGCCACAGCTCGACAAAATGTTTGAGGAGACATACGGAATAGTTGCGATAACTGGATGGACGCCAGCTGTGCGGTCTCGTCGGCGCCAGTACTGCTGTACTGATGGAATGTCACCCTCTGAGTAGATCGAATCCACCCCATCAACACTCGACACATAATCTATCATCGCCGCTAACAGAACCTTGCGCGTCACTAAATTCAGACTGTCAGTATTAGAAGAAAGCAAACCATCGGGACGTAAGACATTCTTTTTGAGCACACCTGACGCACATGTTCTGCTATCTGGTCCCAGCAGCGTAGCGCATTTTGGAGTTCCTCGGAGAATTCAGATAAATCTGGATACTCTGCTTCATGGCAAAGAACATGTCTGAAATATTCGATACTAGTATGCTTGTACCTCTTGATAGTTTTTGAATCGTGGCTAAGGGAGCCGCAGTCGAATACTTGAGGGGTGTTTCAGCTCAGTATAACGCTAGTAAGTAGCAGATGGGGATTCCATACGATCATCCCATATGAAGTACTCGTACTGTTATCAGTAAACATTCAGAAGATCTTGGTTCACACACCTACCCAGGTAAACCACTTTGCCACCGTACAGAGTTGTTCAAAGGATGATTTTGCGCACATAACTGCGGCGAATGTCGTGAAATCCGCTTCCTGAAGCTTCCGACAAACTACTGGGTTTTTGGCAAAGCTGTCTGACAGTAAGACCGAGAAGTGTATTGCTAGGAATTTATCAAAATCGACGCACCGTTTGATCCACGGGTTAGTAGAATCATCCCGGGCCCTTGAATATTCTGGATGCAACTCTGGTGACCAGTCTGGGAACAAGGAGTAGAGATTAGGTAGACCAGCACACTGTCCTTTGAGTGAGTCACAGAGTTCTTGACGTTGCTCCATGGCGGATTGCATATTATGTTCGACTTGGCATCGATGACCGTCATTCGATATAACTGTAGTATCTATAATCACGAATATTATGCAGTATCACCAGTCTTATGTATTTATAGGTATCAAGGGCCAGCACAGCCACCTAGGTACTGCAAAAGCCACGGCTATATAGAGTTCCTAGTATATCAGTCAAGACCATATCGTGCTTTCAAATGCACTTAATACGCTAGCTGTACTAATCCAGCTGATGTGGCTGAGACATGCTTTAGATCTGCTTTCTGAAGTACATATCTAACAAACTCAAATCAGACGTGATGGCTTGATTTCTTCACACGTGTCTCGGTGCGGTTACACGGCGTAGATGCATCTACCCCTTGTTTCGGTGAGCCCGGTGTCCAGTCAATGCAGTCACCAGGCAGACCACTGTTAAAACAATCCTAGTGGCTTAGGGTTTTCATCATTTAGAAGCACCGCAGTTGAACTGGAATTGTGCGACTGTGAGCCCCTCATACCTTGCAGACCACACCAGAGCGGTCAGGAGTTTACAATAAATAGCTAGGGGACTACTTCGATCGTGACTGCTGTAAAAGAAAGATATATGGGCGCAAGGCTCTAAATCTCACATAAAGCATATTAGTCCAGGACATCAACATTCCGTGAAAGTTTGTTTATATAATTTCTTTTTTGATTTCATCTCTATTCTTTCAGGTTTCTATTGCTTACTGATAGCTTATCCCACAAGCTTTTGAAGCCAAATATGAGCTCCTCTATACTAGTTCAATGTGCCAAAGAGCTCATCGCAAAGGTGGCCTCTGAGTCAAAGTCACAATATGGATTTTCCTCTATGGCTCCATCGATCTATGACACTGCATGGCTGGCCATGGTCGAGAAAAGAACAGATCAAGGATACGAATGGCTCTTTCCAACCAGCTTCGATATCTCCTGCGCGAACAAACGAATGATGGTGGTTGGGATGCCCTCGAAAGCGTCGCCAGACGACACAGCGAGTATCCGGAAAATATCTGGATCCAAGACTGTGTTATCCATTCGTTGGCTGCCCTTCTCGCCCTATGTAGACATGTCCGGCGTTTTTCATCCCATCACCGAGAACCACTACCCGACGATATCTTGTTTCGACTCTTCCGTGCCAAGTCGTTTCTAGATGCTAAGCTGCAAAAGTGGCAACCAGATGATGGTATTCATTTCACGGTTGAACTGATTGTTCCGGTCCTACTCCATCTTCTGCATGAAGAGGGTGTAGACTTTCAGTTTCCTGCAAAGGACGACTTATTGAGCAAGTATACCGCAGCGACTAGCGTTGACCTTCGCTGGCTATATCAGGGCCCCTGCAGCATCCCTCTGTTTTCGCTGGAAGGGTTCGCGAGACAGCTTGAGTGGGACAAGCTGGAATGTCTCGTTACTTCTTCGGGTATAACGGCTTCTCCGGCCTCTGCGGCGGCGTACCTAATATTCTCTCCTAACTGGAGCGATGAGTGCGAGGCATATCTTCGTCACATTGTGTCGCACGGTCAAGGGAAGGGAAATGGTGGGGTAGGCGGGGTATATCCTTTGGAGGTGTTTGAGCCCTGCTGGGTAAGTTGCATTCAAGGATGCGAGGAAGGGCTACTAGGGTTACCGCTAACACTTCATCCTATAGGTTTTGTCAACCCTGCTGGACAGCGGCTTCACGGTCGAAAACTTAGGAGCACAGAACGTGGGTGACCTGGTCGAATTGATTCATGGGTCTATTTCAGACGGCGTGACCGGTGCTAGTAAGTATAATTCAGGCCAAATTTCTGCCGCAGTGGATAGATAGTAATCCTCCAGCCCATACCTTCTTCCCCGACGCGGACGATACAGCACGGGCATTGATGGTTCTCAATAACAACGGCTATGAAGTTAGCCGTGCAAATTTAATTAAGAAGTTTGAGTGCGATGATGGCTTCGAGACTTTCGATGACCGAATGCCCCAACGGGTGACAAGCGTAAGCGTCAACGGAAACGTACTAAGCTGCCTCCTTTCCTCGTCCAATCCCAGTGCCTTCACCCCACAGATAGAGAATATTGCCAAGTTCATGTGCACAAAATGGAGCAAAGAGAAGACCCTCCACGATCACTGGGTACGTGCGCTGAAATGAGCTCCACATCTATCTACCACAGCACTAACCGCTGTACTTTAGAACTTATCCGAATATTACGGTATCATGCACATTGCTCAATCACTCGTCCCGGTCAGAGTCCTCTGGGACCAGGGATGTATTCCAGGTCTAGCAGAAGATATCGTTGAAAAGCATATATCGACATGTCTGCGAGAGGTAGTGGACCGTGTCCTTCGTGGACAGAATGATGATGGCTCCTGGGGCAACATGCACGGCGTTGAGGAGACAGCATACGTGATCATCGCGCTTGCACAGCTAGCGTCGCACGTTGCCATCGTCAGTGATTACAGCAAAGCCGACCTGGCTATTGCTAGGGGAAAGCAATTCTTGTTAGAGACCTGGACGATGGGCCAGAAGCCGGACAGGATATGGACGGGCAAGGTTCTGCATGGCATATCATATGTGCATGATGCGCATGTCCTTGCTGCTTTGAAGATTAATCGGGCGAATCTGGCTGGAAAGCGAGGTTTCTTCTGAGTGGTGTCCTCAAAACTGTGCACGATTAGGAATACGTACTCTGGCGAGCAGATCACGTTATTTCTGGTTGGCATCAAAAATGACTATGAATATTGGTCCCAGTAGTTACTAAGATCTGAAGAAAGCTACCTGCTCAAGATGAATTAAGCATCCAACATCAGTGAAACCTGCGAGGACCAGAAAGTGCATGATTATGCAAACCTCTACCGCAATTGGGAGTGTGCACACGTAAGTCTAAACCATCACTAGAAGCGATTATTTCCAAGCTTTAAAACTGGCTTTAAGAAATCTTTTACCCTGATTATTGATCTGATAGAAGATATGAGTCCTTTCCTTCATCCGACCTGGCTTGGTCGTTAGCCACTCTACTACTTGGTAGTTAGTCTAGATAGAAGATTATATCATCTAGGTTTAGCTTTTCTAGCTTGAGATTTAATCTTCATTATTTCAGATATAGTAATAGAAATATAGAAGTAGTTACGGAAGATACCAGGGTTATTCAAGATGTAATCTATGTAGCCAGTAATTGACTGTTACTTTCACTTCAATCACACCAGGCAGATATATAACTATCCATAAAATTTTCATTATTCTGGGAAGGTAGTTATTTAAGTCCCATGAACACGGGTTCAGTCCTATTGCTACTGCAGTGTTGTACTTATTCAAGGCATGCACGTAGTATTGCAGTTCGTCTTTGTCTTCCACGAATCTGATATAATCTACACGGTACCGAATGATGCTGACAAGATAGAACAAATCAAATATATCTGTCTATATATTCCATACCAAGGTCCTGCTTATACAGCAATGTCTTATTTCTGCAAGTCATACTCAGCCCATTCCCCCAAGATGTTCCGCACGCCATAACACAGCCGTAAATCCCGACATTCAACCTCTTCATTCACCCATCGAAGACGCGACAGGTCGCCCACCATTTCTACCGTTTTGTCCAAAGGCCCAGAATCCAGATCACGTAAAATGTCCCGCGCAACCTCCACATCCTCTTCCACATCCTTCAAGGACGATACCCCCAGGACAGTAGAGACAGAGACGGAGTATCTATCGGAAGCCCGCACTGCTTTCGCCAACGAAAACCGCAACGCCAACCCCGCCAACCCGAACCCCTGACACTCCAACCAACCCGACGCGATGCTCACAGCGCTCCTCAAACCCTCAGGCGCAGGATGCCAATCCCCCAGTCTCCCACAAGGCACCTTTCCCGCACGCAACAAACCGGAGGCAAGCGGACTCGAATTACAAACCACCGACACCCCAGCCTCACGAAGAGCCGGAATGCCATACCGCTCCAGCTTAGTGTTCTGCACTGTCAACTGAGCCCAGGTCTGCACGACGTCCAATGGCTGGCCATATACGTGTCGCACTGCATGCGCGGCAGAGACTAGCGTCTCGAGTGGATAGCCGGAGATGCCCACGTACTTGATATAGCCCTGTCGGCGGAGGTCGAAGAGCACGCCGACAGCTTCGACGGCTTCGTGCTCCGAGACGAATTCCACGTCGTGGCAGAAGACTACGTCTAGGTAGGTGGTGTGTAGGCGCTCGAGGGAGTTGTGGACTGATTGGCGGACCCAGGTGGGGGAATAGTCGAAGGCGCTGGTCGAGAGGCGCCCGACTTTGGTCATGAGAATGTAGTCGCTGCGTGCGTAGCGGGTTGTTATCTGGGGGTCGGAGAGGGCGGTACCGAGGAGGTGCTCGGAGGGGTGGTAGTAGGGGGAGGTGTCGATAGCAAGGATGCCTTCGTCGAAGGCGCGACGGACGATTGTTGCAACGGGGAGGGTTTGTGGATTGGGGTGGGATTGGTCGCTGAAGCCTGAGCCGCCGAGGATTATTGGAGGGAGGGTTAGGGTTGGATGGAGAGGAATTGACTCGGACATCGTTGGGAAGTGGAGAGAGGTCACAACGATAGTCTATAGCAGCAGAAGGAAAGGAACAGGAGAACGAAAAAGAGGTATAGTAATGTATGTGCGCTCCTTTGATCTATGAGGAATATTTTTTATGATTTAGATGTTTTTATCGCAATCTTATTAGCACCAGGGCAATTTGCCGATCAATCAGACTTAATACCCGATTTAGCCGATTTCCGTCTTGATACTGGACAGAAGGACTGCCAGCAAAGACCCGGTTGACCCACCCAAGCACAGAACAATAAACCATCTAATAATTCCATCAAGAGTTCGAGATGACTATCTTCTCATGGTAATGGCAAAAGTCAGATATGGATCGCCTGGCATTAAACGCTGTAGCGTTCGGGAGCGTTCTGTCACGGTGAACTGGTTGCCCTAGGTGTGCTTGATCAGGGGAATCTTTCGGACGGGCAAAATAATTATAATAGCGATAAGAATAACAGTTTAAGACTTAGAGAGGAAGAAGAGGAGGAAGAAGAAGAAGAAGAAGGGACTATAGTAATTTCAGTTGCTCAACATTTCGCCTCCTTTTAGCTCCCTACTCTGCGGGCCTGTACGGGTGAGAGTAGTGGTGCCCTCGGTGGTATGTAGAATCCTCGGCATCACCCACATCGCTATCGAAGGGCCGAAAGCACTCATTTTATCCTTTAACCGATATCTCGATCTTACAAGCTAGCTCCGTGATGCTAGTGGTAGTCCCTCCACCGCTGGCTCGAGGCACTGGTGGCAGACGCCCTTCCGACAACTGCTTGCACGGGACCATACAAATCAATATGAACATGTACCCGGAATGTATCCATAGTAGCACATAATCCAGTTCGTGTAACGTAATGAAAGCGAGTTGCAAGGCTGAAGTGAAATCCCGGTGAACGCCTAAAACACCCTAACGCGCCTCAACAAGGAACATACCAATGTAGAAACGCTAGACCAGACGGGGAAATCCCCTCCTGGCCGGATAATATGCTAACAATCCACATCCGAGGTCAATAGGCGAAGTGAGCAGGCGCTTGTGCATGCCTAGAAATACAGCTTGACCTGGCGTGCTCGAGCACGTTTCAACCATCCCGCAACATGGGAGATATCGCCCTAGACGGTTCTCGCCATATAACAAACCTTGGTTTTTATTAGTGACACAGTATCTTGTACCATGCGTCGATCTACAGACACAGCCCCGGGTCCCCTAATGTCCAGCGGTACATAGACAATATATCCTGCCGCAAGGCCTAAGCTCGGTATTCACCTCCCCTTGGGCACGAGAGTGCAACAGCACCGATCGGAAAGCCTTTCGGAAAGCTTTCTTTAACATGAGTTAGTTTCAGACATGGATTCCAAGGCACACGTTGCCTGGGAAGGTAAGGGGAGGTAAAGTGGAAACCGGGGTATGCGAACCTGAAAGTCCGTGCTCAAGGTCACGATGGAAGCTTCATGCGCGCGGATGATTACTTCACAGGCTTCCTCCACCGACGGGTTCGGCCCAACGAGAGGCATTCGCTCAGCAAACAAAAGAAGCACGAGACTGCCGTGGAAAAGATAAATCCCCACCAGATAGGGCATGAACGACAGTTCGGGATCGATCGAGAGGACATAGGAGATTTGCTGGGCTGCAGCGATTGAATGAGAGGCGCACTCAGAGAATTGTGCGGAGGTGATCCAGTCCCCATGGTTTTCCAGCATACTGGTGGCATCCCATTCCCCATACAGCATTACAAAGAGAACCTTGATAATATATGAGGCGTATGCCATTGTCACCTCGGCACGTGGAGTCGTCGAGGAAGGTCGCGAGGCGTTTGCAGTCTGACCTACCTCGCGAAGCCATTCTGAAACACTCTGATGGCAATTGGTAAGTGCGATATCGATGGCGCTTACCACGGCATGCTCGTCGAATTTCAGTCGCGGATGGTGGCGCCACAGACGAAGCTCGATAATATCCCCCAAAATAGACATCAAGGGGAGGAAGTACTCAAAGAGCCCAGTTCCCGAAATGACAGTTGGCGGGCCGTAGGTCCTCGAGGGCAGGGTGTCACCTGTAAAGGCATGCAGCCTCTGCCAGCAAGATTCTGGTAGGGGCGTAAGCACTTTACATTCGGCGTCGAGGAGATAAACGGCACGATTGTGAGATACGGCCAAGTGCCGATCCAAGGCATAGACCAACCAGAAAGCCCGCCGTTGTTCTTCTTGTTCTTCGATGATCTGAAGTGATCCCCGTTCCGGCTGGCCAGTCCGCAAGGGGTCCTGGTGAAACCCAAGATGCTTGATCAAGCGAAGTGCTTTGTTCCACCACTTCAAGCAGTCTGACTTGTATTCGCCACCGGAAATAACGATAGTCAGGATGACGAACGTGAGGACATCGTCTACCGTAGGGGTAGGGCCAGTCCCGAAAGTCCTGCGAGCGCGGTCTGGGTCTCCAGCATCAAGGGCGGAGACACAGTCGTTTTCCAACTGCCAGCCCCCTAACTCCAATTATTGGCCGCTTGCCTACTGGATACTTTCATCACCCGGGGTTGATGGGAGGGTGCAGATATACACTTACCGTTTACGCGACGCCAATTATCCGGGTCCAGGCGCTGCAGTAAGGACATCACCAGGCAGTAAAGGTGATCAACGATTCGTGCCCGCGATCCTGGAATATAGTACAGTCTCCCATTTGCCGTGTGTGCTGCACACCAAAGCATTGTTGCCAGAAGCGCTGGAGAGGTCGGCCGCGGCTTGATCGGATCCAAGACCGCGGATCTTCGAAGCACGGGGGAGAGAACGTAGGGGCTATGGGAGGATCCGGCGGACTCACCGGGTTCGGTAAAGAAGATTTCGAGCAGACTGCAAGCGTCTTCTGGGCTCAAGACACTCTTCAGATGAGGAAGGAGGGGCTCGAGACATGGAAAGCGGCAGCCCGCGGGCAACGACGTGCTTGACGCCGACGTTGCGCTAGCATCCGGGGGAGTTAGCGCCAGCGTGGGAAATCGAGGGATTGGGGACAGCGCAGTCGCCCCCGACTCAGGCTGCGATAAGTCGAATGACCGGGGAATGTTGACCTGATATGTTGCGAAAGTGGCCTCGACATTATTCATGTTCACTGGCTCG